CTCTGTGTCCCGTTCTTCCTGCCAGGGTACCCAGTACCCTGTCCCTCCAGGCCTCTGCATTCAGCTCCAGGTCCCTGAGGTTCAAGGTCTCATCTTCTCCAAAATTCAAAACCACACACAGCATTGGAATTGTTGCCTTCACTTGTTTGATTGAGCTGTGCCAATTATGTGTGATTAAACCCCTGTGTCCTATAACATTCTTACACTCCTGCTGAATCGTTTGTTTCCACCACGCGACCACCATGTGAGCGGAAAACCGCGCCACGGATTTTGGCCCAAGAATCGTCCGAACAGATCACATTCATTCGGTGCTTCACATCAAAGAATCAATGCTTCACATCAGATGAAAAGAATCCGCAATCTGCTATGTTAGACAAAGTTACATAAGACACCAAGCTCCATCACCAGTCTCAGCAAGCAACTCCATTATGTTTTCTCTAGAAGAGGAAGCCGGATCAAATCCTTGGCCAACAAAATGCGAGCCTCACTTTCTCTGCTGCTCGGGCCGCAGCATTGAGGAGAAGGGCGACCTCCCAAAACAGATGAAAGAGGTTTCCAGAGATCCAAGATGTGCCGGTCGCAGTCCCCCAAAACACCCACCCTTCGCGACCACGAACCTGGTCAACACCGTCCACCCTCCCAGACCCCCCAAGCTGTCGGCCGAACAAAAAGAGAAAAAAACGGCCAGCGCACCAACCGCCGGCGTCCGGACATCCACGTCGGGCGCTCCGCTCAGACCATGGTCGGTCTGGGACCTCGTCAGCGTGGAGCGTCTCCGCGTGCCGCGCCGCACGGTGCAGCGTGGCGTCCAAGGCCTGACGGTCGGGGTCTTCACGGCGGTGGAAGAACCTGCACCCGAATGATCTTCCTCTACGCTCAGGAGCCCCCGCCTTCTTCATGGGCTCTAGAAGGAGTGGGGCAGAGACCTCAACCCGCAAGAAGCTCAAGCAAGGTGTTTCGACCAAGCGCTATCTGTTTAGGCTAGCGGCTAGTCTCTGACCCTTGGTGTCAGATGTCATGTTGCTTTTGCGCCCAAATCCGAAATCTAGTGAGTTGGGCTCCCAAATAACGCGGACGTCTCAAGTTGATGGTCGGTGATTGCGTGGAATCCGCATCCCACTGAAAAAAGGGGGGAGCGGTGAGCGGTGCGGCACCAGCCCCAAAACCAAACCACACCGGGTGCCGCACCGCTCCCTTTCGGGGTCTTAGTGACAAGTGCATCGCTTCTTGTTACGTTCGTAGCAAAAAGTAGAATCGTTCAATTGAACCGTTCGCTGTCCGGGCTCCGGGCCAAGCTGCGGCTCAGCTGCGCGCAGCCCGCACTGCCGGTCGCCCCCAGGGCGCTCCGCGCCACTGCGCGCCAGGCGGGAGCGGAGGCCTGGGATGGGCGTGCCCTGGGTTCGACAAAGAGGTGCCCTGCGAGTGGAATGGATTGGAATTAAACATGGGAGATCAGAGACCACTTGACCCACTTGACAGTTCTTTGGAGGGTCAGCACTAGGATCAGCATCTGGAGGTTGCTCCAGAAGGAACCGTTGGTCACGTTTGGGTGCGTGCTGCGTTGTACCATGCATTTGGCACCGGCCGCCGGTCGCAGCCCCTCTTCCTTCCCAGAAGGAGCCGCGCAATCCCGGCATGGATAAGATCCCTATTATCCAACAATGATAAAATATGCATGATATCATACGATATATCATATCTATATATATGATATCGTCTCCTCTTTTTCGTCTGCATGCACTTCCCAAAACAGTGGTCCATAGGACTCCTAACTAATTAGTCGTACCAAACTGTTACTTGGTTACAGTTACAGCATTCATTGAAGACCTGCTGCCTCGTTTAGTGGAACGCGTGTGATATTTGCGGCTGGTCCACGTTGATCTCCAGTGTTGTGAAGGACTGACAAGACATGAGCGGACTGATTCTTCGTATGTTTGGTCCAGAAACTGACCAACTATGTCCAACTCATGTCGCGTCAGTCACTGCTTCAACACAAGTCAGTGATCAACACTGCATCCTTGCTCCGCTTGATGATCTGTATCCAAATTTGTCCCGAACAACTCTTGCCAATCTGCGTTGCTGGAGCTAATACTCGACCAAGTGCATGGTCATGCGCGTCATATGACTCGCATGCACTGCTCTCACATGCTGCATGTGAGCATCACGCGTACATACGGATGCACAGTTACATGTACTTGGCACCTACCAGCAAAGGTTGAAGAACCCTATAGACTATCCTATAGGTACTCCTGTAGGGTCCTATAAGGTCACTTAACCTCTGTAGGTACTCCCTTCTGCGTCTTCCAGCGAAGCTCGCGCTTCCCCAAGTCACTGCGTAAACGGGTGCCCCCCGCTGTGTCCTCCGTCTCCGGAAGGCTGGAGAGCAAATCCTGGCGGAGCATCGACACTACATGTTCGTCAAGCCCATCCCAGGATGGGCTGGATCAATCTTTCTGAGTTATAGTTCACTTAGTACATTCCTATCTCCTATTCAAGAATCGGATTCGAGACCGCTGGGGCGTCGTTCCTTGTTCATTGCGTCGACATCGCGTTCGCCAAAACACTGCGCGCGACACGCTGCGCGCGCGCACGCGAGTGCGCTCGGCGCACCGCCACGGTGGCCAAGGACCGGCTCTCCTCCTGCAGGGGTTGCGGCCGGTCTGCCAACAATAGTAGCAGCATACCTGGTTGGTGATTTGAGCCGAAAAATATGAGGACCTGTGGGTGAAGAATCATCCCAAGTAAACATATCCGAAGACCACCACCTAGAATCTAGAAGCATGGTCTTCCGACCCGGCAGGATGGCAGGATGCCAAGAACCCTGAGTGATCCCAAGTCTCCAAACTTCCCACAAGCAAGAGAGGTTTTTTGAGACCTGAACGTTTGGACCCAGGTCTGTGGTACATATGGGATGGGCTATAAGTAAGGCTGTGAAAAACCTCTGGAATGTGCTTCTCTGCTTTGGCCTGCGATCTGCACGAGTTGATCAGCTATAGCGAGACCGCTTTTCAAAGGACCGCCCAGATGCTGTTGCGGACTGGATTCGATTTTTTGCACTTCCGAAGGAAGGCATAAGTTTAATCGCAACACAACGTCCTGAAGTCATTCTTAAAGCATACCGCATTCTGCACCATGGATAGAGCAACTCACGAAGAAAGGCGCAACCTCTACTACCCGATGCTTGAAGCTTGTGTGAGAACCTTGCCCTCTATCAGATTGCTCACGGCAGAAAGATCATTGAGAACTCTGCTGGATCCATTGAGAACTCTGTGGACCAAGTGCTGTTGGAATGAGAGATACGAGCGACTAGCCGACTCCTCTAAGCCGACGAGCCTGCATCAAGTTCCGGTGCACTGGATCCGGTAGAACTTGAGTCTTGGGGGTCAAGCTTGCCACTCCCAGCACAGCACAGCTCCTGTCCTCATCCAGAGTCGCTGTGTCAAGCACCTGAAGATGCTGCACCAAGCATCGTCTCACCTCCTGCAAAACCGACTTTGAATAGCGCTTGGTTTATGACTGCGGCGTGCATGCCGCAATGCGCGACTCGCCGCGCGTTGCGCGCCTCGCTCGCGTTGCGCGATTCGGCCGCCCGCGCAGAACCAAGAACACGCGTCTACCAGGACCAGCGGTTCCAGCGTGTCAGGGTGCACCCCTTAACCTCTAAGGGGACTACTCTCCGACACGTCAAACCCAAACCTGCACACTCGCTCTTCGGGTGTCGGAGCGGACCCAGGCGGGCGTCGTCGCGGTCCTGGCGTCCCATGCGCTGCAGGGCCGCGCTGGCCTGGCGCAGGGCGACCAAGGAGGGAGCCTGCGAAGGCCGATGGAAGCTGCGGTCGTTGCCAAGGCCGAAACCGTGCTCTGAAAAGTGAGACATGTGGATCATGTGGATCAGAAACCATGAGAAAGAATGAGACACCCCGGGTGTGTCCAGTCCATCCTCCCCGTGAAAGGACAAGTCTAAGTAGCACAACACAGATCAAGCCGACTCTGTATTCCACACCCGGTGGATACGGTGTGAAGCCGACTTAACTGCATGATGCACATGCTTCGCCGTGCTTGGATCGGGGCTGATGCTTGCCACTATTGTCACCCTAGCCGCACTACCCCCCTGCAGATTAACATAGACCCCCAAAACCACTAGGTTGTAGAGGAAAATGGTCTTCCACCGGTCAATTCTCGGGTTCTATGTTAGTTTGCGGGAGAGTAATCCTTTTTTTTTAACATTTGCCACACTGCCCCTCTAGTGCCTCGTCCCCAAAGACGAAACATCACCTGACTCCTTCGCATCCTCCTGACTCCTTCGCATCCTCCTGCCTCCTTCGGGGCTCCAAGTACTTGACATCACTTACTTGACCATGCACGACCACGTGACGCCCTTGACTCGTTCACCAACCATCGAACGCATTCGAAGGTCCCTTTTTGAACAGTGTCGGCATGCTGGCAGTCTTGCAATCAGTCCCGTCCGCGTTCCGCGGTCGGTCCGCTCTAACCTCAGGCGGTCGGTGTGCGGTTGTTAGCCAGAAAGGTCCAGAATGCCGAATTCTTGAGATGTCTGCAGAACTCCTTGAGAATTGAGCAATGATCCCAAGGTTGGATCAGATCAATTGTCCGCAGGCTCCGGCTCGATCTCGCTACCGAAGGCTCCGGCTACTTTCCACATGCGGACCGTTTTCCTCGTTGGGTTCATGGAAGTTCGGGGCAAGTGGATGATGGAGTCCCTGAGGCTCATGAAAGAAAGGAAGCAACTCTTCAAGACTCTTTAGGACCCCAAACCCATCAGTTGGGTGAAGCCGTTCGTTGGACACTCGGGACCCTTTGGACCGGACCTGCAAGGTCCCAAGCAGCAGCAATTCTTGGGTCCAAAGAGCACTTGAGCTGCAGCTGGGTGTAGAACAAAAATAATTGCAACTGCTCGGCCCATCCAGGGCCCCATTTTTCCCAGAAAAATAAAAAATCTGGAAGATCACATCGGATCACTGTTTGTGCCAAGCAGCCTTCTACTCTGTCTGTGCCACAAGGCACACACCACGAAGCTTCCTGAGGCCGACACACGGGCTGAGACCGCGTCGATTTGAGGGAGTGAGTGGGGTGAGTGAGTGAGTCGAAGCCGAAGCTGGTTTGGTGGGGTGAGTGGGTGGAGTTTTTTGAGTGGCATCAAACCCGCAATGGGAGAGTTTGAGAAATCTGTCGGGCAGCTTAAACTTCACAGGTTCTTTTACTCAAAATCTGGAGCTCTGGTCCACCAAGATCGCGAACGACCTCCTAGGTAGATCAACCAAGGCTATTAGGCTCGAACCCACCGCCTGTGTGCTCACACCTGGTGCGGCTGTTGCCCCCGCTGGGACGCGGGGGTGCCAATCAAGCCATGGTATCCCAGAGAGCATTACCTCTGAAATCACACCACCTGATATCGTCGATATGCCCCAGCCATGAGATGATCATAGCAGAGACCAACCTTGGAATGTGTTCGTGCTCGACTTATTTGGTGATGACATCCACCAAGTTTCCAGAAGTCTGTCAAGAGATAAGTGAGGCATTTTTCTTCCAGGAAACGCCTGATTTAGCAGCGTGGGAAGAGGAGACATTCTATTTTGGGGAGTTCTTGGAGCCAAGCTTTCAAGAAGGGTCTGCAGAGGACTCCCAACTTCTTTCGGCTTTTACTGAACATTGCGCTCTGAAAGTCGCGCTTGATGGTGAATTGTTTGGTGACCTGCGAAGTCCCATTGTGGCCAAAAGGCGCTTACATATCGACATCGGCCTGGGCCAATAACTGCGTCATGTTCATTGATACTTCGTCATAGCGAAAACCGCCGTGGCGAGTGAGTTGATGATCCTACCGTTTCGCCTTTTTCCTTCGCTGCATACGATCCAGTCGCTGTGCGACGCTGAGGTGTACAGACTTTCTCTCTGTAAGCCTCCCATTGTGGGCTTCTGGTGGCAGTTCATTTAGTCTTGCCTGGGTAGCTTCTCACTTACGTAATGGATTTTGCTTCTTTGCAGGTTCCACTTGTCATGGAGTGTTCTTCAACCTCTTTGATACTGTGCGAAACTGTTCATATATTGCATCATGGTGCTATTTGCTGTACAGTTTTTCGTATGACCATCACCAGCTATAGACATCTACCACACGTACCCACGGTCCCCAGCCAAGCTGAAGGGCCCAAACTCAGTCAACGCCCGGTCAACCGGTCAACCGGTCGGTCATCCTGGTGTCATGACCCACAGCCATGTGACCATGTGAGGCCCAAATCCTTGAGCACCTGCCCAAAGAAGGATGGTCAACCCATCAACTGAAGCATCTCCAAGCATGATGAACACCGACCAGTTGTGGCACATGTGATCACCACCCAAAAGAAAGAACCGGGTGGGGATGATTCATCAATACTCCACATGTGATCAGTTATCACCACACCCTCCCAGTTCCAGTCATACAGTGTCGTTTCACCGTGATTGGTCGGCCCAACGGAAGTCGCCGAAAAAACAACGCGCGGTCGCCGAGGTTTCCGCCGCGGTCGTCCCAGGCTCCAATGGAAGGGGTGCAACTCGGTGCGGAGCAACATGCGGAAGATGAGGTACCGGTCGTTGCCTCGAGACTTCTCGGTCCAATGAAGTTCGGACACTCTCATCGGACACTCTCAGGGCCCGCCCTGGTGCCCACCCGCCCGAGGGTTCGACCTGGTTCTTCAAGATGCGACTGGATCATGTCGACTGGTTCGCAGAGTAACAAGGGTTCTTCACAATCGTTCTAAGCCAGAGTAACATGTCTGTTGGGTTCTACATGAGTTCTAAGTTGTGGAGAATGATTGTTGGGCTTTCGAGTACAGTAGTTCTTTGGACCCTCCATCAAATCTCGTAGCAACTTCTCCTGCTGAAAATCTACAGAAAACGGAGCGGTAAGACTGGAGGACAGGTCACGTGGGTGCAAGAAATGGCTCCCAAACCTGAGGTGTTGCACTACAGTTTGAATTGCAGTGGCTTCAGACTAAATAGCACTGGCACCCAAAAATGTCTTTGTTAGATGGGGTGTCCATAAAAACCTCCTTTCGGGGTTGTGCCATCTACTCTCAATGCATCAAAAGAAGCGCCGCAGGTCGCGCTTCACCGGAGGTCGCTGCCCATTGCCGGTTTCTGTGGGAAGAAAGGGCCTAACCCAACGAAACTGGCCCACCCATCCAGCCCAGCTGCGCTTGGGGTACTTGTACACCGCCGTGTTGTATGGCCCGTGCGGCCCATAGTTGAGGCCCATGCCCTCGCAGCAGAGATCGATGGGGATCGACCAGAAGCGACAGCGGGTCTTCCAAGAAAAGCGAAACACTATTCAATATATAGATATTATTTAATAGATATTAATAGATCTATAATATATTAATATCTATTATAGAGATATACAAATATCTACAATGTTTCATGGATATCCTCTGGATGTGGTAGTAGGTTCCAACAGACCAAGATAAACCGAACTGGAGCATCCAGGACCTGGGTGGGCTATGCATTGGACGAGACAAGATGGTTTACTGGAAGACCTATAATCCATGTGGGTGAGCCCGGCAGGAGGGTGTCTTGGGACCTATAATCCATGTGGGTTTCGCTCAGATCAAGCATACTGATCTGTGGCACTGGAAGTGAGGTAAGCTTGTTCCGCCCAGGCGGACGTGTTTGCTGGCACGAACCAGGTCACCAAATGCCACATTCTCGACACCGTCGGATTTTTGGTGACCTTACTCAATGCTGAAACTGCAGAGGAACGCTGCCAATACCAACCAATCTAGCACCGAAATGAACACAGCTACTCCGCGAAATGAAGCACTTGGTCTTTCAGCACCAAACAAATGGCTTTGGCTTCAAAAAAAAGGAACCTGGGATGAGGAACCACCCAAACAAACGCTCTTGCTGATGACGGAAGTACTCTGAAACAATTGCTGAAAAATATCTTGAGGCTAACTGGCCAAAGGGTTCCTCACTGAGCCAAATACTGTAAGCCCAAAGTCTTTCAGAGCAGTATTTCAACTTTGCGCGGTATTTACAGTGTGTTTCGTAGATTTTGAGCTAGTGTGTGCTCTCTCAAGCACACCTGCTCTCAAGTAATTCCAGCAGTTGTGGTCAGTAGCTTGCCCATGTTATCATACCGTTCTTAACCGTACGGGCGACGTTGGGATCACTCTTTGTGCTCATGTATTGAAAATAATATAGAACCCTCAAAGGAGCAATTCTGACATGGCACCCATGTCAGAACGTGGTCTCCATGGAAGTTTGTGACTGAGACCTGTTCTGTTCTGTGTGCACAACGTCGCCAAAGGTTTGAAAGGTGCATGTATGTGTGAACTGCTCTGCGTGTGTTGACTTATGTAAAATTGTTTAAGGGACCTGTGGCTGGAGACACCTGTGAAAAAAATGTTTGCCATCCTGCTGTGGGCAGTGGCATTAGTCTTTCCAAAACATGCTGCATTCTGGTAGTTGTAGTATGATCCCAAGATCCATTTGCATCATCGTGATCTTTTGATCAACTCCAATCAATCTGTCTAGATTTGCCAAAAGTGAGAAGACCTCTCTCACATCTACTCTCACATCTACCTCCTTCATCCTCACACCTTCAGATCCTTCATGTTGATCGCTGTGACATAGATCACCGGCATGGTGGTGAAGAGCTTCTTCGGTTCCGACTCTTCAATGCGGCTATCCTACCCGCTTCCCGACCGGCGAGGCAAAAACAGGTCGGGTGATGTCGGTCGTGACGTCGGTTCGGTCACGAACAAGCCTCCAACAGGGTCACGAAGGAAGGAAACTTCAAAAGGTCACGAACTGAAGAAGCTGGTTGTGATGTTTAAATATATGTTTTACATTCTTTTAAACCTTACCTGGTACATCATGGTGTTTGGAATACATATGTTGGAATCACTCAACACCAATTTTGTCATGATGGATGGAATTCGCTCGTGGCGGGTTGGGCATCTTTGACCTGGCGTGTAGAACACCCCAGCGCCAATGCCATGTCAACAAGATCTCCTGTCTGTTCCATCGACCACCTTCAATGTACAGGCCCCAAATGTTCCTGAGCGAAGTTCGCGCCAAGCTTCATGATGCGAACTGACTGATAGAGATATGGTGCACCTGTTACTAGTAGATACTAGTACAGTACAGCAGCTTCTTGCTACTAGTAGTAATGCACTATGCACTTGTTACTAGTAACTAGTAGCGATGCACCTGTTACGTTCGTAGCTTCTTGTTACTGAGCCACTGAGGCCACTGAGGCCATGGGTCCGGAGTCGAAAAAACATCAAGCCAAGTTTAGGCGACCAGGGCCCCTAAGGCGTGTCCATGAACCACCCCGGTTTCCGGGGACCTGGGGGCTTCGAAGTACTGGAATCCTTTTGGGCTGTCCTCTCAGATCGCTGTAGAGTCGAAGCAAAACGATGCGAAACATGGGGTGCTGACTCACCTGGCAGGCCTCAAGAAGTCCGAACATGAAACAGATTGAAACAGCAATGCATCATCTGATTGTATTAACCTTGACAGATCCCTCACCGCGCCTCAAACAGTTGCCCGACTTGCACGGCCGACTGCCCGACCACTTGCCACCCCACTCGACTGCCCGACAGCGGCCGCAGCACCTCCCCCAGGATGTTGCCGAGTCTCTGTCCCTCTTCCGGTGGCCCGGTGTTGTCTCCCAGACGCTCCAAGTCTTTTGCCAGCCTTGAAGAGACGAGACGCTCGGAGCATCGGGGGGTCGGTTGGGTAGGTCGTGTGGAGCATCGGGAGAGCCGAAAAAAGCTGCGATAGCCGGGAAGTCCAAGAGTTCACGGCTATTCCTTTTGATGATTCCTGGGCCTCGAAGCGGTTTTACAATCCAAAGGGAGGAGGGATTAAATGCAGTCTACATCTGTCTTCATTCCTGGGGAATTTTGGAATGCAAAACGATCGGCGTATTCCAATGGCTCTCCCCATGCCTTCCTTTTCAACGGGTGGGAGTTTTTTCGGAGTTTGTCTTTGACCCACGACCCAAGATCTCTGCTTTCACCAATAAAAGAGTTCAGAAACCATGGGAGCTTGACATAAACCATGGGAGGTTGACATCCCTAAAACAAACAGAGGAGGACTCTGCTCAGCCATGAGTCCTGGATTCCGTGCCCGGGTGTCATGACCCAGTGGTTTTCCCAGATCTGCCAGGCAAAGAATTGACTGCCAGGCAACACATCGGTGTGGGAGATCACTTCATCCAAGGACCATTGATCCTTCTTATGCTGTCGCGTCACCTGGCGCATGGGATCCAGATCCAGAGCTGTGATCCACGTCTTGTCGCTCTTCTTGTGAGGTAGTAGTAGTAGGAATATGTTCAAGTTACTCATGTTCGATTCCAGCACCTTCATGTCGGGGTCACCTGGCTGGAAGCCCCTACACTACTATCCGGGACCTCCAGCCAGGACACCTTGTCCAGGTTCCTATTCATCCCTGCTTGTTCGATCCTGGAGTCCTCAGGAAAACCACTCCACCACTCCACCTGCGGAACACCCGCACCGGTCACCGGTCGGTGACCGCCCTGGAACGAAGAGTGACGCTGGGCCGCACCTCCTGACGCATCCCTGTGAGGAAGCCCTGGGCATTGGTGAAGCCAGTAATCCAATAGGCCTGCGATGTACAGTTGTTGATCGATGAGATGCACAGAGAAGGTGAGTGATGTGGAACGCCCAGTTATGGACGTGTTCCAATGTTTATGAGTCTGCCTGATTGGAACTGATGAATGCTCATGAATCTTCGGACATGCTTCATGCCGGAGTTGGAGAGTCATGCCTTCATCTTCTCTCGCCCCTGCTCCAGCCAGGTGTTCAACATCCTAGGATGCCAGCCCGGTGTTCACCATCCAAGAACTTGCCCCTGGTCTCCGAACCGAATTGGGAGGTCTCCCGAGTTTCATACACACACCCACAGGGCATGGCATGTATACAGGGGAGATGCATCTTATAGAATCAAGGGGAGATGCATCCTTCAGCAAGGCAAGCATCTTACACAAAGAAAGACAAACTGAATAAAGCCAGACCCTTCTTTGATATGCCTTGCTTCGGGACCAAAGCTGGAAAAACATATTAAAGAAATAGACGTATAAAATGACTAAACAAGTCCTTGGATTTCCAACATCCATAGTTCTTATCCACACATACATGAAAGGGTGTGAAATGCTTTTGCTGAGGCCTTGCTTTTGGGCGAGCACGGGCCGAGCCCGACAAAACGGCCGGGCTAGGAAGTGATCTATAGCTTTGAAAATGAGACCCTGAAACCCACAGGCGATAGACTGCTTTGACTTGTATCAGTGGATTTGGCACCCTAACAGGGAAATGACATGAAATGACAATGTCATCCCTGCTCGTCCCCCATGGATGTCTGATTTCATGGGACTTTGGGGGTACGACTGCCAGTCAGTTGCACTTTTGAGCCATACCCATCTCTCAAACGGTGACATCGTCGAGTGCGATGTTGCCATACCCAGGTGACTGCTGACGCTCGGTCAAGCCGGTGAACCATCCTGGCTGGGGAGGCATGGAAAATGGCTGTTTCAAGAAAGAGAGACCCACCTGTTCAATAGACGAGCTTCTATAAGTAAACGTGTCTTCCAGTTCTAGGAACTGGGTGGCAAAGTTCCTAGCAAGGCACCAGAAAGATTCAAACACATGCGCACCGCACCCTTCTAAGTAAACTGCCGTAACAAACACCTGGTGCTATGGCTGGTGATATACCAGCAATGGCTATGGCATGCTACTGTATGGCTATGGCTTCAACATCATCAGCAGTGTCTTTTCTTACGTACAATTCTGCAGCGGTAGGCTCAAGGTTGAGACACCGCCAGCACTTTTGGTCCGTAATCATGAGACCAAGAAGGCAAGGACCAACCTATTCAGGAGGCTCTCCTTCCACTTCTAGGTGAAGAAGACTCGGTCTGGTACAGTAGCTTCCAAGCTACTTGGCCTTGTTTTGCACAAATCGTGCAACAGAACAGATCGAAAACAACTTCAATAAGTCACAATGGTCATAGGATATCATAGCTGTTCCTACACACATGGTCATCTTCACAACGTTACCCTCCGTTCGAAACGTTCGAATTCTTCGACTGTCAGAAAGCCGACCAAGAGATCACCGACCATCCCATCAGCTCAGCATCCTCCTCCCATCGCGCGCCTCCCAGATTCGGCATCAGCCAAGAGATCTCGGCGCCGCTGGGATCGTTGGTCCAACCTCGACCGGTTTTGGACCGGAGTCGAGGACCGCACAGACGACGTCGACGGAGTGTTCCGGATGTCGATTCTGGAGTTTTTGTGTGGAGAGGAAACCAACGCTACGAGACCAGCGAGACTCTTGAAAAAAAGAGACAATGAAAAAACAAAAACACATAGACGTTCACTTGCACATGTTTGGAGGGACGGGGTTCCACAGACCCCATCTTGGGGTCTTTATTTTCAGATCCATGGCATCTACACTCGGACGGACACATCACATGGAACTGGATGGCCCACCCTGTCTGTAAAGGAACATCGTCTTCCAAGGGTCCATGCCATCCACTTCCATGTTAGTAAGTCGGAGGGTATAATATGATTCATGAATACTTCTTTATTGATGTTGAAATCAAGTCGAGCGTGCTCAGAGGATGCTGAGAGAGGCTCAAAGGATACATGATACTGCATAAGTCTTTCACGGCCTTGTGATGCATGACGGCAGGATCCTCATCTTCCCATTCATCCAAAGTCCAAAGGAATTTGCCTTGACACATCAACAATCAACCCCCCAAAAACACATCTTGAAAAGAAAGAACATGCTCCGGTCCCAATCATCAATCCAAAAGAACTTGCTCGGATCAGATCACCCACCCACCCCCAAAACACACCACACATCGATACGATTAAAAAAAAAGAAACGCCAAGAACCGAACAAACCTCCGAACCATTGAGTCCCTCGGTCCCTCGGCGAACCTAACGCTGAACCGAACCGAGCCCGAACGCGAGAACCGGCGACGTCTCCGTCCCTCACCGCACCTCGAGGTACTCGGGCATCGAAGAGGAAGCCCAAGTCTTCCTGCGGGTTCCGCGTGGGGTTCCCGGACCTGCGGACCGGGTGAGACCGGTATTCTTCGGTTCCTTCTGGGATGGGACGGGACACCACCCCGGGAGTTCCCGGACCCAGTTGCTTCTCTTTCTAAAAGAAAAGGATGCGTCTGCATGGTAGAGCCCCAAAATAGTCAACACTCCATGTTGGACAGAGAAAGTCCACCGAGTCTACATCCGATGGCCCCGCTGACATCGTCGCTCCATCAGCTCGGTCGTCATCACCACGGTGCCATCAATGGCTGCGGCCACGTTCCTGCGGTCGGCTTCACCGTCGGGGGAAAGCACGCGACGGACGAGAGATGGGTCGAACACCCGGGTTCTTTCGTCTCAGTATGAACCTCGAGGACTGTGGAACCTCGAGGCAGTGCCTTATTTGACGAGGGGTCGAAAAGACTCAAGATAAAAACCATCTTGTTGCCCTCCCTTCCTCTTTCAAACCTTTCAACTGGAATTGGGCGCTTGGAGCCAAGCGCCCACTCCTTGGTGTTGGGACTCGCCGATACATTCGCCGAGAAATTCCCCTCACTTCCATCCCAATCCCATGTTAGTCGGTCCAATGGGTCGACTGGTCTATCTGAGTCGTTCTGAGTCTATCTTCTGGGAGGTCTCGCGCTTTTTTTGCAGATCCATGTTTGATCCCATTTGGCTGTGGGGAACTGGCAGTCCCCAGAACTGGACAGAGCTCCATTAAAAGGTTGGTCCCAGACTTCTCGAAAACAGAGGTGGACTTTGGGAGGTCTCGCACCAGTCGACCATCCGGTCGACGTACCATAGACCTAGCCAGCTTGTACACGACCGGGGGTATCCCCTCTAATTATTCATCAACCAAGCAGAAGCACAACACCAGTGTTAAACAAATCCCCAAAAGCAAAAGCGAGAAAAAAAAAACAGCAAGTCGGTCTTGAGGTTCGTCCGCACAATGCCAATGATGTTCTGCAAACGCTGCAACTCCTAGGCAGCACCGGGAGTATTGGGCAGTCACGACGGGACCGGTGAAAAAAGGTGCCAATCAATGGAAGACATGAGATGAAATGAACGTCCTTGATGCCAAGCTGATGGTTTGGCTGTGAACGGTTCTATAGATCCACAAATGAGATCGCCATGGGCATGGCTCCACGAATCAGTACTCACTTCATCTAACTTCTAGTACACTCCCTGGAATAGTCATGGACGTGGAAGGCATGGCCCCTTGCATGAGGTGGTTGTCCACTTCTATGCTTCGTCAGTCTGCTGGAGAATTCCAGAAAGCATAGTCAAATTCTCCGAGCCCTCGCATGATACACATGTGCGACAACATGTATCCCCTCAAAGCAACTGGGCAAATGTGGGAGTCGCTTGACAGGCAAAACCAAGCTTGACAGTCCCTGAATGTGCCAAAATGATATGAAATATATAATCCTTCCAACCTGCTGGACCTTCACTTCCAGCTAAACTGCCTGGAACAGGAAGATGTTCAGCGGCGCGCCAAAGCCCTGCGAGGAGAGGGAACTTATTGTCGGCAATTCATCAAACGAGAATTGGCGACACCAAACTCTCCTTCAGCCCCATTGTCTCATCCGCCATGCCATGCAACACCATCTTCGACAGCTGAACGAATGAAATTTGTGGCAGGAAAAGGGACAGATCACCTTTCAGGGCAACTGTCAGTTTCTTTCAGATCCCACTAAAGTCACGAAAAACCCAAACCAAGCTCCAACCCAATCAAAAGTCCATTCTAAGCCAATCTCCAACGCAAACCAATAAACACCCCAAACCAACTCAATCTTTCAAACATCCAAACACTGAAGACCAACATGAAAACTCACATCACACACTCCTGTCCTCACGTGAAACGTGACGCATTCTCCCTTCTCCCCATCTCCCATCTGCCTTGTCGATGACGACTCCTTTGTCCTTGGGCCCATTGAGCTTTTGGATCTGTGCACGGAAGATCTCCTCGACGAAGTCCGGAGGCCTCGACGAGTCCGTCAGGAGGCCGAACACGAGCCGAAGGAAAGAGAGCCGGAAGGGCTTGGCGGGTCCCAGCGTCTTTCAAAAGAAAAGGACAGCACCTGAACGATCAACAGGTCACCACCAATTGATAAAAGTCAGCATGAGTCTGGGCACCATTTCGGAGACCTGTTGGAAGTGGTCTATATACTGTTATATTCGTCGCTGGCAGTGAACTGAGAGGAGTCCGAGACGCGATGACTGATAGAAATTTCAAGCTCGATGCACCAGAACCACGAGCTTGATGCACCAAAGGAGCGCGTTCTTTGCAAGGGCACGTTCGCAAGCCACTTGAGACCATAGAAAACCCCAGAACCCAGTATATCCTACGAGAGAAGAACTGCTGCACGATGGTGTAGATTGGACCAGAGGGTCTGGACGTCTTTGGGGGTCTTATGCTGCTTTGGGGACTCCATCATGTGATTTGTTCCCGTCTTGTGACTAAACGTGTCCAAGGCGCATCTTTGAGAGGTAGTCCATGCCTGGGCGAGGGCATGGCGTGTTTTGTGCTTCAAATCCGCCGTGTTCTACGGACCATGAAACCAAAATAAGCAGCCCCACATGCGCCATCGGCCCAGATCCCTTTGAAAGCGAAAAAAAGGCGACGCCCAGCGACCCTCGGTCCGGGGGACCTTTCCACACGACGCGTTTTTTTCGACGATGCTTGACAGCCCGACCTCACCGATGTCGATCGATCGGCTTCGTGCCGACTCGAAGGACGGAGACCACGATGACGGCGTTGGTCGCAAAACGGATATGGTTTTTGTTACACCGGGAAGGACCAGGGGTCACTACTTACGCCATGGTAGGCCACATGTTTCGCCATTGGTCCGGTTAAGGTAGCCTTGGATTGAAAAAATATGAAAAACAAACATACCTGGACAATCAAGGGGTGTCCAATGGAGGTCCCTTAGTAGTGTAGGGGCTTCCATTCGTGACCCCTTTGAAGGTGCTGGTATTCTGTTCTTCACACCCTAAGAATCCGGGTTCTCGAACAGATAGGGTTTGGTTCGGGCCCGGGTCCCTCCATACGGTAGGGTCCGACCCCCATGGAGAGCCCTGCCAGGATTCTTAGGGCATGTTGTTTCAGGCGCGGTCGACGTTGGAGGCAAAAGCCCGGAGTCCAAGCCACACAAGTCCTTGACGATCTCGTCGGTGGATTTGCCTCAGCGATTTCCCACGCGAAGGCAACACACGAAAAGATGGTGGAGGTTGGAACACTTGGACGGTGCTGATTCGGGACCTGGCAGAAAAAGTTTCAAAACCCAGACGCTCCAAACAGGCCTTGGGCCCTCAAAACCATAGGGATTTGAGGGTCCGGACCCCTCCATATGAGGGTCCGACCCCTGCATATGAGGGTCCAGGGTCGCGTCTGGGAAAGAGAAAAACAACAGTTAGGGGATTCACCCAGTCTGGGCCAAATAAGACGACTCACCCAGTCTGCAAAACCCGGATTGTGACATGTGACCCTTCAAATTGGACGGTGGTGCGGTTTCTTTTTTGACACTTGCCTGATGACGCCTGATGCCTCAAAAGAAGCTTGCTCTGTAACACATGGTCCTCGAGGTATCCTCCCAAAAAAGGAACTTCAAAAGCCTCCTCTGCAGCTGAGGAGATTCCCTCTATCTCCCCTCCGACCGCCCTTCCTCGACAAGCCCGAAAAGGGGCAAGCCCTGGTCAGGTTTGGGGTCACCGGGATCATTTACTGAGTGACCCCCAAGCCAGAGATTCCAGAGATGTCTGGAAAAGAAAGGTGAAAGAAACGAACTCCAACAGGGTTGGAGTGGGATGTCCCACGTCCGGGTGTCCCCCCCAAATCCCCCCAAAAAGGCTTGGGCAAGACAGACCCTGTGGAATTTCCAGATGCGCCAAAACCTTGGCATTGCTGATCAAAGGCTTGGTCTAGCCCAATCATCGGACTCTGCGGGGCACTGGATGGGGGAGTCCCATCGGTTCAAAGGACGACGTTCGAACCCCGGACGCCTCCGACTCGTCGGACGTAGGACGTGCCGAGGGTAGGGGTGCCAATGCCCCTTGCGGAGTCCGTCACTGACCTTCACCGGGCGCTCCGTGATTGAAGCAACAAGTACAGGACAACCTGCTCCTAGTAGAAATGCCCTTGTTACTATAGTAGCTTCTAGTTACTAGTAGTAGGGCCAGGAGCTACTACAAGTAGTAGCTTCTTCCAAGGCGGCTTGGGCCTTCGTGTTCATCATGAGACAAACCGGACCAAGCGGACACGATCTGTATCCTGCGTTCGGCAAACGCTTCGACGGTTCATCGCCACCCGACCACCTGGGCCACCCGACCACCTGAGCCTCCAGAGTCTTTTGGCTGAGTCTCGATGATCGTCATGATCATCCTGAGTTCGCTTGAGCCATGGACAACAGCGAAAACTGGTGCTGCCGGTCCAATGCGGTGACCGATGACGGGCGCCCAACTACCTCCGATCCTCGCGAGGTGAAACGCAAGCAAGCTCCTCGACCGACGACCCGGATGTGGACGACTTCCATTAGACGCCCCAAATGAATGGGTCCGACCAAAGTTCTCTCGCTCACTCTTTCAAAAGTTGGACGGAACTGATGGAACTCTTCTTTTGGAAGACCACCAACTGCTTTTCCCACCACCAATCCTCAAAGCAAGTCAGGAGTTGTCACAAAGACATGATGCACTCTGCACTAGCTGATTATATATCCCAACTCCATTCTCTTGGCTATGTTTTTTGCTGGATGGCCAGATACTACTAGATAGAGGGACCGTTCGAATCACCGTGAGTGATTCATTGAAGTCAAGGATCTCTGATGCCTCCTTCATGCGGTAGGTCAGATCCGCGTTGTTGTGCAGGCCTGGTCAGCTTGCACCCGCCACCCGCCACCAAAAAAAACGGACAGAAACGAAAGAAATCGAACCTGGTGGTTAATGCCCCTTGACCTCTTTTCGGGGCTATTCATGGGTCCCGATCGTCCAGCCGACCTCTAGCGGCACGACCAAGCGCACGAGCGCTTGGTCAAGCGATGTGTTCTGAGAGAGACGGAGGAGAGAGTTTCTCCATGGAGCGAATCTCGATTTGGTTGTCCTTTCCATTTGATTGGCAGCTCCCAACCCATCCAACCCTCAGACGTCTGAGGTTCAGTAGGAGGTCAAGTAGGTCTGAGATGGGCAAAGGTCAAAGTCCTGAAGCGCCTACGGTGAAACGAACCTGCGATGGTCAATGCTAAATCAGATTGGGTCAAAGATGGTCGGATGGAGTCAGGACACAGGCCAGTTCGACCAGCTGAATCTGCTCAAGTCTGATCAGTCGTGAAAGAACCAGTTCGAACAGCAGAAATCAATGAAATCAATGGGTTCAAGGCAATGAAAGGAGTCAACTTGTAGGAGGCCATGAAAGGAGTCCATCACCAGTGGTGACCTCTCCGTTTCTCTATGTAAAGTCCTTCAAACGTAACAGAGCTCGTGAGCTTTTTCATTGGCGAGATGTGACACTGTGATACCGTGCCCGGTAAAGGATTCTTGTGGAAAAACCACCAAAAGCTGCCTCTGGATTTGCTTGGATTTCTGTCCAGGACCCACAGGAAAGAATAAACCATCTTCCCCAGCAACATCCAAAATCACAGAAGAAAAACATCCAAAACCCGCCCAAACCTGCCCAATTCAAGCTGAGATTCCAAAGATCAATGGAGAGTCCACTGATGGAATGGTGTCAATCGCTTCCTGCGCCGCGGCACCGCGCCGCACCACCCGCGGGTGGAGCGGGCTCAAGCGAGCGAGAGGATGCAATGCTTGGAACTGCGGAAGGGGCGTGTTGAGGTCCCAGCCTTGTACTGCTGAATGTCCAAGCCTTCGGGAATCTTGTAGTTGTAGTCTGACCTTCAGTCTCATTCTCAAAGAGGATAGGAATGAAAGGTTTAAAATATGCCATGCACTTCAAAGTTCACAGCAAGCACAGCAGGGCATGTTCATCAAAGCAAACCTCCATAACCATGGTGCTGAAAGTGCGCAAGAGAAAGAAACTGGATACCCATTTTGTGGATCTGAGGCCATCGCTGGTAGTTGTTGAAAGTGAAGGATGGCTTCCAAATGTCATCGCCTTGGACAACAGAAGGGCTGTCTACCTACCCTCTCTAGATCATAAAGGAAACACCCACATCAATCTCTGTGACGTAGGTTGGCATGTCAAAGTCGGATCTTCCTTGATCTTCCTTGGCCTTTCTTCAGAGCCGAAGAAGAAAAACCCAAAAACCGAGGACGGAGCAGAACCACTTGGCCGCGTAGGTGTTGAAGAGCTCACGGTCCAAGTCATCCGTGATGCGGCCGCCGTACTGCGCCTCCGCCACCATGTATTGCACCGTGACCTCAGACCGTCGTCCGGTCTACCCCGCGCTGCGGACCTACGGTGTCAACGGCGTCTCGACCCGTCTCCCCCTTCGGAAGGGCGTTCGAAAGCGGAAACGGCGGAGACCGGGATCGCCCCAGTGCAGCGGCGGTCGACGGTGAACCGACGACGGGGTGTCCGGCTTCCCTAATTGGTCCGTTCGGTTTTGGGGGAATCCAGTGATATCCACTGGTAGGGTGGTTCGGTGCAAAGCGGTGTGAAGAAGCTTTGATCAACATCCAACCACCGATTGAACGAGCAAACATCAGCAAAGTAGAGCATCAAGAACCACACGTTGTTGCTCCAATGCACGCCTTTATACACTGCATATGTATTATCCAGCTATAGAAGCTCGCCAAAGCAACTGTTCATGTCTTTTTCAGGGGACAAGATGGGAGCTTTTCGGCGCGAGCCGACGAAACGCGAATGCCTAGCAAAACGCATGCCGAGCCGAGCCGTGCGTTGAAACCTGGTGGCGTCTTTTTTGGAGGTCATTACGTTGATCGTCACCTTCAACAGGGTGGGAATTCACCTTTAGCATGCTGCTCCCCAAGACTAAGAGCTCTGGCCGATGGCCGCGCGAGGGATGCGAAAGAAGGTCAAAACGGTACAGTCTGTAGTGAAAGCTTGAGCGCTTGGATTTCCTTGGACTTCCTTGGATTTTGTTGTCTTGGCTCTTTTGGATCGTTCAACGGACCCTGTATTTTCCACCGAAAATGAACAGACTACGAGACCTACCCATTTGGGAGGTGCTCCAGGTTTTGACCCACACCCACTTCAGTGTTGGGTCACGAGACCATCGAAGAGTAGAGGACCAACAACTTCGTGTGAAGGCACGGCGTTGCAATGCACAAACACTTGCTAGCTGCTACAGCAAGCTAGACCTGTGAGAAAGAAGCAAAGCACATTTCGATCCAAGACAGTGAATCTGCATAAATCTGCAGTGTCCCCCTTTTTTGCCACCAAAGCTCCCTGCTTTTCTAATTTGGCTTCGCTTTTCCAAAGATCTGTTTTGTAGTAATGGAAGTGGATGGCACATCATGGCACCAACTCCTATAGAGGAAGATGGTCATCAATCGAGGCGATGCCATCCAAAACCACGATGATTCCTAGGGATATCCAGGGAGAAAACCTCCACTGCCCTCCATTGCCCTCCATCCCTCCAGTTCACCTGTCAGACCATGTTCCCAAACCGGCACCACGGTTTTTTTGGGTGCTTAGTGGAGGGAAAATACCCTCAGGGGGGTATCTATAAAGCATCTTATCTGGAATACTTGGAGTGGAACTTTGGATAACCTGGTGTCCATCCACACCCATCCACACCCATCCACACCATAGTCAAGCAGCCCAGGAGATCGGCTGTCCAGCCACAATGGTAGCAGAGACATGCTTCTCCAAGAAGAGTAAGCCTTCAGTCAGCTTCACAGGTTCCACTGACTTTGCCGGTCCCTGCAGTGACTTGAAACAAAAACAAACCTTTTTATGCCAGGGATGTCACATGAACACCGTCAGTTTCGAGGGCCCCAAAAGCGCGTTCTCTGGAGAATCCACGGGTTTTTGACCAGCCAGTGCTGGTTCTGTTGTGCTGGCCAGTCGACTGGTGGGGTTCCCCAGACCGACCAGCAAGAATAGCATCACAGCGAGGAAATCCTCCGTCTTCACCCCGTCGATATTCCGCAGGAAGTGGGTCATTTGGGGATGAGATAGGAGTTGCCAGAAGACCAAAGGAGGTTGGAAGTTCATGTGTTGCCCTCTCAATTATGAAGGTTCTTTATTTGCGCAAGTGGTTGGATTTTGGAAGTTCAACCAGCTGAAAAGGATCGCTCCATTGAAAAAGAGTTTAAGAAAAAGTAGAAAACGATAGCTGCGCGTTCCAGAAATCCCCAGCGGAGTTCCAGAATGCATCAAAGCGGCTTGAAATGAACCTTGAAGTTACAAATTCCCAGCTTCTTCAAATTGATCTTTGGGGAGTCCCCAAGTGACATTTCACAGGCCTGTTTGTGACCTCAAACCAAAATCAAAAGGTCCCCTGATGTTACAAGGTTGGTGATTTCTAACAACATGAAACTTTGCATATCGCCATTGAGATTGACGATCCTGGGCAAAGGCTACAAATAGAAGCCACTAAAACAAGTGCCTCTAGTGCTTTGGGACAGGAGTTCATCTCCACACGAAAAATCTTACCAAACGACTTGCAAAAAGTATAAAAGATTATAAAAGATATATGCCCTGGAAGTCCAAAAAAATACTTTCAATTGTCCCCACTGAATGAAATTCCTCCTCGGGTCACCTAAATAGACCCATTCTTTGAATAGTCGACTCCCAGGATACACAAGATTCAGATTCACAAAGTCCTCCCAGGAAGCCCCTGTACCGGCCGGAAAAAAGAAAATACAAAAACAAAACAAATCACTCACCCTGGCTGACCACTGGCCACAACCCCCTCCGACCAAGAAACATGCATCCAGGTCAGAGTTGTTGTACTCATAGGGGATACACCATCCAATGGGACCTGGGCGCGTCCGGACGAAGGACGACCATGAGTTCGGATTGAAGACATCGACGACACCGTTTTTGCAGACATGGCGACACATGGCGACACCGAGAGGTGTCTGATCCAAGATTGCTTTGAGTACGACACCTGATGAAAGAAAAAACAAACAGATTTATCCTTTACGATCATCTTGTGACTTGTGACATCTTCTGACCCCACCTGGCGGGCAGACCCGGCAGGTCACCGAACGGGTCTGCCAACGGAAGCCCGGCCGAGGCCCTGGCCGAACTTGCGCCTCTCCTGGACGATACTGTGCAAGAAGGCCTCGGCCCACGGAGTCGTGGTCGGCCGCCCGATCCGTCGGTCGGTCCCCATGCGTCAGTGACACAGGCAGATCCGAATGGTACAAACGGGGAAAAGCGGAGATTGGGGAGAACAAGAACATGCTTGTAACTATACATATAAGCAGCTTATAAGCATTTCTGTCTTTAAAACCCAGGCGTTGGACTTTTGCGTGCCAAGAAAAAAGAATGGATGCACATGGATGAACATGAACATGAACATGACCGTTGGACCCCTTGGTTTTGTGGTTCGACCCGATCTCAGGACATCTCAGGTCACCCGAGCCTGCACGAAGACCAGCGTTCTCCACTGTGGCAGATCGATCCTCAGCAGCCAACGAGAACGAGCAGCTCTCGGTGTGTTGAGCAGCTCCTTCCGTCCGACCAAATGGGATCTCTTGTCCCATGGGGAGACCCAGAAAACGCACGGTTTCTATGCCATGCCCTATTATGTCATCCTATGAACATCGTCGTGTCCCAGTTGACGCCCAGTTGATGAAGGCTAGGCTTCTAAGGCCCAGTTGCTATGATAGCATAGCCTTTTAAAGTAAGCAACTGGACCCACCTGTACACGCCAAGAATCTTGTCCAAGAGCTCTTGAGACACCATGGTGCTGTAGGTTCGGTAGAGACCCGCCTTCAAACCTGCTGGTGGCTCCAAGGTCACCTGCGCGTCAAGGTCAAACCAACGGACTGGACTGTTGACTTAAAGAAACAAAAACTGATCCAACAGTTGGTTGACAGTCCATACCAGACTGGTGTTACATCTCATACCATAAGTACCGATCCTCATACCAGATCCTCATAAAAGATTCGTGTTACATCTCTATATGGGAAGGTCCAATGGATCCTGTTACGCTCGCAGGATCACTCGTGTGCCACCGACTTGACTTGCAAAGCACTCTATATAGGGATTTGTTGGGGTCATGAAAGCATCTCTCCCTACCTTGATGGCAATCTGCAACAAGCCAATGGGGAAGCGGAGAGTAATCTCACCTGACAGTCACAGCTTCGGAAAACGGCTTCGTCCACTCTGTCGGCGTGTGAGAAGAAGCCGTTACGTTGAAAAGCCAAACGTGGCCACGCGCGGTTCGCCTCGCGCAAAAAAACACGCGCGAACCGTCTTTCTCCCGGTCGAAAGGCTGGTCAACAAAGTCGAGAAAAAAACATATTATCATTATTAGTTTTAAACGCAAGGCTCATACCCAGTAACAACGCACTGGGGTGCCGAAAGTTGCGTTTCTTGACTTCTATATAAAGATCTATATATACATCTGCCCCAGACGCGTCCTTTTGGGGGGAACAAGCGAAACAGAAACGAAAAGGTTTTCAACGGTATGGCAAATGTGACACTGTTGACTCAGAGCGTGTTCTTTTTCTGACGGTTTCGCTGGTACGCAAACTGAGCCGAGCACAAGTGATCCACAACCTGACAAATGTCCAATCAAACCAAATCAGATTTGAAACATGTTCATGCGTTCATGGCCGCTGATTTTCAGAGTCTGGAGTCTTGACATTGAGAAAAGAAAGGATGTGGTAGTACCGTACATAGCACGTGACGTAGCCCCCTCCTACTTACTTCGTCAATGCCATCAGGACCAGGACCGCATGCCTGAAAGCTTCATCAATCTCTGGGGTCTTCAAAAGCACATCTTCCAGCTCGCACATGTAGCCTGGAGCGCATGGAGCGTGTGTCGCTCGGGGTGTCGAGGGCAGCCGAAGCCGACACGGAACCCGAACACACGCGGCCCTCACGCGCTTCGTTCAATCCAGCAACAAACTCGCTGGTCAGACTCCTGGGTGAGCGAGTGAAGCAACGAAGTTTTTCGGGATTGAAAACCAAGTGTTGACCCATTGCACCCGGAGAGTCACTTGGAGAGTTCAACCTTCTCTCCTGTGGATTCACCGGATTTTTGAGGGTTTGCTACGAGTCATGCCAGTTCAGGGCGCAACGTGTCCATGTGCCGGAAACACGTTGGCCGTGTGTACCCGACTCCAGTCATCCGAGGCTTCTGCGATCCCCGATCTAGATAGACAAGTGAACCTCCCAGACGCTCATGGACCCTCATATGCAGGGGTCGGACCCTCATATGGAGGGGTCCGGACCCTCAAATCCCTACGGTTTTGAGGGCCCAAGGCCTGTTTGGAGCGTGGAGCGTCTGGGCTGTTTTGATGCTTTTTGGCGGGTGATGCCTATTCTTCTAACCCCCGAAAAGCTCTCCGATCCTCTGGTTTTCAAGTGTTAGCCCAGAAACCCAGCCAGGCCGAGTCCTTCCATGCCAAGGTACCAATTCCCAAGTGGGAGTTTTGCAGAATGACCCAACCACCAGTGACAAAGGCTGCATTGTTCTTCTCCTCAGTATCCATGGACCATCTTGCAGGTATTTTTGAGACGTGTCCCTTCAAGCCATTGATGGATTTCTCGATTTCCACGTTGGACGTGGCCCAGCGGTCTCCGGGTGTGTGGCGACGAACGTCCCTGTCACTGTGCGGTCTCTCATGGGTTCGAATCGACCACTGTAAGGGTCCGCCCGCCCGTGGTGGACTCTGGAGGTTCAGGAAATGAAGAGGAAAAGCTCTGTTTTGAGGGTACGAACATCTATAGCCAAGCAGCTAGCTGACTATAGATGGTATACTCTAATGTGACCTTTCCCCCAGTCGCAGCATCACTTCACAGGAAACTTGTCCTGGACAGAACCATCCTTCAAAAGACCCAAGAAAGATCCACTGACTCACCTTCCTGTAACTCGTTCCAAGCGACCCGAGCCACCCTCTCTTGGCCCTCACCCATGGACACCTGCCATGGCAACGTCGAGTTCGGTGAATGAAAATGGCCCTTTTGGTGGTCCGGACGCGTTGGACTCGACGAGACGTGTTTGGATGTCAACGAACCGTCAGGCTCCACCAGTAGCTAGGGTACATCCCATTGTCAGGACCGAACATGTGGATGATGGCGGGGCCTGCTTGCAGAAAAACAACATCTCAAGACTCAAGATTATGTGTTTTTACCTTTTGCCGATCTGGTAATGGGACACACTTTTCCCCTGCTTGATGTAGCCTAGCCACTGTAAGGGTTCATTTCTGTTCAGCAAGGAGATGGCAAGGGTGTCTCAGTGAACAATCCCCCTCTTTCAAAAATCTATGACTTCATGATTTCATCCACCAAATCTGCACCTTCTGGGAAGTAGGCGTGAACAAAGCCAAGCCAAGTAAAGCCTCCACATCACAGAAAAACAAATAAGTTACAGAAGTGAAATTGCCTTGTCCGTGGGGTACTTCTTCTTCTTCTTGGCCAGCTCATCAATGCTAAAGGTCGGATCGCTACCTCTCCAGGCGACGAAAAACACATCGAAACATGGAGAAGAACGGTGTTTTGGGGCCTCCGAAGATCCCAATTTTTCTGGGTCATCTGAATCGGTGGTCTTTCAATTCTGTGCACCCATCTAGGAACTGATGTGCTTCTTCAAGAAAATAGGACCATTGAGACAGTGTGAAAGAGAGAGAGAGAGAGAGCGAGATAATATATATATTATATATATAATATATTAAATATATATATTTAAAACTGATCAAACAAGCCAGCTCCCTGCAGAAAAAGCTCTTCCACGAAACGAACCGCTTGTGACGAAATGGCAATCGAATGCGCTCCCAACCGAAACGCTGCCACGCTTTTTTGGCTTTTGAACAGAAAAGGCAGCTCATGGCCTTCAGTTTGGTTTGTCTCAAGAACACGCTTCTCGTTTTGTGCGTGTCATCCTTCAACACTCCCCCTTCATCGGGTCGCTAGGCTCCGATGATCCAGAGTCTTTCTTCTTCAAAATCTGAGCCTCCCAGGCTCAAACCACCTTTTCACTTTCTTCATCCTTCATAGGGTGTGCATCGCGTGCACGGTGTGTACCGCAGCAGCGGCTCTGAGCGGAGCCTCTTGCATGCCTTGTTGGGATGAATTTCTCCACCCCATGAATTGGACCACATGTTCCAATTCGTTCTTCTTCCGATGCTCCTGGTGCAGTCAGGGCACCATGGAGACTTCTTTGCCGTTCCTGTCCTTGGTGCCACCAAATAGTCGCAGGACTCTCGGCAGTGGAATGCTTTTCCAAACCTTGTTGTCAGGACAGGAGGCATGTACATCGTGGGTGTAATGAAGGGCACCCTTTCTCCGGACTTTGGTGTGGCTTGGAGTCTGTTTCCTCCAGCCGGCGTCCCCCCTTGTGCTCCAGCATTTGTTGAGCTGGATGCCGTTGGGTTTCGTTCTTCTTCTTCTTCCATTTCTTGGATCCTTTTGCGAAAATCCAAGGCCTTTCTGGCTTCTTCCTCTTCTTCCTTTTCTTTCTCCTCTTCTTTTGAGAGCTCCATCCAGTCAGGTGGTGGTGTCCACCCCTTTGGAACTTTATATGGAGTTCCGTCCACCTTGATGATCTTTCCTTCTCTTCCTTTTGATCCCATCTTGTTCGCCGTGAGTGGAGGCGTCATTGGGATTTCTTCTGGTAGACCAACCGGCCTGGATACTTCTGGTGTCCGTGGTGGACTTCTTCCTTCTCCCTCTTTGACCTTCAAGGCCTTCATCTTTCTTGGAGTCCTTGGCGGGGTTGCGGGAAGACTTCTTGGGTGTGTGGATCTTCCCCTTGAAGGGTACCACAGGCCCGGTACTCCTTCCTTCGCAACCCACCAGACGATCATCGTGACGAGGATCACGCTCATGGTGTAGATCATCACGATCATTTCAAAGGAGATGCCTGTGGCTTCTTCCTCCCTTTCATCTTCTCCTTGTGCTTTAGTGGCCGTGAGAGAAGCTGCAATGAGAAGCACTCGCAAAATCGCAGCTGTCTTGGCCTTCTTCACTTGTATTTCTTCTTCGAATTCTCTTTCACATTTTCCTTCTCCTTTCTTTTCCTCACTTTTCTCCCCTTCTTCATTTGGTTTCACATCCTTTTCATCCTTCTTTTCTTCTTCTTTCGCCGTCTTGGCCATGTTCATCTTCTTCTTGAGGTCTTCCAATCGGGGTCCTGTGAGAGGTTTCGTCCCGATGTCTGCCAGCATGTCCTCGCCTGGAACGTGGGCTATTCCCCACAATCCCTCTTGAAGGCATTGGCGAGTGTAGGCTGAGCGGAGACGAAGATGTCTTGTCCTCCATGACCCTCCTTCTGATGTCAATATTGAGAGACCTGACTGGCTGTCGGTCCAGGCCATTCTTGGAAGCCTTCCCACCAATTCGTCGAGGATCACCGAGATTGACTCCCCGGCAACCATGCCCTCAACCACTTCAGTGAGTTCTGCCTCGGCCGTTGACAGCGTCACTGTACTTTGGCGACCTGATTTCCAGAAAATGGGGCATGAGCCCACCACCACAATGCAGCATCCATGGGATTCCTCGGCATTTGGAGCATATGATGCGTCAGTGAAGACGTTGAGCGCCAAATCCTCATCTTCTCTCAAGAGGTACTTGAGGCCGAGGGTCTTCGTTCCCAATAGATATCCTTTGGCTTGGATTCCTGCTTCAGCGACAGCTTGTGGACTTCTCAGGATGTTGGCCCCCATTCTGGACACTGAAAACATCAAATCTGGCCGTGTTCTAGTGACCAGCCACAAGAGTTCGCCCACCACCTTTTGGGCTGAACGGATTTGTGCCTGTGATGGCATTTCTTCTATCGGCTCCATCGAGGCTTGGTCTCGTGTCATCGGGATCTTTCTGGTTTTCAGCTTCTCCTCTCCTGTGCTCAGCAGGTCTTCCACATAGGAGGACTGGGAGATGAACCATGCAAACCTTTCAGCTTGGTGATCCCATTCTTTTGACACTTCCATGCCCAGGAACTTGATCGGTACTTCGGAGACATCTTGTGGACTTGAAGTGGTCCAAGTCTTCTGAACATGTTCACGGATGGCCTTTGTGACTTCTTGGGGTCCCACTATGAACAGATCGTCGACGTAGGTCATCACTAGGCCTTTCATTTCTTCACTTTCATCTTCTTCGAAGACCACTTTCCACAGGTTGGGCTCCGAGTCCAGGGCCTTCAACTTCATCTTCTTTTCTTTTCCTTCTTCTTGGACCTTGACCTCAAACTTCCTCATCGCTTCATCACGATGTTCACCCCATAGGCGTGGAGACCTTCTTAGCCCATATACCGCCTTCTGTGGGAGGTAGTAGGTGTCTTTTTCCATGAAGCCTCGTTCTACAAAGAACGTGGGTGGAAGGACGAGCATCAAGTGTTCATCATCCTTGAACGTCATTTCAGCGTTCAAGAAGGCTGTCTTCACATCAAGGCTTGTGCCTTCCCACTGGTGTCTCGCCGCCAGCAGGATCATGATTCGGAATGCTGAGGCATCAGCACCACCTGAGTAGTTGGTTTCCTCAGGCTGTTTGGACTCAAAGTTTCCACAGATCACCCAACGGACCTTGAGTTTTCCACCATTCTTGCCAGGTTTTCTGGCGAACACCAACTTTGACGGAATGAGTTCAACCTTCACTCCTCTTCTTCTGGCCTCTTCCATGAAGTCTGTGACCTTTTGAGCTGGGAGTGGTAGAAGTGCTTGCTTCTCCGTGAGCAGCGAATGCACTTCATCCTCAGCCGATGGAATCCATTTCTTCCATTCTTTCGCCACTTCTTTCGGCGAAACAATCTTCGTTTGGAGGATTTCTTCTTCTTCCTCCACCCCTTCTTCAAGGATCTTCTTGAGCTTCCCCAGAACGAGGATTGAGCAAACTGCGAGGTCAGGGTCATCGTCGTGGATCTTGAGCATTTCTTCCTCCACAACCCTTTTTACCCTCATCTTTTCTTTCTTTTCTTTCTCTTCTTCACTTTCCACCTCCTTTTGTAATTTCTTTATGGTGGTCTTCCCCCTGAGCCTTCTTCTGAGGGTGAGGCCGTCCAAGAGTTCACGTTCTAGGGCGATCCATTGTCCCTCTGTGGGCCTTCCTTCCACCTTTTTCATCACACATCGGGTGAGTCTTGGTCGTTCACCTTCCTTCACGATCCAGTGACCGTGGTTCTCGGTGGATGGACCGAGATAGCACACTTCTTCCATAGTGGGTCCCAGATCATCCCTCTGCCAGCGTCGTTTCCTTACCAGGATCTTTTCCATAAACATCGGAAAGGTTGGAACCTCGTAGATCCTATGGCAGCGGAGGATCTCGTTGATGTACCTTGTCGCCCATGGCCACCACCGAGCATCTTTCTCAGCTTGGTGTAATGCCTTGCGAACCATCGTTTTCACTCGTTTCACCGTGGATTCTGCACGGCCGTTCGCCTGGGGTTCGTCTCCTGCCGTTTTGGTCAGCATGATTCCCCGTCTCCTGCAGTAGGCTGCAAACTGACCTGAAAATTCACGGCCTTGATCTGTGTGTATCCGATTGACGGTGTATCCGTCCATCTTCAACCTCAACACCATTTCCATAGTGGCCTTGGTGACTTCCATGGCCTTTTTCGTGAGCATAGGAAGTGCCAGGTGGAATGTCTTGATTTCGAAGTCCTTTGGAGGATGGGAATCCTTCGTTGGCAGAGCTTCATCTCCCCCTGGGCTCAGCTCCTCCTGTAGGTGACCCACCTCCCTTCCTTCTCTTTCCTCTGCATCCGAGATTGTTTCTCGGTGTCCTTCTGGGATCTCTTGATCTTCTTGGATCTCACCTTGTTCTTCATCTTTTCCTTTACCTTCTTCCTTTTCCCTTTCCGCCTCAATCATCGGCAGTTCTTCTTCACCTTCTGCTTCTGGTTCCTCCTCCGTGGTTCTGTTGGAGCCTTTTGGAATGGCCCAAGTGAAGGCGCCAGCCAAAAAGTATCTGGACAACTGTCCTCCTTGGTCTGTTGCAGGTGTCAAAGGTCCTGCAGTGTCCAACGAAAGGACTCCAGCTAGTGAGTGTGGAACTCGACGGTGAGGATTGCACTGCTGCATGTTTTCTTGACATGTTTTGCAGTCTCTTCTTGATGGCGTGTGCCCAAATGCCAAGTGTTCCTCCCAGGATAGAGCCTTCATTTTCGGCTGTTGATGAAATGCCTGGGCAAGTAGGGCCGTTGCGACCATGTTCATCAGTCCTGGAGGCCATCGGGCCAACTGCCATGAGTGGGTGACCTGTCGATCGTCCATGGACTTGAGGACATGATCTTCGGGTGTCAATTGGAGGTTTCCTCCAAAGGTCGTTGGCTTTGTGGCTGCTCCTCCCAGAGGTCGTTGTGAGAATGTCGTTTCTTCCCACTCAAATTCTTCTTTCAGCGAAGTCCACTGGGGCGTGTCCCAAAACGACACCACTTCTGGTTTGTACTCCCTTGGTGATGCCGGCTGCTCAAGAGAGAAGATGAAAGGATCTGGTTCCCTTCTCGCTTTTCGAAGATGTGAGGCGACCATTCCCAAAAACACCATTCGCCAGAGCAGCACGTCATCTTCCCAGAGCTTCTGTTTCTCTTCTTGCGTGGCTTCTTTTATCCCAAACTCTTCCCCTCCCCATCTTCGGATCAGGTCCAGGGACTGGAACATGTCGAAGAACTGACCTTGTCCTGCAGTTGGGTCCTCCGACCAGACCTCGAACCTGTCCAGACAGAACGGCTTTGAGGAGTGCTGGATATACTCCATTGGACTTCAACATATTGTGTTCTGGACCTCGTTGTAGGTCAACTTCAAGCAACTCAACCTCCTTTCCTCCGATCTGCTGCCACGCACGACTGAGAGTGAAGCCTTCTTCGGGACCTGCATATAGATGGACAATGAAGCCATCTCTTTTCATTCTTTTTCTTTTTCTTCTGTTGGCTGGCAGTCGACATCCTTCTGAAGGCATCACGACAAGCTCCTTCTTGATTTCTTCTGGGAGAGATGCCAAGACTGGATGCTTCTCCACCAGCTCCTTCATCCACTTCATTTCTCCTTCAAATTCTTCCACCTCCTTGAACTTCATTCCCTTTTTGACTTGTTCTAGCTCATCAATGAGCTGGATGGCAACCTTTTTCGGAACTTGTGGACATCCTTCACAATCATCAACTGGGAGCTTTCCGTGGACAGGATGGATCACTTCCAAGCTTCCTCGAGACCAGGTGACCTTGCAGTCCAACTGCTTCGTTAGTTGTCCCATCGGGATTATCGGCTCGATGTCTTGGTCTTCAGTGATCATCACTCCCCCTGGAGTTATGGGGAGCCAGGTGGTTTGACCATCGGCAAGAGCAACTTGGACTTTCTCGTAGAGCTCCTTGTTTTCGCCCCTTTTGATGGGTCGGAGCGGATGTGTGGCTCCACTGTCCAGCAACCCGGCCTTCTCTCCCCTTTTCAATCTCATCAGGCGGAATGCCTTTTGGCGAAGTGCGTTGAGCTGCTTTTGCAATCTCTCCATGACTTCTTCTCTTTCTTCTCCTTCCTGAGCAGTGGGAGACGAAGTGGAGGACGAGGGAGACGAGTTCAACGACTTCAACATTTTATTTGCTTCTTCCAGCAAGTCCTTTACGCTTGGCTGCACCGATCCACTTGCTTCTTCTTGTTCTTTTACTTCTTCCTTTCCATCTTTTCCTTTTTCTGCTTTTGCAATCCTTGGCTTCAGACCTTCTTTTCCTTCTTTAGGCCTTGTGCATGCTGGAGACATGTGGTCAGTGCCACCACAATTCCAGCATCTTCTCTTTTCATCCTTTTGATCATGGGAAAACGTGCATCCATTGCCTCGCTTGCAACCATTGTCGGAGAGGTAGAAGCGGCACTTGCTTTTCTCTTTGTTCCCGATCTCTTTGTTGTCTTTTGTACCTTGGTCTCTTGACTGCTCTTCAAACTTCTTCAGCTTTGGAGGTTCGGTTGTCACCTCCTTCTTCTTTGCTTGATGGCCCATGGTCTCCAATTCAGCCAACAAGTGGTGCGAGTACTTTGTGACCGATTCTTGGGTTGGAATCGTGTCCACCATCAGTTGATTCCTAGTCAATTGCAAGCGGAAGTTCAGGTCCGCATAGGTGGCGCTCAACTTCTTCATCAGTTTTCCTAGTCCCCTGACCAGGATTGTAGCATCTGGAATTGAGACTCCCAGATCTTCTGCTCTTCTTTTCCAGCGAAGCCACCTTCTGAGGGTTGTGACTCCACTTGCAATACTTTGTGCTTCCTGGGGCCCTTCGAGAGCGGCCAAGATAGCGGACTTTTCCGCTAGCCCACCAGGCTGATACTGTCTCATGCCCTTGGTGAGAATTCCGAGAGTGCTCAGCGACCTTGAAGACACCACTTCTTCTCGAAGACCTTCAGGTATCGCAGCGAGCAATAGGGATGCTGCTCGTCTTTCCAGTCGAGCCCATTTCTTCTGAGTCAGCATAGGTGGAGGAGTTGGATGGTGCTGGAGTCTTTCCAATGGGGTCTTTCCCATGTGTGACATGTACCAGGACTTCGCTGCCTCCACTGTAGCTTGCCACCATTCTTCGGAGCTGCTGCTTAGATCACCCATGAGAGGTTGAATGACCAGCAACCAATCCGAGAAGTCAATCGGACCAGTCTCCGGGGACCATTCGGCCAACTTTGGAAGATCAGCGCTTCGTTGGACGACTTCGGGCGGTCCTCCGGCTTCTTCATTTCCATCTTCCTTCAGGTGACTTTTCACCAGCTTCTTTTGGATGTCCTGCATACCCTGCATGAGGCGCAGGATAACATCGATCGTTTGTGGTGGGATGGCTTCACCAGAGGGTTCTTCTTTCTTTCTCCCTCCAGTTCCCTTCCCTGTTCTTCCTTTTGGAATGTCTTCCATCTCTTCTTCCTCTTTGGCTTCAGTCCTTGCAGCTTCTCCTCGAAGATCTTCTTCCAGTCCTGAGCTGCCGTTTGGCGTGGCGAAAACCACTTCTTCATCTTTGTTCTCCAACTGGTAGGAGAGACGATGCACTTGATTCTTCAATGCCCGATTTTCTTCAACGATCACCTGAAGTTGTCGAGCGTTGAGGGTTTCTCTTTCTTCTTTCCTTCTTTCCGCTGCTAGGATGCCTAGGGTTTGATCCCTGAGCCTTTGGTTCTCCTTCATGAGGAGTTGCATTTGCTTCACCATCTCATCTTTTTCTTCCCTTTCTTTCAGTCTCTCTTCAAAGCCCTGCAGTCCTTCTCCCCCTGGCTCAAACCCAAACCTTCGGGCCTCTTCCTTTGCTTCTTCGAGGAACGGAGGCCGCAACACGGATTGAGGTGTTTGGAACTTGGGGTAGAGCAGTGGGGCTTGTTCGTACATGGCGTGTAGGCCAGCAATCTGTTCTCGTGAGAAGAGGGGCAACTGTTCCTCTGGTGGTGTGGCCATTGATACAACTAAGTGTTCATGGCTTCCCATGAAGTCTTCTTCAACCCCCTTTTTTCCTTTCCCACCTTTTCCTTCATTTGGCGACGGACCAGGCCTCACCATGCGATCTTCTGGCGTCCTTAGGCCTTCTGCTTCTTCTTTTCCTTCAGCTTCCTTTGGCTCTTCTTGAACTCCTTGCCGTGGTCGCACGGGAGTCTTGGCCATTGGAACCTGCTGCGGAGTCCTCACAGTCGGCTGTGGGGTCTTGGCGGTCGAGGTGGAAGCCGATGCACGAGTTCGACTGTCTTCATTCGCTCCTGGGGCTGACGTTGATGGTGTCCCCTGGACTTGGAGTTCACTTCTATGGGAACCGCCTAGGCCAGCTATCCTTTCACCACCTTTTCCCCCCTCCTTTTGGTCTTCTAGAGAGAGTTCATCACCTTCCAGGCGCTGCTGCTCAAGTCGCTTGTGGGCAGCTTCCATCTCTTTTTGTCCTTGTTCCAGTTCAGCTTTGGTGGCTTTCCTTCGCCTCTGCTGAAAGGCCATCGGACCTTCGATCTTGCCAAGATCAACGTGACCTTGGGCTCGTAACCTGATCAAACAAGCCAGCTCCCTGCAGAAAAAGCTCTTCCACGAAACGAACCGCTTGTGACGAAATGGCAATCGAATGCGCTCCCAACCGAAACGCTGCCACGCTTTTTTGGCTTTTGAACAGAAAAGGCAGCTCATGGCCTTCAGTTTGGTTTGTCTCAAGAACACGCTTCTCGTTTTGTGCGTGTCATCCTTCAACAAAAACAAAAACACGAAAACATCCAAAAACGAGAGAGAAACGGAAAGAAAGAGTTCATCAAGTGGTGGCCTGCAGTGAGCAAGTACAAGACTGGCTTCCGGCATTGGGATTCCTCGTAGATGTCCTCGAAAGGGCACCCAACAACCCATGAGTCTGGCCACTCACAAACTGGCTGGTGCTTTCAACTCACTTGAAAAAGTCAACGGAGGTTCAGTCATCCCAAGAAAAGGTTGAAAACAAATACAGTAATGTAACGACCTCTGGTGGCTCTCTCCGAGCGTTCTTTTTGCTTTCTGCAAGATCAAGAGCTTCTGAGGGCAGTGGAGATGTCCCCTACCATGAAGCCAACCTCTGAAAACGTGTTTTTGGATGCAAGAGTGGTCCCAGTGCCGGTGTATGGCTGCTACGCAACACTGGAATTGATCAATGAGGTCCTTTCCCTTGGGGAAGAATAGAGGGTCGGTGTTGTATCAAATACCTTGCGACCGGTTGTATCAAATATCGATCCCTTCGATGAATCAACCGGTCGCCAGGTCGGTCCGGTCCGGTCAGACCATATCAGACCATCACGGACCGCAGCGGCCGGTGTCCTGAATGGCATCAGTGACTGGTGCAGTGAACCGGCTGTCCAGCATGGCCTCGCGGGGTGGGCCAAAGGGCCAACTACACCGCATGACGAATCAAGCAAGAGCCTGGAGCCTCAATGTCTTGAAATGGAACTCTGAACCGGCCTAAGACCCACCAAACATGTCAAAGTACGTGGCTTCAGCTTCTGAAACCTCAAACCATCCGCCCTTGGAGAGCTGGGAGAGCTTGGTGCTTCTTCTCCGAGAGGAACCACACCTCTTCTTTCACACCACCCCTCCGCGGCCCATGTGGCCACCTCCACGAATTGGCTGCAGGAAATGGTGGTGCGGTCTTCGCGCATTGAACGGACGATGGTGAGCCGCAAGAAGGGACCCAAGGTCCTACCATCGTCCGGAAGAACACTGCACGGAACCGGCAAGCGGATCGAAAACAGGCGAAGGGTGAACGAATGCGATGCCCAAAAATGGGGAGAATCATTTCAGTATCTGAGTATACTGAGTATATGCAGGCTGTTTTAGGTGTTCAAGTGAAACCGGCAGTCTCATGTGCATCTCTCGATGCTCTAACTCACAACGGCCCCCTATAGTATCCTATAGTACTTGAGTCCAAACTGCAGTCCCAGTCCTATCCATGTTGATGCGCTCGTCGTAGTCAGGGATGGGAACGCTCTCAGGTTCATTCTCATCGTACCACTTGCGCCAGGCAGGTTCGTTGCCTGCCGTGAAGACGGAAGATTTCATGAGGTTTCTTCATTACAGCCAGAGATTCCTGGTTTAAACTGTTTACTGGGCAGTGTCTCAACCGTCGACGCGCTCGCTCAACTGCTGCAGGAGAAACGTTGCATGAAGTCGATGATCTCCCGGAAGAACACGATCCTCAGCGAGCGACGTAGGAGATGCCGACCCCAGGACGTATGCCGTATGCCAGCATCCGATTTCGGCATGCCTTTCGTCGCTCGCGCCTGAAAGCCTTGATCTTTGGCCACTTATATAGATTAATCGGTCGTCCAAGACAACTCTGATGGACCAAAAACTTGGAACCATCGACCCTCTAGTCATACCCACCGCCCGCCGTTGGACTCGTGCGTGTTTGTATCTGTTTGTTGCCGAAATGTCCATGTCTGCTTTCCACTGTGGGATGACCCCACAACCGCCTGTCCCCAAGAAATCAGGAACAAGCACAAACCAAAGGGCAAAAAATTGCAAAGCATCGTGGCACCTCAAGAACTCAATACCAGCTTCCCGAGTCGAACGTCGGTGAGGCCTCCGGTGCCAACCACCATGGGCTGCCATGGGGATGGGTCATGCTGCTTCGTTCGTGACCTTCATACCTTCTGCCGGAACCGGTGCTACCTGGTGGACTGGTCGTACCGGACCGGGCTCGGCACCGGTGCGACCCCCATCTCCGGCCATGGCTCTGATCCACTCCGAAGGCTTGGCGCGAGAGCGCCAGAATGTTCAGCCAAACCTGAGCCGTGATGGTGATGGTTTTTGCGCGCGAGAGGAGGTGATGGGCAGCGGGGGCAGCGGCAGATAGCGGCAGCTCGGGTCTTCAAGAAGAAGGTGTTCGGATGGTACCTATACCTGGAGGTGTATGTAGAAGAGGGAGACCCCTCCAAGTACTGCGTACCAAAAGCAAGAAGGAAATCGAAAGAATTGCATACAAAACCTCTGAATCACTGAAGATCACTGAAGTCCAATCTTGGAGGTCTACCAGGAGTTCTTGATCACCTACCTCAGCTGCTGACCTTGGACCGACCCCGCCTTGTCTGGGAGCCACTTCGAGAAGGCGTTCGCTCGCTCGGCTTTGATGTCCAGGCTCGAACCCGCCTGGACGAGGCCACAGTGCACCGATGAGCCGGTTCAGCGCCGAAGCCGGCCGGTTCGGCCGGTTCGCTCTTTTCGACCGTACTTGTAACAAGGTGGAAGGGGTGCTTCAGGGTTTCAACAGAAGCAGAAGAGCTTCAAACATGCTTCAACCAGCAGTTTAACCTGGATTACTCTTGTCTTGTCCATCCAATAACCATCCAAGCCTCCCAAACTGGGGTGGTGCTTCAAGTTCTCACTTTCGTTCTAATGTCTCCACAGAGAAGGAAAGGAAAAGTTTAAGAAAGACACCCAAAGGACGGGTTAAAGCCTTAGTGGAAAGGACGCATTTCACCTCCCAACTTCCAAGACCTAATTTTCACAGGTGTTTCACGGCCTTTCACGCTGTTTTCACGTGTTTTTTTCACGTCCTTTTCACGGGTTTTCACGGCCCTTTCAAGCTTCCAGCTCCCATTTTGCAAAAGCACCGCTAGCGTTGACCCACTGGGAAAGAAAAGCAACACTTGTCCGGCTCCTCTTGTCTAGACGAACGGAGCGTCTGACCTCACGAACCGGTCAGCGAGGTCTTCCGAGGACTTCCGACCTTCAACAAGATGGAGACATCTCCGGAGGTGATCCTTGGGGCAAACGGCCGGGCCAACTGAGAAAGTCAGTCGGCAGAAGGAACTGAAATGACCACTGAAAGACAGAGACCCTATAAGAATGATATTCCAGCCAGCCTCATTCCTTTTACGGACACACTTTCGTCACACCTGTCAGGGGCTGAAAAAAGACCCAGCGAGTCCGGTCGCTTTCGTCGGATCCAGCGACGCCGGCATCGCGCGACCGAGTCGACGGAGGGTCGAGGGAGGCGAACGTGGAACCCGGTGGGTCCCGAGCCACGGGTTCCAAAGACCCGCTCAGGCTCCTACATCAACCTACAACAACATCCTGCATCATCCTATACATCAAAATAAGCCAGGTTGGAACCGGTAGGATTGCACCTAGTTCTGGAGGATTGCTGGATGTCCATCCATCCAGTTCACGCAGCCTTACTGCTCACGGAGACTCTGACTGGCCACGGTCATGATCTTCAGAGTGACCAAGAGCTTGAAGAGCATCTTATCTCGCTCATACAGACCACGATTCATGTACCTGTACACCTGCAACAAGCGTGTAAGCTCGGTTGAGAAGCGCCCGGAGGGAGGCGGCGGCGGCAGAGAGGTCTCTTCTCTAAAGCCAGAGTCCAACACAAATTGCAACAAGTTGGCTAAACAACTGAAAAAAACTCCATCAAGCAGGCGCATGCAGGGACCAGGCAGTCCTAAATATGTTTCTTTGCGAGAAGCACACTAAAGATTACCAATTACCGACCATACCTAATATTATCTCTCTTCTCCCACCATTTCATGCGTTCTCCACGGCGCCACGGATCCACGGATCGCGCTGCAAAGGCCATAACCACGGATCGCGTTGGGTGCGTTGGGGCGCCTGGTAGGTCAAGAAATGGATGATCTTGTCCACACGCTTCGAGGTCGGCTGGGCCTTCTCAGAATTGCGCACCTCGGATGAGGCTGAGGCGGAGATCGGCTGAAAGCCAAGGTGGGACGCCCTCTTTCAGGATGAGATTGAGACCACACACGTGGCTGCGCGCAGCGACGTGCTACAGCCACAACCCAGGTGACAAAGCTTGACATGTTGTCAGGCACCTGAAGTTCAGGTCGCAAAGAAAGAGTTCTGCTCAAAGTGACCAAGAACCAAAACAAGACTGGAGTGACGTATTGTACAAACCTCCCCTTGCCAGAAGTTCCAACCATTTCCGCCCCCTTTTCACGTCCATCCTGGACACTCGCGGTTGTTTCCATGGCGTCGCTCGCCTTCATCGTTTCGACGACCGGTTTCTCGGTCCAGAGAGGCACGGAGATCTCGAACTGCTCCAGGAACTGAAGCAGAGAGCAATTGTACATCCATCCTGACGTGAAGACATGAGGATGCTTTTTTCACGGTTGGAGGCCATTCACTACTATAGTAACTAATAAAGGAGTGGGATCGTGAGTGAACCGTCTTCACGTGAAGACATGACATGAAGCAGAAGCTCGTCAGCCGAGAGCTACAGCTGGAGGGGAGTCTGAGACTGAGATATACCATGATCATCCATGAGACTGAAGGGATCACCAATGAACTATACCAGACATTACTTATGGATTTCAAGTGCGACAGCTCTTGGATGATTGTTGAATTATAGTATGAAGGGAAATCAGATTTCCAGCTGGTCCCCACACGTGCACACTTGGGCGCAGCCACTTTCTCCCAGCGGAGTACGAAAACGACAACATGAACGCTCCACATCAATTCCACGTGCAGGTGAAGTACACTTCATTTCCGTTGTGCGCTGGGTGGCTTCAAGAAGTGCAAGATACATTCTATATACTTGATATCATCAGAAATCCTAACCTGTTGAATTCCAGCCACCATTTCTTGATGCAGGATGTTGGACTAGCTTTGCTCAGTCAAGGCTGCAAAAGGCGAACAAGCAAGTCGAATGCGCTGAAGTCTGGTATCCTTCTCTTTAACCAAGGCAAACATGTCAATGAGTCGCCATTCTTCCCCGCCATGTTCCTGGTCAGCCTGAAATGGTGCTGATCTGAACTCGTACCCCCCTGCATGCAGACGGCGTCCGCTGAGGCAGGAATAGATGCTCTGCGCGTGCACCCCAAGGACCAAGGCAGCTTCCCGCACGGATGCATGCTGCCTCCATTCATCTTGGCTGCACCGGTTGCGGCTCATGACCGGTCTGGCAAAGGACCTGCGGCTACTACCTGATGCAGCGAAGCGGTGCGCCAGGTTTTCTGCTGGAGTCACGTATTCCAGGTTGTCCACTGCATTGTTCCCTTTGTCCAAGTCTTTGTGATTAACGTGATTACGCCGCTGGGTCACAGGTGGTCCAAGAAACGCATAGGCAACAAGGCGATGCACAAGCTCACTACGCTTGTGCGAGGTCAAAGTGATGCCCGCCCTGTAGTACCCTGACTTCTCCAAGCATCCTAAAGATATCCGGCCATTCTTGGACTTGACCCTTCCCATTGAGCTCACCAGCCTTCCAGGGATCTCAGTCCCTGAAACAGGATCATACAATTGACGCCACTCCTCGCCATCCAGCATTCGTGTCTCAGCGCTCTCTGCAAATTGAAACTGGTAGCCCTTCACGATTTTGCTTTGGCGGCAGCCATCCTGCGAGATCCTATGTTTGCTTATGCCGAGCTCTGCTGCCGCTTGCGCCATTGAAGGGGAAGTGGTCCAGCTTTGGGACCCCACGGATCTCCACATCACAGGCACGCAATTCTGCGCCTTGCAGCAACGCCTCGAACGGCTGGCGAAGGAGGCAAGGATATTCTGGCTCTGTGTCACATATTGCAAGTTGTCCAAGTGGTTGTTGGCCTTGTTGCCATCCCGGTGATGCACCTGCCATGTCGCCTCGTCAGGCGGTGGACCGAGAAATGCCAGGGCCACCACGCGATGAACGTAAAAACTAATGCCAGACATCTTCACCCTGTAGTAGCCTGTTGGCTGTAAACATCCATGCGAGGTCCTTCCCCTCGGGTTGTTGACCCGGCCATGGGAACTGACCTGCCAGCCTGTTTCAGCTCCACCAGTTAGGACAGGCCCAGTGGACATGGACCTCCAAGCATCAGAAACAGCAAGATTTCTGGTGGTGCCAACAAACTCTTGCCATGTCCGCCTGGAGGCAGCTCGAATAACAAGCGCCATAGCCTGACTTCAAAATACCATCTATATATATATACGAAATTATCCGGTGACCACAACCTTTTGTTACCTCTGCTCAAATGGCAAACAACACAAGGCTCACGCATCATCTCTCCTTGGGGATCACCTGTGGCATTCGTGGACCTTGCAAACTACGCCCCCTAACAAAATGCCTATAGTCTTGCAGAAGTGGCCCCATGCCATACCTCTATACTAACTTCGGACTTGCTTGGATTCCTAATACGCGTATTTGATCTCAAAGACATGAGCTGAGTCTTGCAGAGTTCCCAAGCTCGATCATTCGCAAAGAAAGGTTTTGCAATTGGGGGGCCTGTGCAGCCTGTGGAACTCTGACACACTGGTGGTGGGGGCTTCTTGGATGGGGCTCACGAATGTGAAAGCTGGCCTCAGGACTATGAAAGATGGCCCAAGACAATCTTCCTCAAAAGGAAAGTGGTTCTTTTTGAAGTGAACTGAGTCGGAGTGTTGTTCATAGTGTTGTTCATATGCTTGGTCAGGCTTCCCCGGCGTTCGTCCAAGGAGCCTGAAACCTGATTAGTGATGGGGTTCACCACATTGGTCATGTCCTCAGCAGAACCGGGAAGAACTGGACGTTGCTCCTGTTCCGGAAGCTGGGTCTAAAGGTGTCGGCTTCCAAGACTATTTCAAAAATCCTAGACCTGGTGCAGTGCAAAATTCTTCGTAAAGCCAATGGTTCTGGGCCAGGAAAGGAAAAAAACGAGCATGGCCCCCTTCTGTACCTGCAAAGAACACCGAATTTGGATGGATTTGGGCACCCCCAAAGTGCTCCAATCTTGGGCGTCTTTCACTACGAAACGATCCAAATCTCTTGGATCATCGCTTCATGTGCACATCGCCAGCTTCTGGCGTGTCGCTTCAGAACTGCGTCACAAGTGACAGGCTTCGGCCAGCTAGCAGCTAGCAGCGCGGCGCATCGCGGCGGTCGCGACCGGACCTTCACACACCGGACCTTCTCACAGGTTCTGAGGTCCGGTCTGTCATGTTGAAATACATGATGCTTCCTGCGAACGAACGCTGACCGGGCCCAGGGCCCAGGGCTCAACACATGTGGCGGTCTGACGAGAACACATGGCACTGGCAAGATAAAGCTCTCAAATGAAGACAAACAGCTTGTTGCAGAGTGAATTTGCTTGGACTGAAACCGGATGGCCCCAAAAAGGAACGTAACCGAGTGGTTACGCAGGTCTGACTGCAGCCAAACACTGAGATTTGAAACTGAAGGAGCAATTAAAACAATGCGCGTACTTACACGTGTTCCAAAGCGAGCACTCTCCGTCACTGAGCAAAAGGACAAAAAGGTGTGAAACAAAGACCCTGACTTTGCACTGCTTCTCACACCTCACACAAAAAGGACTTCATCTTCTTTCTACACAAGCCGTAGTGAACATGTAGGAACACCCCCAGCAACTGGGACCCTCTTTAATATTCCCAATTGTTTTTGCAACGAAAGGATGGTGAGTGTAGAAAGGGCCAAGTAGGGCATGCTCTGCGGGGAAAAAATGAAAAAAGGCCTCGTGTGGCAACCGGTCTGAACTGCTCTCGCTTCTCGTTGATCTCAATCTTCCTTCAAGGGTCGGCTGAGAAAGCGCCGCGGGCATCTCCTACACTACTAAAGAAGAAAAGGCCAGAAAAAGCCAAGTCTGGCTTGACATGTGTCATATTCTTCCATGTCTGTCTCTCCGAAGTCTAGAGAAAAATCCAAGAGGAAGAAGTCCTCCAGCACCAGCACTCCAACAAAGTACTTCTTGGTTGCCAAAAGCAGAATGGCGGTTCTTACTAAACCAATGCATGAGAGTTGTTGATTGAAGCTGAAAACAGAGAGTTGCGTTGCTTCCGCTCGGCGAAGCCCGTCCGTCCTTTCATCGGCTTCTTTCAATTTGCCCTCAACCTCCTTGGCCTTTGCTTTGGTGTTGGCCAGCACCTGCAGAGCTTTCGGTGCTTTCTTCACCACAGGACGAAGAAGCCACGAAACCCAGCGCCACGACGACCACGACCGGTCCAGCGAGTGCCTCAATCAGTTCGGTGTCTTCCAGCAGATTGCCCTGGGAGTTGGACAAACGTTCCAACAACCTCGGTCGGTCCAGTCCGCGAGGTAAGCGACCCACAAACCAAGTTCATGCCGAGGTCCGTTTCGTGGAAGTGAGTTAAAGGAAAAGGGGTGAATCTTTGGAAGGATCCTTTTTTGTCCAGACTTCTCAAATGCACCAGTACTCTCTCCAACTCACTCACATCCTGGTCACGATAGCTCACGGTCCCGTTCCTGGATGGAGAATGGTCCAAAGCAGGGGCCAAGGGGTTCATCCACTTCCAGGGGCCTGTGTTCGCCAGAGTTTACTGGCCCTGGGGCTCCAACGATATCCTCAAGTTCGGTGGTTAGACCCCCCATGGCACCCACCCCTGGCCCATCTTCGAAACGGAGGTAGGCCAGGAGCCCTAGGGAGGGGTCAATCTAAGCTTCAAGCTGTTTGTCCAAGAGCTGCAAGGACTTGGTATTGTTGGTGACCTCAGCCGCTGAAGTTCCGCTGAAGTTCCTGGTGAGCTTCACCGAAAACTCCACGCCAGTAGTTCCTTGAGCCCTGTGCTCTCAAAACAGAACATCTGAAGTTCATTTGTCCAGTCGTTCACCAAAAGAAATGCGACAAAGATCGAGGAAAAACGCCAAGACACATCTTCTTCCAGTGCTGCCAGGGTGTCCTCCAAACTCTTCATTTCCTCAATGCGGGCTGTGGAGAACTCCCACAACCCTCGCCATGGCTGAGAGAATCGTCTGATTCATCAGATCCAAAAGCCGGTCAGCACCAACAACTCTTCATGTCGGCACTTCACGTCAAAGCCCTAGATGTCAAAAGATCTCATCTTACTGGAGTTGATCATTACCAAAAAAATCAACTCTACTCAGCTCAGTTTTTCGGTGTTCATGATTACTCCAGTGGGTCCTGGAGCTGTTGTAGTCCACCTGAACAGGTCAGTTCCTCCTTTTGTCCGGATCTTCTGACCGAGACGAAACGTGGAGAACGAACTGAGCCGCCCGGCCATTCCGATGAGCTTTCCCAAAAGCTGCTGCTCCAGTCCCTTCAAGGTCACCGTGAAGTCAATGACCTCGGCACGATGGGCGTTGTGTTTGGGCGTCAAGGCGGCGAGGGTATCTGCATATAAATGTGTTATATCATCATAATAATATACCATAGTAGTAATAGTAATAGAATGTAAAGATATATATATATAAGGTAATACGACACGCACGTTTTTCGTCACAGGCCGTTCCAGCTTGGTTGGCGCTTTGGGGGGGGCTCTCCTGAAGCATTTCCGGCTTCAGCTCAGAAGCAGGGTCTCACGGGTTTCAGCTTCAGAAGCTGGGCCAAATGGATCCAAATGGTGTTGAAAGGAGGACTTCTCTCGTCATGGTCGAGCTTTGGGTCTGGTGCCTGAGGGGGAAACGCCGAATTCTTGTGAGAGAAGGCGTACGTGTCCGTCTACTTTGGAGTCACTCTAGATCTGTAAGTGTTTTGAAAAGTATCCAGTATCATCCAGTATGGATGTTTAAATGATGTAAAAGCATCCGTGGTGGCAGGGCGGTGCATGGCCAGATTCATCGTCATGTGCTTCCGTTTACAGTCCTTTTCACCCAAATTCAATGCTTTCACAGTTCCGCGCAAATCACCTGCGAACTCACCTCGTTACACCGAGGCGGCCAGACCGGAGGGCTTCGACCGACCAGGGCGGCCCATCGAGCCTTGATTGTTTGGCTATTGGGACACCAAAGGTCCAGTGATCTGACCTGTTCTCCGTGCCATCTTTCATTCCTCCTGACCTGTCCACGTCCTCGACTGCTTAGCTTTTCAGTCGCCTGGTGTACTTGACACTGTTACACTGGTCGGGTTTCTTCGCAGCACCTCGGACCGTCTGTCAGACCAGTGTCCGTGCCACCGTGGACTGGTCCGACCGACTCTCCAGACCGACTCACCGACCGGTCCGTTCACCGGTCCGGTCCGACAGGCGCCCAAGGGACGGTGGCTTTGGCCGAGAGCTCTGGACTGAAGTGGGGGTTGGGCAGTCGCGAGGTGAAGTAGAGACTGAAGGACTCCTGGAGAACCGGCCGCGACGACGAGGAGATTGGGTTAACGACCGGAAAACCCGGCCAGAAGGCGATGGAATGGCCAAAGGACCAGTCTGGCTCCACCAAAGTGGCACTCATGGACTACGGCACTGGAGTCGACTGCACTGCTCATACATCCGCCTTGTAGTCCATGTTCTGATCGCTGACGTTGATGTATCTGTTCTTTCCTGAAGCACGAAAGAAGTAAGGAAACGGAGCATCCTACGGGTCGAGCGTCTACCGGAGAACCCCACCACCGGGGTTTTGCACGCCCTTTCAACCGAAGTACTGAACGCCTGCTGAACAGGGGACCCAGCTGAACCATTGCTGGAGGACCCTGCGCCCAGGTCGCCATGCGAATCGACGACCGGCGCCGAGACCTCGGCCAACCTACCAGGGTCGTCTCGTTCCGGACACCTGAACCTGATCCACGTTCTCACATGTCAGACTTGACCTGGTTCAGGTCGAAGCAAACAGAGCGTGAATGACCGTATCCCAGTGGCCCTTCTTGATGATCTGCTTGTCCAAGACTGGGTCAAGCATGGGGTCCACTTCGTTCTCCACGTTCTCAATGATCAAGCAAAGACCCTCGCCTTAGATGTCCCAGTGGCAAATGTGACCTGGAGGCTGACCCTGGTCGGCAGTTCAGCTTCACAGGTGAACTAATGTTTAGAATGATGGAGAGCAACAGTCTAGGACTTTGTCTGAATATGCTTGAATGGACTGCAACTCTTCTACAGCTTTCTGATAGATGTTTCGTCCTTGTTGAACCTTTCATCCACCTCCGGACTCCTAAGGCTCGCAAAGGGTTTTTGTTGCCTTCTAGTCAAACCAACGTGTGCTCATATGATCTCATCTGCTCAGGTTGAAACCCGGAAGTCTTGGCTCTCCTTTCATCGGGTTTAGCTTGAACCCCAAACCGCCCAGGCACCCATGGTGAACTCGATCTGGTCCTTGAGGTTCTTGGCTGAGAGCGTTGTGATGCACATCGCTGGGTTCTCACTGATCCTGGCCTGTGTCATCGGGGGCGTCTCGACACGTCGCCCCTCACTGTCCGGAAACCCCTCACGCGCGTCGCCCGGGGTCGGCCGGCGGACTCACCGGTTCCGGCGAGCGATGGCTTGCTTGCGGCCGCTTCAAGCGAGCGACGGCCACAAGATGCCACAGGTTCGGAACTCAACGAAACCCATCTTCCAGGCCGTCACGTTGTTCGCTCCGGGGTGTTGGTTCCGAAAGGGGTTCCTCGGGGTGCCCACATCCACATCCACTCACTGGCGACCAAACACCACCCCGGTCTTGTGACTGCCGGTTCATAGTTGATGTGACCAACCCTACAAATTGCTGATACCCTAAGAATCCGAACGGGCTCTCCATGACCCGACACCTTCGCAGGGGTCCGGACCCTCAAAACCCTATCTGTTTGAGGGCCCGGATTCTTAGGGTATCATGAAAAAGGTATGTGGACAAAGCTTTGTTTGACTCCCTCCGCCTGGACCTCAATTGAAACTCAAAAAACCTCAAAAAACCATATGGCTGTGGGTCACAGTACCCGGATGAGCACAACCTACCAGATGCGTCCGTTCTTCCACGACATATCGCGACATGGTCGAACATGGTCCATGGTGGGTGAAGTATACCAGGCTCTGACCCACAGGCTCTGAACCCAAATTCCTCTTGACATCTCATCTTATACCTCACCCATCTAAACCAATGACTCCGACCTCATCTGCCCCACCCGCCGTCCCAAGTCCCAGGTCCCGGTTCGGACGAAGAGACACCGGCCTCGCGGTCGCGCGGACGCGCGGTCGGAGCCGCGCCTTCTCACGTGACTTGATCCAACGGTTGGCCTGTCCCTGGGGATCCACCATCAACGGATAGCGCGAGGAGCGGGTCACCTGGCATCTCTCGGAGCGGGCGGCGGGCGCGGAGAAGATCAAGCGAACTCAATGAAACGCTCATCTGACTCTATGACATCCATTTGGGGACCCTCATTTTAGAGAGAAAATGGTTTGACAGTTCTGGGGAGGAACCTTTGACAGCAGGAATCCGCCTTTGGGCGCCGTTTCAGCGGAAAAAGGCGGACGCAAAAGGAGTGGGAGTGTGATGGTGCGGCTGCAGAGTGGATGTCACGTTGACTTCTGACAAATAAACTACCTCTAAATAAAGCTCATAGTGGTCCCAATAGAACCGGTTTCCAACTGCTTCCAATACATTCTTAGCGGGGTCAACTTTTTCTAACTATATTTGGGGAGGGTCTATATATGCACATGAAATCATCACCAACCCCCTCTTGGCCAGGGAGACCCGACCACCCGTGTTGTTGTGTTGTCGAACCTGAAAACCCTGACACTTACGGATCGAACGGAGGGTGCTGCTACGTGGTATGTGGTATGTGGTATGTGGTATGTGGATCAATATTCCTTTCACAAGATCTGAGAATCGCAATGCAAAAAAAAGAAAACCTCCCAAAAACACGGCAGAAATCCATTGATCAACTCCCATGTGAGCCACCGACTGGCCGTCGTGGGACCCAGACCACGTGTTCCGTCTCCCCCGGTGTTCCCACTCGGGGGTCGATCCGAGCCGATCGGGTGCGCTGGGTCGATCAAGCTGGGTGTTTGCTCCGAAGTGGAATGGATCACTACCAAGAGAGGTTATATAAGTGACCTGAACTAGGACCCGTCACCAGGGGTACCCAACTGGGATAGCTTAATTTAAGGTCCTTCAACCTCTGTTGGTATGGAAGGTCTGGCTCCGTGGTTCGAGAGGAGTGATCCGGAGAATGGTGGAAGAATGAGGGAAGAACGAGGCAAGCATTGATGGCGACAGAATAAGTATAATGTATATATATATAACTTATATAACTATATAGAACTATATAGAACTTGATGGCACAATAGAAAGGCAACCATCTTCAGAGTAGGCACAATGTGTATTCCAGTTCCATGTATCTGTAGAACGACGCGTAACAAGGAGTATGCCGGAGTATGCTGCACAAGGGGTACATCACATACAATGCCCTCTTGTTGCATAGCGAAACAAAGTGCAGGAGTAGACGAAAGTAGACATCTAGTATATAGACGAACCAGTCACTCACTCACTGAGCAAGCGCACGCACACAACCCTAGACCACTGTTTTACGCAGCCCGCGGCCCAGTGGCCATGATGGCGTTCTGGATGGAGAGCTCATCACCTGAGGGACCCGAGGTCCCAGGTCCCGCGTCCGTGTGTCGGTTTTGAGGCGAATGTGTGATTAGAAGATCTTTGGACATGTTGATCAAGAAAGAAAAGAATCCATCTGAGACGAGGTGGAAAACAATCCATGTCTGGGTGGGTGTAATTCATCCACACAGTCTAACCACGTTCAACAGGGAGGACGACCCATCCTCAGGTTTTTCAATCTCGTTTGTACTCGTCCTGAGCCTCCCCACTGGGCAATCCCTCCAAGGCCCATTCACCGATGGTGCCTTGATCCACCAGGAAGGACACCACAGGGGTCTGCGCGCGTGTGCGGAGAGAGACGTCGGTGAGACACCCGCCGGCGGTCTCGGTGTCAGGGTGTTGGCCCAGCGTCCAATCCGCCCGCGCCGTTGGGAGGGTGTGGGTAAAGTGTTCGCATTCGACTAGAAAGGGCAGCGACTCGTTTTCATGTGATTGGAGTGTTGGTCTTTTTAAAGCGGCTGGTGGCTGGATATGTCTGGATCATGTTCATCTGGAAAGAGCCGCCATTCATACAAACACGTTTGGTTTGATTCTTGAATCAAAAAATGTGAGAGTGTGTGTGTTCAATGCTTTTTAGGAAACTCGCGTTTTTAGAAAATTTGCTCGGCCCGGTCGCAGCGAATCCTTTGAGTCACGAAATATTTCAAGTACTGAGGAAGATATTCCCGTCTTCCTACGACAGGCGGGACAAATGGGTGAGGAACTCGGCCAGGTGGAGCTTCATGATCCGTTTTCTCAGCTCTTAAACTGAATTCTGTCTGATGAATGCGCCCGTGTACTGGTGCATTGGGACGCTGCGTAGGCTGTGTAGCGAATCCCCTGCCTTCTCATGCGCTGGCACGCTTCGCTTCTGAGTGTCCGCCTGGTGAAGCAACAACTCGAAGGCGTGCAACAACCTACTCTCAAAGAGGCATCGTACCGTACTGTGAAGCGTACCATATCTGCCAGAGGTCGTCCATCTGAAAAATAGGATTGAATGGACTGAAGGCAAAAAACATTGAGAAACCACTGCGGTCCAACTATGAGTTTCATGAGGAAGGCATCGATACAACCATCAATGGCATCAGCTCAAAAGACCATTGAGCCAAACCGTCGTCACAAGAGACACACATCCCCAGCCGCCGGCTGGCGGACGTCAGGGTAACCACGGTCTTTGAGTCACCGCCTGGAACATGGCATAGAGCTTGTCCCGGAATTCGGAGTTGAAGGGGCCGCAGTAAATGACGAAGGCACAGACGCATCCCACATCTCCAATGAGCCTGCGAGCGAGGCAGCGAGGTCATTCGGGGCAGGTGCCTCGTCTTCAGGATGTGTCAAAATAGAAAGCCCCCCGAAAAGAGAGCGCGGAACAGCCGGAGACCCGTTGGAGACACCGAGAGCTCAGAGTGGGAGCCAATTGATCCAATCCTTCAGATCCAATGGATGGAATCCAAACTACTCCTTGGATGGCCTACTACCCTACACAGAAGAAATCACTGGATCTTGCACCTTCTTCGATCGCCTCTTCTTCGATCGCCTCTTGGACCCGAAAGCAGTCGATCCAACGGATTGGACGTACAGACCAACTGCCCGTTCAGACGTCCGGGGCTCTTTCTATTGGGTTCTCCGGGTTCTCCGGGTCCGGATCCGAAGGTGGAGCTTCGGTCCGACCACCATGGAGGTCGGGAGGGAGGTTGGGTCCGGACTCGGACTTCTGCCCGACTCGTTCTCGAACCGCTTCGCGGGAGACATCGGCCGCCGCCTCTTCCGCCGCAAGGCGAAGTTCTTGGAATCTTCCGTCCTGCAGAAGAGCCAGACGTCGCCGAACGTCGACCCAGATGCAGCTCTTCTTCCAGGAACAGATGCGCACCGTACATTCCAGGTGGATTCATCATCACGGAAGAAACGTGGATGGCATCGCCGATGTCGGATCACCGTGAAATCCGAAATCGAAGAAGTGGTGTTCCACGATTCCCCGTATGCATACATTCCCATCATTCCCCAAACAAGAAAGCGCACCCATTCGAGATGGAAGAGGATGAATGGCATGTGCTGGATGGGACGGGGTATCTGAAATGGGAGAAGTGTCTTCAGTTTAACATTGTTTAGGCAAATCCAGGTCGGGCAGGGTCAAAGAATGTCACAGATTTGCAGTGTCGTTGCCTAGCTCATACTTTGAGCATGAGGTCTGCCCAAGTGTCCGAGGGCATTCGTTCTTCCAACTAGGTGGCCTTCCAACATCAATCGTGGGTTCTCATTACACAAACACCTTCAACTGCCTTCTCTCCCCCAAATGGGACTCTTGATTAGTACTCTTCATATGTTGGGTTGTATCAATCAAGGGTCTACGTTAATCGTATAACTGTCTTCCAACAGTGGGACCTTCCACCATCCATGGAATCCACACATAAACACCCCGCGGTCCATCGTGCATTCTCCCCGCTCAGCCCGGACAACAGCTTGTTGGCGGCGTCCATCTGCCGCTGCATCGCCGCCGCACTCTCCTGCCGTAGGTTTTCCACAGCCCGTCGCGACGGGAATCGCCCGTCGCGAGGTTGGTTGTTTCATACCCTGAAATGAAGCAACGTCAAAAAATAGCAAGGCGTTGGCATGGCCTCCGGGAGGAGAAAAAACATATACAAGCTTCTTCAGTTTTCAGCGGCGTCGACACACTCCGTTCGCAGGGGCGTCCATGAGTGACTCGATTGTTTCACTGCCTCCCAGACTGACCTGCGAGACTTGCAAGAGATCCCAAACAGTCAGAGAGCGTACCTTGATTGAACCCGGGCTTTTACACCGTAAGAACTCCTCAGAGTGGACACACTGTTTGGGGAAAAACTCCATTCGTATGTCACTTGGTGAAGACCAACAAAAACTATCATATCAGCCTCCAACATAAAAAGAAACAAAGTAGTTGGATATGGAGATAAACCGAATAAACCAGCCTCACCAACACACTTATCATCCGTTATCATCTGTAATTATCTATTATCCATGGCACATTGCACCCAGACAAACTGCCCCAAAGACTGAAGCACTCGAAAGCGACCGAAGGTCGACCGTCGAGTCTTTGAACCCTCACACATTCACCCTCAGAATGGTCTTCTCACCCTGTGAGGTCTATATAATTCAATTTGCTTGCTATCATCATCATCATCATCATCATCATCATCAACACTGTGCCATCCACCGTTCCCATGATCATTTCCAGGAGAGAATCACCGACCATGCGTTCAGGCCATGCTTTCAGGCCATGTGTTCAGTCTCCTTCAAGGTGTTCATCACCGCCTGGGCCTTGGCTAATTCCGCATCCAGCTCGGCCACCTCAGCTCGGCGCGCTTTTCGGCCATGAGGCTCAGGCCGTTCGGGCCAGGCGACAAAAGGCCAATCGGCCAAAACCGAAGAAAAGGATCGACGTGAGCCAAGAGGTGCCAAGAGAGCCAAGCTGGAAATATCCGCCAAATGTGACAGGTCAGGTCAGGTCAGGTCAGAAGTGCCTGGTCCAAATGTTCCGCGCCATGCAAATCACACGTATACAGTGTGTTGATACGCGAACGCCCAAGCAAAAGGGGAACAGACTTAGCACGTGTGGCCCCTCCAAGACCGTTTTTGGGGATATGTTAATTTCGGGTGTGAATGGATAGTCTGACAATCATTGGGATTCGGATGGATTCGGAATATAAGTGCATTGAAACCGGGATTTTGGACCAAAGGACTTAACAACCTCAAGGCATTTCTCCCTATTTCCATCCCTACAGGTCCCGTCCGACCATCCAGTCTCCTGAGGTCCAGTCCCAAAACCTCAAACTGAGTGAATCAAGTCCGCACGTCGTGTATTCTCGAGTTCTGTGAAAAAATGAGGAGAAAGGAACCTGACTCAGGCCCTCAGGTTTTCCGTGCCTTGGCCCTAACGCAGGGGTCTGGACTCTCAAAACTCTGCCTACCTGGATTCCTTGGGGACCGATCCACGGGGAGGGCCCCGAAGCGGCCGAGCGCCGTGGGTTTCACCCGTGAAAACCGGCGGTCGCCCGGGTAGGAAGAGCAACCCTGGTAGGTTGACCGACTAGTCAGGTCGTCTATTGGGTGTGTAGTAAAATAGGGAGACCTCCCAGGCGTCCCGCGCCCCATCGACCAGTCATGACCAGTCGACCTGGGCCAGGGTAAGAAAAACATACACACCCTATATGACCCTATGACCCGGTCCTTTTCGATCAACCGGTCGGGTCTTTTTCGGTTGAAAAAACCCACCAGCGGTGCCGATTCCTCGCTCCTCGCCTCTGCCAGGACCTTGTTCAGCTCCGCCTCGGCGGCCTCCAACTCGGCGCGTGCCTGGACATCCGGAGCATGCCAAAGTTCTTTTTATAACAAAACACAAATCCTAAGCCTTTCGGGCCAGAAAGACACCGGACGGTGGTTGTCTGAGTTCCACCATTCTCCCAGCAAAGCGAGGCTCGAGGCCGTCGGCCGTCGGCCGTCTGCGCTTTCGCACCTTGGAGAGCTTGGCCTCGGCGACCTTCAAGGCATCCATCTTGGGCTTCACAATCTTCGCCGCACCGTGGTACATCACCTCGGCACCGAAGGCGACGGCGAAACAAAAACACCAAAAGGGAGAGCCGTGGACACATCGCAGCATGGGACACGTGGATGCTGCGGCACGTGGAGTTTCGCGAAAAAAACTCGCTGACTGCACTGGTCAGGAGTGGTCAGGAGACCCATGGAGTGGTCAGACCCAGACTGCACTACGGACGAGCCTGCCACCGACCAGCCTACACGATCTGATTATGGAAAAGAAAGGTGCAGCGAAGGGTCTACCTGTTGCAGTGGGGAAACCAATCTGCAAAAAAAAGAATCCACGAAGTGGATGGACTTGGGGGAGATAGGGGGAGATGGACGAAACGATTTGGATCAAAATTGGATGGTACATCATCACGGCAGCGAACACCTGCGTGGCGAGAGAAGTGGACAGAGACCCAAAGTACAGAAGGACTTTAGAGGACCATGGATGGAGGAATTTCTTGCAGGTTCGATGCGGAGATCCCAACCACTGCTTGGGCTAGATCAAGGTCTAAGTCGGAAGACACGTTGGGAGCCCCGGCTGGTTGAATCTTGGTTATACTATATGTTATACTTACCATGACCAGAAAACTCAAAAAGGTTCCAAGACATCCCACATCTTGAAATGATATCCATCTTCCGTGAGGCAGCCCATCACGGATTCATTCTCTCACACTGTGCCGTGCCATATATGCGTTCTTGTGCTGTTCTCGGCTTCGACACCGCCGAGCTGCCATGGCCCCCACGAACTTGCACAAACCTGCTGCTGCCCCACTGGCTTTGCCGGCCAGCTCGGGATCCAGCACCTGAGCGCTTGGGCGCTCGGCCAGCTGGCCATGCGAAGATCTACATGGTGGACCTCGAGGAGCTAGAACAGAACTACCAGCACCTGAACTCGAGGAGCCAACCTGACCTACCACCCGTGACCTGCCACGTGCCAGTCCGTGGCTGAAATGGGACGTGGCTTTGGACGTGGCTTTCGTGTCACCACCTGGCAGGTCACCGCCGCTCGGTTCCCCTCCGCCCTGTGCCACGAAAGCCGGAGCGTGTCTTCCGCGCCTTGTGCGAGAAGGGGCTCCAGTTCTTAGAGGCGTCCTTAGCAGAAAGGAACATGCCCTAAGAAGAGAAAATCCACAATCCGAAAAGAAAGGACTTCAACACCAAAATCTGGCAAATATGAGAATGAACAAGGGCCAGCTGGGGTGTTTTGCCATGGTTTTCGAGAGAAATCAGCGATAAACTTGCATCTCAAATGAAATCAGCGAGAAACAGCATCAATCACATAATTAACTATAATTATCTCAAACCAAGAGAACGAGAAATCCGGACCCGGACAATTTGGGTGGTCCTTTCACATCCTCATCAATGGAGGACCACAGAAGTATCTCCGGGGACCCAGGGTCAAATGGAAAAGGGTGGTCCAGGTACTGCCGGACTGCTCTCAAGAGAGGACAGCTGCCAAAAAACTGATTCGTGATAGTAGAAGTAGGAGGAGGAGAAGGAGGAGGAAGAGGAGGAGGAGCAGGAGTAGGAGTAGCAGTAGCAGTAGTGGTAGTAGTAGTAGTAGTAGTAGGAGGAGGAGGAGGAGCAGCAAAAGCAGCAGCTGTAAAAATGGAAAAGGTAGGTAGTATGTATATTTTTATATATACAGTATATACATATATATATATACTGAGGTATTAATGATACTAGTGATGATGATACGTTATGATAGCTTCATTGAACAAGACTTGAGAATCAAAACTAAACTCCTGCAACTCTCTGAAGTCTGCCATCTTTCAAGCCGCCTTTCAAAGCAGCGAAAGGTCCGACAAAGGCCAACGGGCCACCCGCCTCGTCAAAGCGCAGGTATGGCTCCAGAAGCTCGCAGGTCTCATCGTTGATGTTGTCCTACAAATGGGCAATGTGAGAATATGTGAGTTGTTGCTCCTTTTGATGAATGTTCTTTGGTCCTTTTCTTTGGAAGAACTGTCTGTCCTACCAGGGTGGCAACTTCCATTTCTTCCTAAAAGGCACCCGTGGGCCCATGAACAGCTTCCTTGAAACGGATATTCCCAGCCTATTTACTTAAGTCTGGTTCAGCGGACGAAAGTGTTGAAAGGGCAGGTCGCTTGGTCGAGAAACTGGCTGGAGCACGAACATCTTGTTGTATAAAAGCAGTACCCGGGTACGTTATATTTATAGCATTGCCAATTGCTATAGAATCAATACAGGCCGAAATATACTACTGCAATGCTACATGTGAGCGTGCTCATGTAATGTGTACGACACTAGTGCCACCTGGAGTCCTCATTCCAACCACACCCCCCCAGCTCGGTGTGCACCACGTCGCACCGCGTCGCGGGGCGTGCCGGGTCGGGCAGAGCCCGCCAAGGGTGGCCGTTAAACGTCGGAGCCGTCACGTCCGAGCGTCGCAACTGTGCACAGCCCTTCAGCTAACACGCGTCATGCCACCAGTCAGTGGCTATGCTCAGTGGCTCTTGGGGTGGGTGGGCGGAGAAACACAGAAACAAAGATGGAAAAAACATGAAAAAACGTGGCAAACAGTGACCCATCTTTGGACCGTCGTCCGCTCGGATCAGTCTTCACGCTCTCAAGATGTGTCTCCACAACAGGACGCAGTCGCGCAGTCCTTATCATTGGCGGCAAAGTCCAGGATGTTGCTCAAGAAATTCATATCCTGCAACCGCACACGCCATTCCCGGCCATAGCCCCAAAAGAAAATGGAATGGAAAAAGGGGCACGGTCCTGGAGTTCTTTCTTGGCATACTCCTCATAAGAGTCCAAGATGAAGGTGGCAGTGACCTTGTTGATGAACCTATCCTCCGCCTGCGACGAGGGTGGCATGAGTGGTGCTGATTGGAGCATGTATCTTAAGAACAAAGCTTGCAGCCAAGCAAAACGACACCAGCCGAAAATCAGCATCCCGGCCCCCCGGCAGAAGACTTCATCCAACTGTCTGCTCAAAGCCCTCGTTCAACTGGGGGGGGGAAGTGTCTTATGTTTGTTTCAGGGCATTGAAAGCAGCTATCCCGTGACTGGCTTCGATTTCACAGTGGAAGCTCTCCACTCTTCCGCCCCCGTGACATCACGGCGTTGGAAGGCGCGCCTTGACGGAAATCACCGGCTTCGATTGCAAGATCTGAAGTCCATCGAAGGTGAGCTTGATGATGTCCACCGGCTTGTTGTTGGTCTTAATCTCTGTAATGTCCTGGTATGGCAGCCAACTGGAGGAGTGTGGTGTGTTTAAACCCAGCAGCTTCAGTTGGCAGGTGCCAACATCTTTCACTCAACAACCCAGTGCCACCTTTCAAGTCTCTAACCAGCGCTCCCGGCCCCGGCGCTGCTTCCACCGAACAAGTGGCCCGAGCACCAAGCACCACCCCACCTGTCCTTCTTGGTGATAGAGTTACAAGCAGACTCAGCCTCATGCAGGAAGGGCAAGGCTTTGTCAAGCTCCACTTGGGCCGCTCTCTTTTCGCCTGGTGTTCCAACCGGCGCACATCATCGCACATCGCACCGCCCCGACCCGCAGCCGTGTTCGACCGAAAAAAAGCCGCGTCCCCCCGCCCCCCTCGGGCCTTCAATCTTGTCGGCCTCCGCCTCGCATTCGGCCTTCTGCCCATTCACCTGACCGGGCTTCTGCGTGCACACCGCGGACCGTGACGCCACACGAGGCACGGAGACGGTGCCGGTTTCGGAGTACTGGGCACGGTGGGAGAGCCATGGCGTGTCGCATCGATACCACGCGTGACGACGTCAGTCGCCTGCTCAGCTTTCTTGTCCGCCTTTGCTTTCTCCGCCATCACCTGGCCAAACATGGACGTCCATCAAACATACCCAAGGAGCCAAAGCGTGACGCCATTACAGGTTGGTTTGCTAGACGGTAAACTGGTCGAGTTGTCCGGACACGAACCATCAACTGTTCTCACTGTTTGTAAGCTTACCTCAAAGAGTATTGAATATTCAAAAGTGGTTTGAAGATGAATGTTCCTCTATCAATTGCTATTTTGCTTACACACACCTCAAAAAGAAAAAGTGGACCTCAAAGTTCCAACGAAAAGCGGTACCAGCTCCACCCGTCGGCCTTTTCCAACAGTGCCGTGGTCTTCTTTTCCTCTGCACGAAGCACCACATCTTGCTCTTTCAGCTCCACCTGGAAAGCAGGTAACCGACATCGGTGTCTATCGTTTGCTAACTATGAAGATTATGAAGTGATCTGGTCTTTCTCACCCTGCTGTGAAACAACCAACCCCTTTGGAAAAAGTTTTTAAAAAGACACACTCGAGCACTTCGACAGACCTGTTGAGCTCCGACCTCGTCGACCTGACCAAACGTCCTCCCCCTCTTCCGACGGACGGACCGACCTTCCGCGCCCCGGTCGCCCCGGTCGCGCCGGTCGCGCCGGTCGCGCCTTCAACTTCTCCACGAACTCGGAGGCCTCGACGATCGACGGAGACCCGGAGATCCCGGAGACGTCCGGCGAGGGGGCGGAGGTCAGGAGAGGTGACCGGGCGGACCTGGAGAGGTGACCCGGTCTGATCGGGTGGTTCGACTGCTTGGGGGGACCAAGATGAAGTCAGAATGACTTGGGTTTTTCATGGTTTTTCATGCTACAGAGAGCATGATGTTGGAAGGTATCTACCCCTATAGGTACATCAGACTCTGACTGATTTGCCCTCTTACAGCACAAATCTCCAGCCCAGCCGCTTTTGGGTCAGAGAACCATTGGACTCAGTGCAAAAAAGACCCGTCCAATGCACTGAAAGCATCCAACTGAGCCTGCAAAAGCCCCGTTGGATCTCAAGAGAGGCCGGAAAGCATCGTCCCCATCGAGCGGACAGAGAGGCACCTCCTTGAGCTTCTGCAGGCCGACGTTCACGCTCCTTTCCTGGACGTTGATCTCTTCATACTTCACAGCCTCATGCGGTTCAGCTGGCAAACTTGCCCAATGCGCAAACTTGCTCATGAGACCACTGGCCAAACTGCTACACCTTTGTTCGTTCTTGTTGATTTGTTTGTCAAATACACACCGAAGATCACTGAAGCATGCTTCAACCGCATGTTGTGCACCATACAAAGACCATGCAACAATTCAATGGTTGAAGCATCCTTATATACTCCGGACCTGCTTTCCACAGTTAACTGCTCCACACACTACCGCCCTTACTCCGGATCACATCCAACTCGCCAAGTCACGTAGAGAACCTTGTAGAAGTCGATGAGGCACAAGAAGCTCTTCGGGGTCACGTAGACATTCTTGCGCATGCCTGTGAAGCAGGTTGGACCAGAAAAAAAAACACCAAAAAAAAAAGCACACACACCGAAACCACCGCCTGGCCACCGGCCCCCCCCCAACCGAATCGGCTCCCACCGCCCCCAATGGCTCCGTCTCCGTCTCTCGCTCCGTCTCTCTCGCTGCGACCCCGTCGCCTCGCCTCACCTCGCCGCGTCAACAACGCGTGGGCGAACGCACGCGCGGCAAAACGCATGTCTGCCGGGGCACGCTGGAAGTACAAGTCGCACAAGTCTCGTGTAATGGCCTGGAAACCTGGAGAGCATCGAGCCGAGTCGTGGAGAACTGAGCTGAGCCGAACGAACCCGGAGTGCGTGGCAAGTCGAAGGTCGGAGGCGGACCCGAAGAAAGGGCGGTTGGATGGTCTCTATCTATAGTCCAGATTCAGTAGTTCAAGGTGGATCATCATCCAAAACCTGCGACTCATTGCGATTGGTCCAATCTTCTTGTTTTCATGACCCATGCTTTTTGTATCTTTTCGTCTTCTGGCAATCTCCTGAAACCTTCCCTCCAAGGCACTGCCCGTGAGGGCATAGAGTCGACCCTTGTCCTGCTCGCTGCAATCCAACCTCGGGAAACTTACGGTGCCCTCCGTCACGCCAAGAAGGAAGCACCAACAGAACATATGCATGAACTGCGCTCAGGTGACTGGACTCAGCTTTACCCATCCACGAAGTCTCAAGTAGAATTAGAAGGTAGAAGCTTCCTGCGGTATACTGTCTTTTTCTCTGCGTGCTGTGTCTCTCGATGTTGCTCTCAGACGGAAACACTCCGATTCCGACTCGGGGTGAGACCGCGAAAGCGACCGCTGCACCGAGGCGCTTGTAGGTGCCCAGGAAGGCGCTGCTCACCGCCACCAAGGCTGCCTCTGGCCATGGCATGAACCTGGAGGCGCCCGCGGAATCGCGATTCCGCGCGACGCGCTTCGCGTCGTGCCGCGGGAGTTTCATGGGGATGAGGGGAAGTCATAGAAAAATCGGTGACCAAAAGAATGAAGAGCTCAGAACGTATGCAGAAATTTCAGAGCTCTGTTCCCATGTCGGAACGTCCTTTGCATGGAACTCACAACGAACGGATCGGGTGAGACCGGAGACGATGTCCACAGACCGAGACCAGGGACCAATTGATGTTCACGGTGAAGACCGCAGGGAACTTCTGCGCGCGGATGGGGAACTTGGCGTTCACCTCGGTGATGAAAGAAGACAGAGTGGGTCCCACTCCCATTGACTCACCCGAAGTTCCTGGCAAAAATGGGGCGAACTGGTCTGCGAGCGGTCCTTGTGGTTCTCTGGGTGCTTCTGCACCGCCACGAAGTCGTGCCATGTCTCTCGGACGTTGAGTCTACGTCCAAGTGGCCGGAGAGAAGCAGAGGCACACGTGCAAGTTGTCGCGGAGTCGATCCATCAGGTAGTTGTACATGTTCAAGAGGTTCTCCTGCCCCACGTCTGCGGCAGACGGCGGTTCTGTGCGCTTCCATCGGTGGAGCGAAGGATGAGGGTGGCGTCCAAAGCACAGGCAACGGGTGAACGGTGAGGGAGACCCAGAGACTGGGTCTTGGTGGTCCTTCTTCAAGGGCCATGGGGGGTCTCCTATTGGTTTCTTGGGTAAGATCTGTTGGGGCTGATCTAGAGCAATTTTAAGCGTGGTCCTTTCTTTTTCTTTCAACGGGCCGGCATGTCCCTCGAAAACACTACGAGGCAATGGCTTCAAGGCCTCAAAATGGCTTCCCGCTCCTCCATGTTGGGATTGTCCTTGACAAAGTCGTTTCGCACGTCACCACACATGGCATCCTTCTCATCCTTTGCAAAGAGGCCAACCACTTCGCCTGTTGGAATTGGGCATGTGACCTGCAAGGCAAATCCTATTGAAGGAAGAATTCCTGTACCAGTTTGGCGCCGGACCCCTGCTACATTCCCCCTTTGAAAAACAACTGGGATGGTGACTGGGGGGAGTATCACTCCTAATTCTTCCAGAATTGAGACGATGTCTTCCAGATGGCGCAACTATGCCGGGTTCTTCCTAATTCTTCCAGTCTTTCTTTTGTTACACTCCCGCAAAACTAACGTGGACCCTGAGAATGGGATCCGGAAAGACTGTTGTCCTCTACAAACCAGTGGTTTTCAGGGTCCATGTTGGCTTTCCACGGAGTAAATATCTCTCTAGACATCTTCACACACCATTCATCCAACTTCCCAGCTACAAAAAGTGCCGTCGCCGGACCTGTGGCCAGAAGCGAGTTCCTTGGGTGAATTCCGAACGTTCCGGATGCGAAGCAGGAGCAGAGTGCGTGAGGCGTCGCAGAGTGCGCCAAAGCGTTGCGTTGGAGTACACCACACACGCGAGTGGTATTCAGAGCAGGCATTTGGACTCAGCTTGATGCACCTACACTTCTTGAGAAGGATCAACAACGTTCAAGAAAGTGGACTTGGACTTCCAAGAACAGAATGGGTCCAATCATGTTGGATGCTTTGTCAATATACTTGAAGTCCGTGCATAAAATGTACTTGAAAGCCTTGTACAATGTCACAATGTATACTGCTTGTTCCGGTGACTGTATGGAAACTAATTGAGGGGTCGGTGTTTGCCATCTCATGGTTTGAAGTCATGCCAGGTTTTTAACAGAGCAGAAATGTCTTGAAGAAGGCCCACAACTGTCTGAGAGATAGCTCTGCTTCCCACCAAAGTCAAACTGTTTGCAGCTGGGACACATGTACTCAAGGAACCCCTGCAAATGGCAGAGAGAGAGAGAGAGGAGAAGAGAAAGAAAGAGAGGAAAGGATCAGACACCAGTCTATAGTTACAAGTTACATGATTACAAATTTGGCACGGTAAGACCGTCATGGATGTATGGAATATGCAACTGCTTGAAAGCATAGCCAACCTCAAACGGAGTGGCATGTAAATCTGAAGAACATATCGCCGTTTGCATCTTCCAATATGTGTTCTTCTCTTGTCACCCCTTGCATCCTGTGCCTCTTGTCACCCCTTGCGTCCAGCTGAGGCACCTCTCATCGCAACCCCAACCCCTTACCTCCCACATCTCTACTGGCCAGACCAACGGCTTCAATGAAAGGGGAGCATCCAAATGCCTCTCCAACATCACCGACGGCCAGCCTCGCTCTTGATCTCGGCATCGGTGAAGATGAAGGTCACACTCTCACCCTTGACGCCCGCGCGGATGCAGAGCGCTTTCAGATCTTCGAAGAGCGCATTGTCGTTGTAGGTCTTGGTGATGGTGATCCTCAGTGTCGGTGGACGCTGCGCTCGGAGGAATGGGCGGAAGCTCGTGTGCGCCGCGGATTCGGAAACCGCGCTCGGCGGTGAATCCAGCAATCAAGCAGTCAATGCGGGGTGTGGGGTGCCTGTAGACATGTTTGCCTTCAATACGGTTTGTCGTAGACAATTTTGCCTTCTTTCGTCTACCCGTTCTACTAGACATTTTGGCTGGCCGATCAAATTTTGATTGATTCTTTCTGTCGCCTTGTTAGTTTTACAAGGGCCCAGGTTCAACTCGACCCGGGGCTTTTGGGGGCCTCCGCGTCGACCCTTTTTGCTGTCAACTGCCTGTAGACGCTTCAGAGTATTCTGCTATGCAGGCCAAGAAGTGGCGACGGGCGTGGCCTTTACTTACTAAAGCCCTATACGGGATGGACCAATTCAGAGCAAATCTGAAAAAAAGATCGCGGTGGTTCTGGGAGCTACCGTGCAGCGGGGTCAAAGCCTTGCGATCGAGCCGGCAGGGCGGCCACAAATCCGGGATTGAGCCCAAGGGCATTTCTGTCTAGTAGTAGCAAGAAGCTACTAGTAGCTGTAGCTCCTGGCATTACTACTAGTAGCTAGAAGCTACTAGTAGCTCCCTCCGGGCACTTGCTCGCGTCCTCTCGCGCAGGGGCTCAAGGTTTGGGGCATCCTTTTTGGCTCGATAAACCTTCAACTATGATGCAATTTGCAGACAACCCTCGTATATCGGGTCCAAGTTAGAAGGATTTGGAGCTGGCTACGGGTGTGTGGTACAGGATGGGCGTTCGCTTTTACGGTTTAATGCAAATCTGCAGGCAATCTTCTTGACAGGCTTTGATTCGAAGGATTTAGAGCTGGCCTCGGGCGCCTCGGGCTTGACCTTTTCGTGTTAAGGTGTAATCTGGGATGGACCCTAATCTGCGAAACCCTCTGGCTTGGTGAGATTTCATGTGTAATACAAAACTTGCAGCTGGAAACACCTTGTTGAACAGCTCCAGATTGGGTTTCAGTGTCTTGCGGTCCACGTGGATTGGTCGTGCCCCATGCAGCATGCGAAGTGATCTGTTTCATGCAATCCTGGCAGCATTCCGTTGCTTCACGTCCTTCCATATCGAATCGCATGGAATCGGGGGTGTGGGAAGAAGGCCATGGGGAACTTGGCCCGAAAAAGCCGGTGAAAGTTTCACACGACATGGACCCATTTGGTTACTGATCTTGCAGCCGGCGCAAGACTTTTCGATCTATCTAATTACCTGTCTACATACCTTTCTTTCGTTCGCGCCTGAGCGAAGGCTTCTTCTTAAAGAAACAGGAGCAAGAACATGAGCATTGCATAATATTCGCAATATTATATGTCACTAATCCGCACTAATCCAGCATCTGCATGCTGCAATCCCTTCACATCTGCACGCCGGTGGAGCGCGGATGATGCGCGGCCTTTCGCCGATGGACCGGCACCTCCGACGGGTCCGACATTGGTTTTGGTTCGACGGAGCTGCTTTGAGGCCTTCGACGTACGAAGCTCGCCACTCTCGGGTTCCCGTGGCCATGCCGGGAACGCACATCTGAAGGTGCACCCGGCTCTGGGCTGGTTTGCCCTCGGCTCTGGTACACCCGGATGCATTGCACATAGGGTGCACTATCCGGCAGGCCAACCGGATGCTCTCAGAGCAGATGCTGGCTCCTGCTCAGGGCATCCAGTTGTCCCACCTGCCTCGGTGCCTCCTGCCGGGGTGTGGGTGTGGTTTTCCGCGTGTTTCTTCAAGTCGCCGTGGGATTTGGTGGACTTGGTAGGGAATGAAGTGTTGGAGCTCAACCCAGAGAAGGTGGACTCTGCAAAGGAATGATCCGTATCCCCGGCCATAGCTCAGCATAGGACATCTGAAGCGTCGGCGCTTGGTAGGAATGATTCATTGAGGTTGATATCCGTCTTGTGATGTCTTGTGTCTTGAGTCATGTGCCTGATTCGTCTGATTCTCTGGAGTCCATGATTCTTGGTCAAAAACGCCCGGGAGAATCATCCGGCTCACAGACACTTCGCCAAGCCGCTGGAAGGCATAGTGCGCCGAGGTGAAGGCCGCCAGTCTGGCACACACAAGAGGAGCCCAATGGGTTGTCCACGCGGAAAACAGCACCGTTTGCTCGTCACTTTTCGAAGCTAGGCGGACAAGTCTTCACAATTTATCACACTACTTGGAGGACATACCGAGTCAACCTTGAATTATGAGCAGCTTCGCAGCCCTGGTCTGAAGGAAGGAATGCTGCAGAAATTGGGAGATCATTTCCCACTCTTGATGGAGGGCTTCTGCGTCCCAAGTCCCAACTGGTTCAGGATTCGATCGGTCAATCCGGATAGGGGGTGTCCTTTTCTGGCTGCTTCTGACCCATGAAATATCAGAACAAGTAGGACTAGGACTCATAAAGGAACGATGCTGGCGGGATTTGGAAGGCATCTATCATGGGTTGGTCAGCCTTCCGTCGCACCTTCTTCCAACTGCCTTCCTCATGGGTCGCTGGAACGACAGTTCCCTGGGGCGAAACGCAGCAGGCCCTGGCCTTGCAAGAGACTGCTTTCCACTTCCACCCACACCCACCAACATGGCACTGCCGCGCTTTTGCTGGATGGTACCTGGCAGAAAACACTCTGCAAAAGGGTCCGCTTCAGGGACTTCCTCATCCGAACTGTGAACTGTGTATCAAAGGGTGAAGTGAAGTCATCGTTTCTGCAAAAAGACTGCTTGCGAAGAATTATACAGTATCCATTCCTGATGAACCTTGCAAGACTCCGTGTGAGACAAGGAGAAATAGGAGAAATCCAACATCTCTTGCAAGCGTCGCTCCGCTTCCATCCAAGCCACGGTTGATCTTCATCAGGTGTTGCATGGCCTCATCGAAGAGCACCAGCTGCATGGCCTTGCAGATTTCAAAGCTTGGGGGAAGATCGAGGTAGCAGGTAGTCGCACCAAGATACCAAGCAAGGAATCTTGATACAAGAAAAACAGAAAACATGCAACTATATGATCTATATACAGATATATATTTGTTTATCGGATTAGTGAAGAGAATCCTCGTGGTCATTTGATCAAAAATCCATCTTCATGGTGTACAGTGTGTCCTGCGGCAAAAACTACTAAACCTGCAGACCACACCCCAAGGCAAAAAGGAACCGTTCATCATCAGCTCAAGAGCTGCAGAGTTGCCAAGGCCAATAGTTGCCTTAGTGAGGCCTCCTTCTCCAACAAATATGGACGTGAAAGTGCATGGCGACTTGGACCATCCATGAACACCCTTTCCGAACTCCACGACGCTTTCGCTCGTGGGGTCTACCCACGGTGGCGTCGTACATCCCACACTAAAGAAAAGCCAAACCGAGGAGGTTCGCAGCAATCCTGGCCCAAACCGAGCTTCACACCTTCGCCGGGTAGGCTTCATTGTACTTGCCCAGGTAGAAGTAGGCCTTCCGGCGAAGCTGGGTGGAACATCGGCCCAGTCCGGGGGCGGTGGCTCTGGGCTCCGGGTGCAAGGGTTGCTGAGGGAGGTCAAGGATGTGTCTATCAACAAATGAGAGCGCTGGAGCGCGCTCCCACTGGAACACATGCGAAAAAGAATCAACAAACTCCCAAAAACAGCGGCTGCAGAGTCCAGAGTCCAGCGCATCAGCTCAAGGCCTTGCTCTTGACCAGCTCCCACTCAGCTGGCTCGTAGACTTTGGGAGCACCTGACGGTCCAGTCAATCCCACCGGCTTCGTACGGACAGATCTCCAGATTTGTGACGTACGCTGCGATGGAAAAGCCGGTGCCTTTCTCTTCACCGGTTTCCTCGTCAAACTCGATCTCTCTCAGGAAATCGGCGAACCATTCCTGAGGAAATCGGCAGAATCTGAGGTCAGGCAGGGAAGCTCAGACAAGATGGCAGCTTGAAATCACTACAAATGGCATTCAATGATTTGAGAAGAGAAGAGGTTGTAAAGAAGGCAGCTGCTAGGGAAAGAAAAGCCTCTATATAGGGTGATTCATAAGGATCACTGCGCTGTGCTTTGGTGCTTTATTGAGGAGAAGCTCACTGCGCAAGGCAAACGAGAAATCTATGAGAGGATGCAAAAAGATTGTACTAATAGATGATAGATCATAATCTTGGAAAAACCGCTCACAGGGCTCACATGACTTTAAAAGGGCCATTTCCAGTCACCAGGAAAACCCAAAGCAGTTGTTCCCCTTCGCGCAAAAAAAATAAGAAAAACGGCTGTTTGATCTGCCCAGGTTCCGTGTTCTTGTTCTCAGAGGCCAACTGCTCTCCAAAGTGGAGGGGCATGAACCTGCAAAAACCACAGATGCAACTTATTCTTAGGAGTGCTGCTGCGCGCGAACGTGCGCGCGAACGTGCTGCCAATGCACCATGCGGAACGTGCCGAAGATAAGGGGCCGAAAAGAAAGACGAGATCAGACGATCCCCTAGATTCTCATGCCTCTTCTTGCCACCGACATAGAGGTGATGTATGATATATACAGTTGCTGGCAACAAAAATAACGGATCTTCGTGATCAACTCGATTAGTCTCTATATACTAAACTCTACGATGCTGCATCGTCAAAAGGCTGTTTGGTTGCTGGCTGAATTCTGCCATTTTTCTGGACAACTTGCCAATCTTGTTGCCAAGGGACTCTGACAGAGTCTTCCTGAGATGCAAATGCATGAAGTCTTCAGAGCAGTAGACATACAGATCATGCAAAGAGGATGAATCAGAGACATATGCTTGTGAGTCATGGCACCTGGAGGGCCCCTGGGAAGTTGACCATGTCGTCTCCTCTCAATCGGTCGGTCCTCCAAGGGACCAAGAACCCCTTCAAATCCGGTGGTCACACCCCATGCAAGGTTGAGGGCTCTTTTTGCAGAAAACGGAAAAATCACAACTAAAAGCTTGGAATCCAATATTTATAGCGATGTGGCGACTTCGTGACGTCAAAAAAATAGACCTTCTTCCTAACTCGAAGTCTTGGAGCATGAAGCTCCGCATGAAGCTCCGGTCGTGTCTTGGTGACTCGGTCAAGTGTCTCCACCAAGTTCTTGTCCACATCTCGGCAGAGCTTGTCTGCGAAGACTCGCTGGCCTTGGACAGAACGGTGCCAGCAGAAGTTTCGAAGCTCAAGGACCCGGAGCTGGGTCCTGGATTTGGGAGGGTCTTTGAGAGGGGCAGTTGGAAGATCGAAAGTTGATTTGAATGGAATGGGAGACTTGGAGAGCATCTTTGAAGCAACCAAGGGTCTTAGGGGTCTTGCCACCCAAAAAGCGAGGAAGCAACCATTTCGAACGTGCTCAAATGTCGCTTGACAACCAAATCTGATTCACCTTCGACCAGATGCGCCGCGCCTTTCGAGTGATAGGAAACAGTGGATCCAGCCGTTTTGGCCACGACACGTGTCAAGCACCTGGTTCACTACCACTGACAGGAAGCTTCCAAATGGTTCCGCCAAGTTCACTTCGATCCAAAACCACCTCCCTCGCCCTACGGAGCCCGTGCCCGCCCGGGCCAGCCAGCCCAGCGACACTCGTGTTTCCACAAGCCGACTAAGATTGCAGTGGTGGTCACCACGTTCACTGGGCACTCCATGATGCCCTGCGCGGATCTTTTTCAAAAGCCCGGTCGAGGCATGGGCTGGGCAGCGAGGTCGAGGCATGGGTTGGGCAGGCATTGCAAATGTGCAGTAGCTCTTCTTCAGGCGGAAGACCATGGGCATGTGCACATGGCAGGCTTGAATATGCCATTTGCCATGACTTGTGGGCTTCAGTGGCTCTTACTTCCGCTTTTGGAGACCGGAGCTCGTCAAAACTTGTCTCCTCCTCCCCGTATCTGCCGAGAATTTGACATGTCATACTCAAAATTGTGCTCTTATTTTTAGCCCTCTCACCAGGGATTGGCCAAAACATGTCAAAACATTGGGTCTATCCGATAATCCTATTCCCTGTAACAGTGAATGATGATGGCTAGTAAAGGTCGGGCCTTTCTCTGTGATTTGCTGGTGAAAACGGGTCCGGTCACTTCGGACCACCCGCCAGCCACTCCCCTCTCGAGTCCCTCCGAATCCCGTCCGATCCATTGCCTGGAAGACACGACTCAGGTCTCGCATGTTGAAGACGTAGTGGAAACCTGGCGGCGCACCGAAACGAACTCGGCGAGGCGACAAAAACGAACGAAGGAGAGAAGAGGCTTGAGTAAAACGACGAGCCGATCCGAATCGGTTTGGCACGAGTCCAAGAGGGAGGAGGTTCAATGTAGGTTCAACATGGTTCAATCATCCCAGGCAACGGTTGAACTTCGGTTGAAAATAGGATATATCATATATCATAGAATATCATAGATCTGAAAACCAGTTGGGCATGCTGACACGGGTCTCTGGTGGAGTGAAGGCTGAAAATCACAAGGGGATGTGGGAAATCAAGGTGATGGATGGTGGGGGATATCAAGGTGTGGGTTGGTGTGTGTTCTCACATATTTCGTGGATTCACTCAATGATAGAGTAATATGATCCTAATATGACCCTAATATGACCAAATTGTGAGAAGACAAAAGAAAACACCTGTGGCTCAAGGTCTTCTCTTCTTTGGCGATTCAACCCGAATCCCATCCGGGTCGCCCAGCCACGAGTGGCGGAACTTCGGGGACCGGAGGGTCACCCTTGGGGACCGGAGGGCCATTTCAGAGTGTGGACATACCACAACCGGTGTCTTTTCGACTTCACAACCGGTGATTCCTTGGCATTGTCGACCCGGTACCACCACAGCTCTAGAAATCACAACCCCGAAGCTCACACTGTCTATCCGCAAGGCCATTGCGGACCCTTTCCGAACAGCACCGCTTGGGAGGTCCGAACTCCCTCGGATTGCCTCGCCGGAACTCCCTCGGTGTCGGACCGGAGGCACCGAACACCGGCGGTGGAGCACCGAGGTTCCCAACGCAAGGGCGTGGGCAGCAACTTGGCCTTCACACGATCCCAGACCTTGGCGGGTTGATGACCAGTTGGGTGGAACGAGTTTAGAGATTCGTGCTCGTGGGATGCATGTGGGATCGAGTGGGAATAGTTAGATCTAGTTAGTGGGGTGCATGCTGATGCTGGTGTTTGAATGCTTGGGAATGGTTGGGACCTCTCAGACAGGAGTTCTGACTTCTGATTTTAGGATTTCTCACACATGAAGTTCTGACACATGAAGGCACCATTAATGTCTTGTCCTTTTAGGAACCTCATACCTGCAGCTACCTGCTTGTCTCCCATGCTCAAAGTGTCGAATCCATACAGAGTCAGCAAACAGAACACTTTTGCAAGAGTGCCCCATACCTAAGTGTGCACACTTGCTCCAATCCGGGCAATCACTTGACTCTCACTTGTCCAGTGCTTCTGGATGAGCGCCCACCGTTTCTTTTTGGATTGGGTTCATCTCAACTTTCAACATCAATCACTGAACTTGCTCTCAGAAGTCCGGAGAGCCTGATTCAAAACAAAACTCTTTCAAAGCGACCAGCACCTTCATGTCGGCGTCACCAATGGAAGTCGATCCACTAAGGGACCTCCCATTGGAGACCCTTTGAAGGTGCTGGTACAAAGTTATTCAAGCAAACCTTCTGCAAATCTCTCAGGTTTGGACATCCACCGTGGCCGCCGTCAGCTTCTTGCTCATGTCAATGACTTCAGGCTTGGCACCGGCCTAGCTCCGATGGTTGCCCAGAATCGGAATCACTTGTGGTTTTTGCTCTTCAAAAGGACATGGCCTCATCTCCACATCGTCTCATTAGTGCTTGATTGTATGGCAAATCATGACCATGACATTGACAAAACCAGATCTTCCCAAGAACTGAGAAGCCGCTTCATCGCAAGCGCAACGATGTTGCCGCAGCAGAGCTGCACAGGTCGAAACGCGTCCATCTAGGTCTAGGAATCATCACCCTCACCATAACCATCATCGTCCGACCTGATCCTTTCATCGACGGCATCCGATGGCGACAGACAATCGATCTAGAGCCCCGGTCCCACTGAAGACGGCCTTGTTGCTGAACTTGGACTTCATGATGCTGCCGAAGATGTTATCCACAGAGACCGTGGAGGGCAGCACCATGTTGAAGCACATGAACCTCGGAAATGGCAAAGTTTAAACGAAAAGAGGCCAGTAGAAGTTGGGAAAGTTGTTGAGCTCTCACATCGCTTGTGGATGTCTCCGTACTCCATTCTACGATGTGTCCAAACCCCAAAAAAAGCAGAAGGCGAAACCCTGTGTCCTAACCGAGGAAAAGAAAGAGAGCACCCCGACCCCATCCCAAAAGGGTACTTGGACACTCCGACCCCACTTGTTGGTTCCCGGTCCGTGGCTCGTTTTGTTGTGGCCAAGGTGCTTGGACTTGTAGCGGTTGGGGATGTCGTTCTTTCCACCGCCTTGGTGCGGCCACAAAAACCAACTCTTCCCGACTTGAGCGAAACGCCTGTCCACACCTTGATTTCGAGAGGTGCGAAAAGCTACAAAAGAGGACCCAGGATTGAACAGCCCCTTTTTCGCCAAAAAAAATGCCATATGTAGCACTAGTTTAGTTTGGTTCGCAGGTCAGGTCGCTCTTATCTCTCTTGGAAGCCTGCAGGTGTCTGGTATGCTAGTGTCATGCTAGGGAAGCAGGATGAAGCACCGAGACGCCGACATGTCAGCCCTCCCGTTCCGCAAGCGGGCGTGCAAACGCGAGTGTAGAGCATTTTGCACCGTGTTCTTCAACCAGCAATTCCGGTGTGTATCAGCGCCAGCTGTTACGTGAATCGCCACTACACTGGTATGAGGTCCATGAAAGATCATGAAAGAAGGATCGATAGCTCAACGGCAAAGCCATCCCATGGCCGCACTCACTCGGGTGGCCAAACCCCCCGTGTGTTCTGACCTCTGCTCGTGACCTCTGCGCCACCGTCCTCCGCCGTCCTCGTCCCGGGCCTGGATGTCCCATTGCACCAATGTACTGCAAGCCTTCGATGCTCTTAAAGTCTCCACCTCATCGCAGCCGAGGAAGGCCGGGGCACTCAAGCGGACGACCTCATCTCCCGACCTCCAACCGGTTTGCCGTTCGGCTCGTTCTTTCGTTGGAAAATGATGTCTATGCCCGGCATCTCAAGAGAACCATATGCCTATGCCCCCCCCCCATATTCTCCCCATTCTCACTTTGTTTTTCTTCTGTTTTGTTTAGGCAATTAGACCATGTTTCTGTTTTTCTTTGTCTGAGGCTTCCCCACGCTTGTCTTTGTCCAAGAAGTAGAAGCCGCTCATCTCAATCAGCTGTCGCGCCAATTCATTGGTGATCTGATCGCCCCACCTGGCCCGTGTGCTCCGCAGAGGAGACAGGTCTTGGAGAAAGGAAGGACCTCTATCCTTTTTGCCTTCTTCAAATGTTCGACATGATCAGAAACTGTGTTCACATGTCGAAGTGTTCCGAAACTCCAGCTGTCAGGGTTGTGTCATATGCTGTTTTATGTCAGGATCTGTCAGTGGCTGCTGTCGTTCGTCTTCAGACTGGCCACTTGTTCACCAAAGGCATGGCGGCATCATCAACGAAGACCTCACAGCCAATGTCCAGGTGGTTGGCTAGCTTACGTACCCCAAAGAAAGGATATCCCATCAGTCAAGCCATCGGAAAGTGGAGCATCCCATAATGAATTACCCAACCAATGAACAGTCACAACCCTGGGAAACCTCACCAATTCCTTGCTTCATCAATTTTCACCCACGTCCACCCTTTCAAAAAAAAAATGCTCTTCCACACCCAAAGTGGCCCAAACCCCCCAACAGAAGTGTGATTTCAGCTGGAAGAGAACACACCAAAATTTTCAGAGATCCACTGACCAAACGATCGTCTTCCAAGGTACGGTCATCTTCTTGCCACCAGGTGGGCAGAAGGTCTTGCCAGTCTTTCGTTCAATCTCGCCCTCGATGCCTGTGCCGCGACGAGCTGCACGGACGGCGAACGGCGAGGCGACTGTCCAGAATTGACTGGAAGACTTCCTGGACCAAAGTGCCAAATCTGCAATAGAACAACAAAGAATGTTCACCAGTTAAAAGAAAAAACTGTGTCTGCACTCCTTCCCAATATACACATATATATAATGTGTGATAATGTGTGTGTGTGTTAAATGAGTCCCCCCTATGGCTGCTTTCATGGCTCCGAGATACTCTTCTGGAAGCCCAACGGCTGGGTCGCACTGCTCAGATTCAAACGCTTGGAGAGCATTGTATCCTGCAATGGGCGCGTTGCTGGCTGAGCCATAGTTCAAACATCGGAGTTATCACTTGTACTTCAGGTATAGATACGAGAAGTGTCAGGTTGTTTCATGAAGCAACGCCATGAAATTCCTTGCAACGGAAATCAGTGCAGGTTTCTCAAGATGGTGCTTCAAAAGCACCCAATCGATCTTTCCTTGGCCAAGGCGTCAGTTGGCAAAAATATATACTTGAACCTGGTCAAGTGCAGTTCATTGTAGTTCTAGCCACCCAATGGTGCGGGAAAACCATCCAAAAGGATCATCCGCCAGACCCGCGTTCATAGGCAATCCCCTCCTGAGAGAATCTGCCAACATACCTGAGCCCATGCTTCGAAAGTGTCAAATGCACACCCAGACCTCTGTCCATCCCGGACCCTCGCTCACCATCGGTGTTTTTCTCGCACACATCGCACCACTGCGTGGCGAAGAAGCGAGGACTTCTTCCCACCCGACATCTTCTCACGAACGTCTTCCGACTCAGTGGTGTCCGTACTTGGGAAGAATAGATGGGTCACTCATCCTTACCATTTACCTATTGGCCTATTGGTTGTACACTTGAGGGTATCCTCTCAATTAATCAACCAACTAACAGTAAAAGGCCATCTATGTCAGCGACAAGCTTTCACATCCGAAAGAACCAAAAATCTCTCGGGCGCTGACCGGTTTCACCCCAGGTCTCACCGGCTTTTTTTCCGACCGATTTCAGTGGCACTGACCGGGAGAAAAAAGAAAGAACATCCCCACCCCCATGATGGGGGGGGGACCTTTTTATTGTAACTTACATTTTCCATAGTTTGGTACCTGGAAAATGAAAGAACCAGGAGGAAACGAAAGGAGTTGGGTGGTGAGTCGTTCGTCCCATCCAGTGGCCGTGGATGTGATGTTCAGGGGCACCCCTATCCTTCCTCCATGGTTCGCACCCCTTTGAAACGAACAGAAACTCCTTGTGAAATCCAATGGCCCAAATCATGAACCTCTCGAAAGCAGTCGGCCGATTGGTGTTGCAAACAAAAATGCGATGATGTTCAGCTAAACGGTCTCTTTGTCGACCAGTCTAGAGCAACTGATCAATCCAAATGAGTCTGGTGACAGAGGTCATGTGTCTTCGGAGCTCTCCGGCTGTGTCCTCTGGAAGTCTTATGAAGTCTTAGTAGGCCAGGCCGACCGTCACCCTTGGAAAAGGAGGGACCTCCGAGGTGATCCCCCTGTCCATGCAGCACCTCTCCAGGTCGGTCGAGTCACATCAAGGCCGTTGAGGTCTTGGCTGTACCCGGTGCTCCTCGGGTCTGACAAACCGAGGACCAAACAGGTGGTGTTTGTTCGATGACTTCAGGTGAGTGGGATGGGTTGGAATGGTTGGATGGTCCGAAAACAGCAATGTCCGCCCTTGGAAATCGTTACTAAAATCATGGGCTTGTTCGTGCCAGATACCATAGACCTAGCCAGGTCGTACACGAAAAAGGTATCCCCTCCACAAATCAATCAACCAAGGGCGTAAATGGCCATCTGAGGTCTTGGTCTTACCATCCGCATGCTGAGAAGGATTCTGGGATGATGATGCTTGGATTCTCAAAGAAAAACATCTGGATCCTTTTGTACTTTTGTGGTGGGATGTTGTTGATTGAAAGGATAGGATCATCAACACACCGTTTCCTGGAAGGACATAGGACTGGTCACTGGCGTGTCTTTACAATTATACATAATATAATATAACATAAGATAACATAACATAGTATAATATAAATTTAATATTGTAATATAATGTGTATATATATATATATGTCTTCTCGTGTTCGGCTTCTTCTTTCCCAATCCAATCCCATGTTAAAAACGCCGCTGTGTTCCAGCATGAAAAACCATCCCATCCTCCGCTGGTTCTCTTCCTGGATCTTCCAAGCTTCCAGCGGATCGCTGTTTTCCCCACACCGGTGTGACCCAGGTGACCCACCGTGCCACGGGGTGTATCGTGTGACGCCCCAAAGAGGTAGAAAAGAGACGAGCACCTTTCAAAATGTGTTTTCTCATCGTGCCACGATCTATTTGGGGACCACGAAGAAATAAATAGAAGGAACACATCCGAGTCAGGGGTCACCGTTTGCAGGTGGGTGCTCACTATCTGCTTGACTGTCAAAGCTTTTCCTCATCAGAAAGGCCCCAAATTCCACATGCAAAGAATGTGTCTCAAGAACCAGGAGGGTGGCCCTCCCGAAGAAGGGAAGATGGTCCCGCCCCAGAGCCATCGACTCGATTTCGAATCACGCACTGTGGCCACCTCATCCAAAACGATCTCCACGTCCAAAACTTCAACGTCACGCCCCGGCGATCTGACCAGGCACCCACCAACATGCAGGACTTAAAGGCCGGTGGCGTCCGCGTGACCTGCAGCAGGACGGGGACAGCGCGAGTCCACGCGAGGCCGGCGTCGACAGCGCGCCGGGACAGGCCGCCTGTCTTCACTGGATGGGGTCCCAAACACTGCAAAAAAGCATGGCTTTTTGTTCGGCCCAGGTTGCATCGTGCTTGGCCACGATATCCATGATGTACTCGGCGCGCACAGAGTCCATGGTGGGGATCAAGAGAGCTGAGAAATTCAGCACCTGCGCGAAGCAGAAGGCGCTGGGCGCTGCTTCGGTATTGAAGGCTTCAGTGCTGTCACATACCCTTTTGAGAGAAGGCACCTTGGGGTCTCAAGGGTATGGAACATACCAGTTGCAACAGTCATATACTGGGAGAGCACATGATGAAAGTGTTTCAAAAACCAGAACCTCAACACACTTCTCATGGCCAAACAAACATCACATCCCGGTGGTGCCCGAAACCCATCACCGTGCCCGTCCCGGTGTTGGGTTCATGCCGTTGCTCGGCTGCTCGGCGGGCGCTCGCGCGCGCGTGCTCTCACCGCGCTGGCCTTGGGAGCTTTCCACTCGTCGGGTTCCCATTTCTTCCAAGGGCGAGTCTTGTCGGTCCAGTCAGGCACCCATTCGAAGATGGTCTGACCTTCTTCGCAGGGCGGGATCGCGTCCTGAGACGAAGAAGACGGAGACGAAGACGGAGGGAGAAGACGGGAGGAGGCGGAGGCCCCTCGGCTGCGGAGGAGGCGAGCCTTCTTGTGAAGCTAAGGGAGTTCTCCCGAAATTGGCGGTGCCAGGATGCCTTTCTTCGCAAAGCAGAAACACTGCACTTGGAGATCTGTTGGCTATCGAGGTCCAAACTATATGTGGAAGGGAGGTGCTAGCCAACCTTCCCTGGAGCGAGAGGAGGCAAGCAGCCAGCCGAGCTTGACCTCGCTTCAATGACCAAGTGTTTTAACAAAATGACAAGGTCCCCTATGCTCTATGCCTCACTCTTCGGCAATAGTAATCACGGTCCTTCCTTCCCACGAAGCCTGCGATTGCAAGCACCACTCCTCCGAATGCGAGTCGGAGTCGGACGAACGTATTACGGTCCTTGTGTTTGTGCTCTTCCAAGATTTCCACGAACTTGGCCCAAATCCTCAGCTACGCCACTTCTGCCAGTCCGGCCCTGGCACCCACCCTTCGGGTGGAGCGAAGGGTCCCGTCTTCCGAGTCCTGTGGGTCCAGACCGCGGACATGGACCCAGCGCTCCTCTCCCAAAATGGCTTCTTCCCAAGGATCAAGTGGATCTTGCTACGGTGGCACCAAGCACTTTGGACCAAGCACTTCGAATTGGCCAGTGTGCAAGTGCTCAGTTCTCGGCACTTTGTTTGGGTTCGGCCCAAAAGGGTCTCATGGCGTCGTCTCATCGTGCAACCCCACCATCGCCGCTTGCACCGCCGATGGCGGGCGACGATACGGAGGGAGAAGAAGAGGAGGAAGAGAAAGAGGAAAGAAGAAAGAAGAAAGAGGAAGAAGAAGCAAGCAACAAACATCTTGTGTAGAAGACCGAGGGATGACTCGAGTGGATTGGAGACGGATGACCAGAGGGCTTGAGCCCAATGTATGTCCATCCTAAAGAGCCAGGAAGACTTGCACAAGCTGTCTAGATAGTCATATGGCTGTGGGGAGACTGACACCACCGAGCACGACTGACCGAGCACGAGCTGTGGGAGGTCTTTCGCGGTCAAATGGTGGACCTCCATATCAGGCGATTCGGCATCGTAAAGCACTGCATCGCATCCTGCAGGCCAAGTCTCACCTTCCTCATTTCAGGCTCCAGCAGGCCGCCGAAGCCCCACATGATGCACCAGCACAAAATGCGCCGGTAAGTGTCCTGAAGGATAGAAACCGTCAAGAGTGCTTGAAGATCAACATACGCCACATATCTATACATGGGGTCTCTGAGAAAGGTGCCGATGCTTTTGCCCTTGAAATGCCTTCAAATGGTGATTCAAAGGTGAAGGACATTGTATACCTACGAGTACAGTAGGCACCCGTAAAGGTGTTGATCCTCTCCTGTTGCCACCACACGGTCTCAGTCCCACCGAGTTCTTCTTTCGGTCCTCTCCCGGAATAGAGTTCTCATCCACATAGGGCTTCAAGGAAGCTGAAAGCAGGTTCAGTGTCTGGCAAATGAGGATGGAATCGTTGCAAGGCATCACCTGACAGTGAGGAAAACACCGTTTCCTGACGCTGAAAAAGCTCCCTTTGGAGGAAAGAGATGGCGATTGATACCACGGAGGTACAGGAGTAAAATGTGCAGAGTAGAGGATCTTTTGGTTTGGAGAGAACAAGGGAGTCTGGGGCTTCCAGTTTCTCATCCTGACTCTTCCATCAGCACAAATGGATACAAATGGCGCATGCTGCTACTGTTGGGGCTGCAAATTCGCGCGGTCCTGCCATGTAAGAAAGACAAATTCAGAGTTGATAGTACCAGTACTCCCAAAACCATGCTCCCTTCCTTTAAGTCAAGCATCTAGCTTGATGTTTCGCATGCACCAATCGAAGAAGTCTTCAGCTGCGCCCGAATTCGGGGGCTTGCTCTTCAGCCACCTGATCAGGAGTAGGAAAAAACCAAACCGCTCCACCAGCAAATCGCTCGTTGAGATTGCTGAGGCGGTGCGTTCGGCAGTGGTGGGACCTGGAACACTAGGCAGCAATGAATGCCAACTGAACCGTTCGTTCGAAGGTCCAAGCTGGAACCACCGTGTCCGTGTCCAAAGCCAGCGCACTTGTCGAAGAGAGGCTTCAAAATGTCCACTTCGGCCTGGGGACCCGACGAAGCTGGGCTCCGTAGAGCTCCATTCGATTTTGGCGCTAAAACATATGACTCCGACAGGTGGCCGGTTTCCCAAGCTGGAGTCCTTGTCAGGAAATCTCTGAGTTCTACAACTTGCAGGTTTGAAAGGTAGGCAACTTGATGAAAACAAGTATTACCTTGAAATCAAATGTAAACTAAAAATAAACTAACTTAAAGTAGTCTTCAGACCCTGAATGCCACGGTTTTCTTCGGGGCGGGCGGTGCTGTATGTCTTGTGATCCAACCCACTGGTCGGTTCCCCACCTGTCGTGAGGCATTGATTTCCGGACGTCGCAGCATCCAGGTGTCTTTGATTGGTTGCCAGCCCAAGTCCGAAGCGCTCACATAGATGATGCCCGCGCCTTAGGCAGAAAAAAGCATAATTCCATGTCACGAAGGTCTTCAAAGGCATGCACACAAGCCGCATCAACAAGGTTCTTTCTGCATAGACCAGGTTCTTTCGCCGAAAAAACACTCGTTCGGTCCATCAATCACATCGGTCCGACGGGCACGACCGGCCCCACGACGAAGGTCCTGCGGAAGCCTGCGGAAGCCTGCATCTGACTGGGTGGGTACTCATTCAACTTGCGGCAAGACCAAGGGAGCCCTTTTTTGAATCGAAGCCTTCCCAATTCTCACCTACTGTGGCGGATGCCTTTGATGCGGATGCCTTCGTTGCAGACAGGAAACGTGACACGGTGGCAGGTGATGCGTTTCGAAGGTTTTCCACCTCGCGCGCGGGGAGAAGGTGTGTGCTGGAGGAGAGCCCTTACTTTTCTGGTTCGTCTACGCTAAGATTCCCGGTTTCCTCTAGGCCAATGCACGCATGTTCCAGAGAAAGCTCCACTAAAGACAGCATGTCAGGGCCATTTAGTCGGAGACTCCAAAAGAACTCGACCGGAACTGTCCGACCACCAGGTCAGAAGACCGGTCTCTACCGGCTCTCCCTGTGGCGTTTTTCAACCACGCCGATCGACACCGGTTTCTCCGGCTCCACCGAAACAGGAGACGAGGAGACGTGGCACCTCGAAGACAATCTTGCAGTTGTCAGTCATGGGAATGCGGTCATTGTTGGCCTAGGGAGTGCGCGTGTGTCACGTGCTGTGCCACAGTGGAAGGGAAACAGGGGTGATTCTTCGAAGCGCGGGTTGACCGACCGATAAAAATGGAGGGGGGGGGTCGCACACAAAACTTAATAGCCAAGTAGTGTCACCTATAGTTCAAGCACGTTCAAACGTTCTTTCCACGAAGGGTCCTGCTCGTTGGGGCTTCTCCTTTGAGACAACGCAGCAAACCTTGCAGTGGTTTGCCGCTCCAAAATCTCCACAAACGCTGAATCAGTTGACGCTCAGACACCAAGGTCAGAATCTTGTTGTCGTCCAGCACGGTGTTCAGATTCCTTGCCCGCGCGCGCGCGTACCGCACCGCGGAACGGAGATGCCGATCCGGCGTCGGAGTGGTTTGGGAGGATTGGATGCTGGGGGGTGGGAGGCAATGACTCGGAAAAAAAGGGACGCTTCAGACCCCAACAGTTCGGGAGGTCTTCCCAACCGAACAGGGAGGGCCAGCGAACAGAGACGAGAAGGAAAGCGAGTATGAGGGGCCCCTCGGGGTCCCGGCGGCTCGTATGATGTGCACCGCGGAGGCCGATGCATGTGGACTGGGATGGGAACACCTACAGTATGAAAAAGAAACGTGCAAGGCCGCCAAAGTGAATTGATGAAACTGAAAAGGTGCAGGCATGTGCAGGCCCTTGAAGTGTGAACGGTTGACACACTGACACAATCTACAATTTTGGTCAAAGCGGACGTTGTCTCCTTCAAGGCAGACTTCGAAAAAGTGTGTCTCCTACACAGGTGAACTGCTGGAGAGATGGCTGGCATGCGCATGTGCATGTGCATGATCTTCATCTGGGTGTTGGGGGACTGCCACTTGGAATGCTCTTCACACCAAAAGCCACAAGGAGCTTCAGTTTCGTGACCGTCCTTGAGATCCCAGGGCATGTGGTTCGGTCACACGCAAAAGAAGGCCTTTTCAAAGGTCGCAGGTCTTGAAGGAGACTCCAAAGAGATCACCGTTTCGGTCCGAAACCACTTGGCTTTCCTTCATGTTCATCCCCCCGAAACAGCGACCCTCGGCTCTCCGACCTCCACTGACCTTCTTCGCAGCCGTCGTTTTTGGCCGAAACAACCGGCCGAAACAGCAGCGGAAGCCGCTGAGACGCTCGCGGAAGCCGCTTCATCCAAGCGGCTCAATCCAAATGGCGTCTACTGGGCCATCGCACACGATCCAGGTGGTGTACTTCAGGGATCCTGAGCGAGTCTACAAAGTCTACAAGACGGTCACACAAAATGGAGAGATAGTTCTGCGGTACCAAACGTTGGAAGGCGCGTTTAGGGGAAGCAGTCAAAGTCCGGTAACCTTCAACCCAGCCATTCAAACCATCCTAGCCACGTATGGCCACCACATGGCGCTGTTTTGATCTTGGCAAAGGCATGCAAAAGCTTGTATGATATACCTCAGCGTCCTTCCAAACACCCAAAAGAGCCTCCCAATCCTGCAAAACTCTCTCTCTCTCTCTCACGCAAAACAGAAACGAAAGCACTGGCACAACCCCAACGAAAGCGCCTCAAAAAAGACAGACCCTTCGATCGCTCCAACGTTCCGTCCAACAACTGCGAGGTGCGGTTGTTGTACCTCTGCCAGATGGAGGCAAACACGCCCGGTGTCCATTCTTCACTGATGGGATCCTTATACCCGTACCTTAGGCGGCAGCCAGAGACCCGTGGGCTGGTTCAGACAACGAAAGGGAACCGGTCACGGAGGGCGACCACACTGGAGAACTGGAGAACATTGGAGCCCCGAACCACAAGACCCCAAGGCAGATCTGCTCAATCAGCACATCGCTTGACCTGCCGAAACTTGGACCTCTCTTTCCAGCACATCGGCATTCCCAGCAGTTGGAACCCTGGATTGGAGCTCAAAAAAATCCGGTCCAGTGGACGACCTACCGCGGACCGGGTCGTGAATCGGCTCGTGGAGTTACAGTACGTGGCCGCCGAAGGCAGCGATGCGCCGCGGGGCATCTGAGAGTCTGTGATGGCCTTGGGGTTCATGACCACTTGCTTGTGCGCCAAGCCATCCTCGGCTGCGCTTTTCAGCAGGCAGGGCGGGGCACGGACCGGGAGAGACATCATCCGGTTCTGGAGGGAATGAATGACTGAAACATGTAACCCTACAAGTCCAGTTTGACCCAGTAAAACCTGGTCTTGTACCTCAGTAAGTATTGGTTTTGTATGACCATCTCCAGTAAAGTGAGGTCTTTGACTTGTAGGGTAACGTGACATCCAACTGGTGGTCGCAAGTCTTTTCTGACCCATACTGTGTCCACTGTCCATCCAAGCCCTGAGTCGAACACAAAAGGCAAAACGATACACATAAAGGGGTTTTGAGCTCCGGGGTCACAAGCCAAAAACCGCCGTCAGGATCCGGATCTCTGTCGCTGATTCACATTCAATCTATACTAACTAAGAAGTCTTCGTCTTTGAAATGTTAATCTTCCCATCTTGAGCGGGTCATCTTGCCGCCATCATCTGGCATCACAGCACGATCTGCACGATCTGCACAGGTGGATTCTGCTACCTGCAAAAAGACCCATCGCGTCGCGCAGAGTAACTCGGCATCGCGCAGAGATCGAACACCAAGTTGCATTGTGCAGGCAGGTGGTCAAAATGTCTCGGATCTCTGTCTTTCCACCTGTTTGGACGCAAGGCATCCATCGGAAAGCCGCGTCAGACCGCTGAGCTGGTCGGAAGACCAACGAGCAAACAACGCATCCTAAATGCTCTGAGTCTAGTAACTCTATAGTATAGTCTATAGTGACTCTAGTGCAATCCTTGCCATAGCCATACCGTTGTAATCCATCGCATGCGAAGATGACTCAGTCAGACATCGGGTCATCAGGTCCGCTGCCCAGCTTCTTTCAGCACTCACTGACTGAGGGCATCACAGAGTGTTGGCCCCACCAACATGAAACCGTGGCGCACGAGCGATGTCTCATACCTCAAAAAGCGAAGAGACGTCTCACGTGCGGATCCAAAAAAGAAAAACGTCCTATAAGAGTAGAAAAGCTCGTTCAAGAAGCTGCTGGGCTTCCTCTTTTGCAGGGCATGCCAATCATGGGTCGGCGTCTATGCATTGGGTCTCTTTATGCTCAATAAAAAGGCCGGTGGAGGAAGGACCTAGAATCAGAGTGGTTTCTGTGGTTGGTACTCCACTTCTTGAGTTTCTCGCTCTTCTTGCGGTTCTTTTCGGGTTTTCTTCTTCCCCGTTGGCCCCACAAATCACTGGCGGCGGCAATGGCCCGCCGAAAAAAGGGATGTTGAAACTTGGAGGTAAGTAAGCTGTCTGCGATCGCAGATTTCTACCGTCGATTCCTCTCGCGGAAAACGTGAGCAGAATGCTTGTTGTCCTGTTCACGTGGCGTCTCTTCTGTGCCAGTCACTCATTCAGAGCCGGAGAGGTACAAGTCCCAGCATGGAATCAATGTCAAGACACAGCTGAATCACCTTGAGCATCCAGGTGTCCCAGTCAACCAGAAGGTTCTTGGCGATCAATGCCTTGAAGGTTCGAGGGAAAGAAGCTGCTCGTTTTGAACCACGGCTTCGGATGCTTCCACTGTCGGATGCTTCCTGAAATGGATACAATCTGTACCAGCTTTCCGTTCTCTCAAAATGACCTTGGGTCAAAACCACCCAGGAACCGGACCACCAGGGAATGAACAGAACTGACTACTAGGTCCGGGTTTGGACCCGCAACCAAATCTTCCGACATGTTTGCACAAGGAGGGCAACAACATTGGAGATGTTTCGATACAAGAGGTAGCGAAGAAGAGCTCCCTGTCCATGTGTTGAGACCTCCATTTTGCCTCGATCTTCGTGGCTTTAAAAGGCTGCAAATGTGCGCAACACCTACAGCAGCCTTGAGATGTCCAGAATCAATCATACAGCAGCCTTGGGCCTTGAGATGTCCAGAATAAACTATATAGAAACGAAGAATGTATTTTCAGATGCTGCACAGCTCAGCCAAAAACAAATGGCCCCTCCACATCCATCATGCAGGTCATACCATTCAAACCCATCTGAGAATGTCTTCTTCGATAGAAGTTCACCGCGGGGCCCTGGAGCCATCTTCCACGTTCTTGTAGACCTTCTTTGGTGGATCAGTCACCTGACCCGCATCAGCGGCATCAGATCCAGACGGATCCGCGAACGTGAAATCGATTCGAGCAGAGATGCCTGGTACTGTTGATGAAGATGGATCCATGTCCGATCGTGTCACGAACTTCCAAGTTTGGGTATCCATATGCGTGTGTAATAGTAGGGAGACCCTCCAACCATAGGTGTTTTGTGGATTGTTCAAATGCCTGCGGGGCGTCCAACTGGCTGTCTCCCCTTTTCAGTCGGAACCAGGAGACCTTGGAGGACCTAGTACCGACGCGATGTGACTCGTTCGGAGCTACTCTCCATGTGACTTGCGATCTTCATGCCCCGTCCATTCACTGAATCCAGGTGTCCGAGGTGTGCCATCCCATGAAGTCCATCTCCGGACACCGTCTCGAGACGCCGGTCGTCCCAAGGGACGAAGGTCGCCCCCCGTCGCGCCTTGGGGAAGAGATCCTTCAGCAGCGCCAAGAAGAGCGGCACATCATCCGCCACCTGCACTGGGTTCGCTTCACGGCAGCGGCTGAACTTGGAGCGGGGGCGCCGAACGCTACAGCGACATGCGCGGTGGTTTTCGGAGGAACTTTGTGCTGGCCGACCGGTGCTCTGAGGGTTTGGCACTGGAAACTTGAGTCGACTTTCCAATACTAGAACCCACTGTCGGGGTGGTTAATGGACACCCCTTAACCTCTATGGGGCCATCAATAGCCACCCCTTAAGGGGGTCCTGGTCTACGTTCAATACTCCAGCCTGAGCGCTTAACTTCAGTGGCTTGAACAAACGTTTGCATGCTGAATGCTGCTGACCTTCGCAGCTGTCACGTGAACACTAGAGATACACAACATAGACAATCTAGATCTACAATTCAATGCCAATCACCTGGTTCTTCAAAGTGACCGAACTTGATCCCTGGTTCGGTCACTTATTTAGGCTTACTTTACAACGCCCAAAGGTCACCGGACGGGAGTTTAGGACTCCCATCCAGCGACCAACTGGATACCCCGAGGGTTTTGCCGGTCGGTGACGTTCCACGCTCCACGTCCCGTTCCACCGCTCGGTGGCCGACGGCGGCCGACGGGGCCCCCGACCAATTTGGAGAGATTCCTCGGTGCTGGCGACGTCAGTCGCTGCGGTGGTTTGATCGGGCAGCGAGGTCTTGGAGGGAGGGTAGAGGCGAGGCGAGGCGAGAGGTCGAACGCGGTGTTTCGCGAGCCGGGAGTGCGAAAAGTTCGGTCCCCTAAAGAGATTTTGAGATACGTCTTCAAGATGATTGGATTTTGTGGGGTCTAGAATTGTTCTCATGAGTTCTCATGGTGTCTGGATCAGCTTTCGAAAAGAACGACGCTCAGGACACGGGAGACCGCGGGCGTGGCGCAACGAGGTTCGGTTCGGGGAGCTTCGGGAAGGGTAGACCAGTCTACCCAGCCAGCGCCAGGGGATTCCCCCGTAGTAAAATACTTGGCCCAAATGGGTAGGGGTAGGGTAGGGGTAGGAATGGAAAAGAGAAAAGTATTGCTCAGCCAGGTGGCATGTCTCGCACCGTGCGCATGAAGAGCATCTCCTGTGGTGACCAGCTTCTTAGAGGGGAAGCCGAACATGCCACGTGCCGGGCAGGCGCAGGCGAAAACAGGTGTTTTCACGCGTTATGGGGTCCGGTCGGTCATATTCTTGGGGTGTTTTCGTTCGATCCAAAAGGATATCTGTTGGGGTTCGATCCTGACGAAGCACGTGCAGCCAGGCAGCATCGGACTCGGACGAAAAGACCCGTTTTTGGACCGTGTCCGCTCACTCCAGGGTGACTGCTCAAAACGTCCCAAAAAGATCGTCTCCATGCCACATGACACGATTGGATGTTTGAAAACCCGTGGTTAACCTACACTCCCACTCACTAACATGGAAATGGACAATGGCCTAAGGGAAGACCCTTTTTCCTCAACAAACAGGTGGTTTTCCACTTCCATGTTAGTGAGTCAAAGGGTAAATCCAAGCTCGTGTTAGTAATAAGCAGGTCATCCCTAATCATAGAATTCCATTTTTCCAGAAAGTGCAGATCAATTTGACTCATTATTGTCCTTTCTCGGGAAAGACCTGAGCTTTGGCAAGTCGCAGTCCTCATCAGTGTCTGGAGGCTCTTGTCGCTTTACTCCACCACTGGTTCGAAGAACACCTAAGGTCATCGTAGGTCGGGCATGATATTTAGGCCACAAGGCAATCACCTGATTATCACTTCACTGAATCTGAAGCCCATGTTGCCCATGTGTCCCATGTAGTCTGCACCAACTTCAAAAAGGTTCTCTCCTGATAAATCTCGTCCAACTCCGTTCATCATCTGAAAACACCATCTGATCACGCCAAAGGTTAGTGTTGGGTTTGCTCATAAATGCACATACATACGGCTGTGAGTAAGATTCCAACCCTCCAAACATGGTAGGTTCACAATTAATTTGTTTATCAAGCTTGGCTGCTATATTTAACTCATGTTCGGGGATCAACCCGAATCCCGCACTCTTCACCAGCACCCATATCGTTTTCGGAGTTCTGCTCTTTTCGTTTTGCCACGGCTGAGCGTTCCCGGCTGAGGATATTCCGCAATCCAAAGTCGTAGTGCCTGCACCACGTCCGTCGACCACGTCCGTCGACTGAGTCGCATGGCAATTCGAAGGGTGCCCACCGAAGGGTGCCCTTTTGACACGGTCAGAGACAGGGGGGAACTGGAAATGGGCGACGTCTCTCTGACACGGTCGGGCGACCGAGCCCCTGAGCACTCTTGAGCTCAATGAGAGCACTCTCTTGAGCGCATCTTCTTCAGCCTCTGCTTGCTCAGCTGCTGCTCGCAAAGGGCATACAGGATGCAGAACTTCTTGCCCAGCAGCTCGAACTGGGAGTATCCTGGTGTTTTTTGATCAAAACAAGTGCCATCTGCAATGTTTTAGAGCTGGCTATGTCTACTTTGAGCGGCTTCAGAAACAGGATCTAGTACAGTAAGGCAGCAAAACAAACTTGCTGATTGTTACTCATGGGCAACATAGACTTTGAACTCCCCATCTCTGCATGTTCTTCATGTTCTTCGCGTACCGCGCAGTGATCCAACCCCGCGCGGTCTAACCTTCAGTGATGACGCGCTGTGTCCTACAGAGGCCAACTTCACCTTCATGATGGTCTCTCTGTTGGGCACCATCATCGCCTAGTTTGGTCGATCGACTCGGAAGATCTGCCTTTTATCTGTATAGATCTGCTTAGATCTGAGCCTGCGGATGGTGAGTGTTGTTTCAGACAGAAACACTCTGAAGCGAGTGCTTCTTCTGAGTGTGGAAGATCTGGATTTCCTCGGCCTTTTCCCCAAGGTGAGAGGTACCCACACCAAGGTGCTTCCTCTCCGGTTTCCACACGAGACAGATGGGCAGATGGGCCCATCACCACCAGAACGCCCGCCCCAGACCGGACGGGCGGTCGGTCGCCACTGAGCTGAGCGACGACACTTCGGAAGAGAGCCTTCACGTTCCTCAGCGAACGACGGCTAACCGCTCACCGGTGAAACGAAGAAGTAGTGCGCCCGGGGCAGGCTGGGCAGGAGTGAAATCGTGCGCCACTGGAGATATGAGAGATGAGGAAAACAACAATTTGTTGAAGTGCTTTGGCAGCTTTATAGCCATCAACAGCCACACTTGGTTTGGAGGCTAACATTGTGTCCTGATGGAGAAATCAGGCCAGTTGGCTTAGGCACTGTGCACGCACTGCCAACTTACTTGGCAGTAGCCTGCTACTTCGTTGCCAGCTGGGATGTTGTCAGCTTGCGTTCATGGAACCATGAAATCGAAACAGCAATGGCCGTATTTCCCTGTAATTCCGCTCCACTTGCCCGACCCAATCCCATCACACCATCAGCAACTAAGGAGCTCAGGCAACTCCTGTCGCCCGGCATAGCCTGGGTTCATGGTGATGAAGTAGCCGACCTCGGTAGTCATGTCTTCAAGGGAAAGCAGCAGCCGACGCTCTGCGACCACGGTGGTGTCTGAGCCGAAGGGCCAGGGCCCTCTGACGTGACCACAAACACGCTTTGGTGCCGATGTGGAGGCGGAATGAGCGGATCCCTTCCGCCCCAATGCAAACAGCACCCGGTGTGCGCACCAGTCTTGTAGAAGGCTTTGATCTAGAAAAAGAATATCACCAAACCAAAGAAAAAAGACTGACCTCTCCGATTTCTGTGGCCCAACTGATTGTTTCACCATGTTTCACCTGGTTCGTCTTCTCGTCTTATCGGGTTCCCATCCATCTCGATTTCACCCAGACACTGATGGGACCAGCTTGATGGGCTGTGGCTCGCCTGAGCGAGAAGACGAGAGGACACCGGGGTCTCATTGGGGTCTCATTGGGGTAGTAGTCTCACTGGGGTGTCTGATATATTTGAATATACAGGATTGGTGTATCCCAACAAACCAAAGGGCGCCTTCTGATGGTTAGCTTGCGGGCCGACATCCATCCGTCCATCCATCCATCCAATGCAAACCAACCGGTCTGAGACGGGACCATCTGGGACTCCCACCCCAAAAACCTCTTTCGAACGAAACAGCCACGGTTCTGACGACCACGGCGACTCCGCGGCGACGCTGCTTCCGCACCGCACCGGCTCTTCGCGCGTTTCACGCGTTTCAGAAACGCACGAAACGCGCGCCTGGGAACATGAAGGTGGCCACCTTAGGACCGATCGGTGTCCAAACGGAAGAAGAAACCGTCAGGCCGTCAGGAGATCCAAAACCCAAGAACGGCGAGCCAAGAAAGAGGCCATGCGGTGATGTGAAGAAGCCATGCGGTGCGGACGTACTGGAGCACATCGATGTGCGTGTGATCGGACCCACGGTAGCTTGCGAATTGGTCAAATCAACGTGCTCGGACCGCCGGTTCGCACAGTCGCCAGTTCGCAAAGTCTCTGGCCAGTTCGCATGTTCAACTCAAAAAATGCACCGGACCATGATTTCCTCACAATGGGATCAACACAACGGAGTATGATCACAACCTCAAACTTCAGGCATAAGTACACTGTAAAATGCCCAAGAAAAGTCCAGTATCACTGAATGCGAAATGGTCCACTGAATGACGTATCAGAAGTTCCCTTCCAGGTCCAGACCGTTTCTATCAACCAGCAGTCACCTTCGACGGGGTGCCGGGTCCGGTGGCCGGAGGAGCGGCACACACGGTGCACCGGGCGCCCCGGGCTGCCCCGGGCCGTGTTTGGGGTGTCGAAGGAAGGTTGTCATGAAGCCTACATGTGACCTCTGAGGTCTACATTGACCTCTCATGTCACATGACTCATGTCTGACGAAAATCCACCCCACTGACGAAGATCTAGATATGCCAGCCCGATCGAACCCAGGTCGTAAAAGAGAAGTGCTCGAACTCGATCCCAACCCTTGACTGCCAACCTTGTTCCTTTCCATCCAAACAAAGTACGTGAAAAAATGTATGTGAAAGCAACAAAGTATGCAAAGCAAAAGTGAGTGTCAATGTATAGTCGACCGGTATCGTAAAAAAGGGTCGTTCCCGCTCCATGTAAACCTGCCCCCTTCGTGTTCCAAAACCACCACCACCTCCTCCGTCCCTGGGCCGCTCCGTCCCGGGCCGCCCCGATATGCGCCAGGCGGCCGCTTGCCGCTTGGCCGAACAGATCGACTCCACCTACAAGGACCCGGTGGCTCACAGGACTGGAGGTGGTTTAATTCCCAGAAGTGCCTGGCCCATCTCCTCAGGTTCGGTGGTTAGACCCCCCTGGCTCCCACCCTGGCCCATCTTCTCAGAAGGTGGTTGGAGCCCGGTTGATATGGAACACATCGATCTATGAGTAAACCCTCCAACAGGTCTGCGAAATGGAGGCTTTTGTAGGTGGTGACCTGTTAGAGGGTCCTGGTATGAGTGAACATGGTCTTTCACCCGGTTTTTCATGTTCCACTGAAAAAACAGGGTTCTATGGTGCAAACACCCCCAAAACCACGGGAACGCCTGCGGATGTTCAGCTCCAAAAACCACTTCTGGGATTGTTCAGCTCCTTCACCAGCTATGGCCAATGCTACAAATTCTGTCAAAGCCTACCACTGTTCATGTGCTTCCGTTCGCCTGAGTCATCAATAATCAAACTTTTTGTGAAAGCTATGTGCCCAGAAGCTTAAGTATGACTTGGATCGACTTCGAACTGCTGTTCATGAAAACACGGCCGACTGCTACAACTATTGCTCATCAAGAACCATGGTGACGGTTCAGTACCATTTACATCCATTTACCCAAAAATGCGTGTCTGAAGGGACATGGCTGGTATCTCACAGATGGTATCTCTGCTGAGCTGTCTTAAGTCCAAATGCCAAGGTGGCAAGGTCCTGGGGCCTGGGGCTCAGTCCGGCACGACTCACGACTCCGACCGCACCGGGAGGACCCCGGACGACTCCCCAGCACTGCATTCAGTCATTGTGCACGACCTCGCCTGCATGGCTACCACGCTCAAGACTTCGAGCTCGATGCGGTTGAACTCATCGAAGCATCCCCACCTGAAACGGACCATCACCGCTGACCGGGGATCGGCCCCGGGTCGCAAGAGCAGAATGGATCGGCCAAGGGGTCCCATTCTTCCAAACGGATCCTCCAGTCACAGGAAGTGGTGATGACTGAAGGAGTAGGTGCCCATGTCAAATCCTCATTTATACCCTAGAAGTCCAGTTTGACATATATACAAAAATATATGTTGACTGACTGAAGTAAAGGACATTCCTCCATTCCTCGCGTCACTGAGTAAGACCATTCTTTTTATAGTCGACTGGACTCCCAGGGTATAGATCTTATAGGGATTAGATTGGACCAGAATCGGACCCCAGAAACAACTGCTCAGCTTCTTCAGTTCGTGACCTTTTGAAGGTTCCATCCAGTGACCCTTAGGGAGGCTTAAGTGACCGAACCAACCAGGTTATCAAAAGGTCACTTTGAAGAACCAGGTGGTTGTTCCAATATGGCTCCAGCTTGAAATCCACATAGGAAATGGCTGGGACTGGGGAGTTCCATCCATTTCTTTCTGGTTGGGACTGGGGTTCCAGCAAAATCGGACTTGAACGGCTTTAAGCCTCGGGCCGAAGGCGGTCCAAACGCCACGTCAAAGCGGCACTGTACGAGTTCCCAACCACCCAAAGCTACTCGGACGAGCTGCGTTTTTGACCCAGTTCTGTATTCTTGTGAGCCCTGGATCAAATCTTTCAAGAACATGAATTCACGCGGCAAAGTCCAGTTCACGCGGAACCAGGGATCGGTCTCAACCGAAAAACGTTACTTTGGGGTCAGAAATGTCCGTCATCGGAGTCACTTTCGCGCACCTCTACTGTACTCCATAAGTCATTGGCACCTGTACTCCTTCCACTCCTGGAAGGTTGTAGACTCTTGATGTCCAAAAATCGATGATAATCCTTTATAGTGAAAGACCAGCAACAAAAAACAAAGGTCTGCGATCCATGGAGCTTCGGAGTCCCCTGAGGGTGACTGCTGGGAGGTCCTTCAATCCAAATGGGATCAAATGGGAGGGTGATGTACAGTACCTCAAGAGTCTACATTACTCATCCATCTTCCCAAACCGGAGGCTTCGAGTGGAGGCTTCGAGAAAGCGCTTCGCCAAAGCATGAACCCACACCGCCCATGGGTGTTAGTCTGAAGAGGCTGAAGAGAACATCGCTCTGACCGAAGTCGACGAGTCGACCACACCTCTGGGGAGACCTCGACGCACGGCTCCCCCCAAGCTGGGGCGGAAAAAAAGGAGAACGAGGTCCGTCCAGGTCCGTCCAGGTCCGTTCAGGTCCGTTCGTCCATGCTGTTCGAGTCACAGTCCACTCATACAAAGGCCCTTGAAGATCTTCGCCATGTCTCGGAAGCGGTGCTGATCCGAGCAGTTGGTGACGACCTCGCTGGAGCGGATGCAGCACAGCACCAGATCCGTGACCATCGGTCGTGGTCGTGGTCGGTTTCTGCCGTTCGTTCGGTCGTTCGTTCGGTGTCCCGAGTGTTCGTTCGGATGTGAGGTTTGGCTGCCATCTCTCGAAAGGAATGAGTTCTCCCTTTCAAGGTGTCTCCCTTTAGGTCTCTCGCCGTTTTCGCATGGAAAGCGCTCGCGCCGAACTCTGGCGTCCAAGGCACCACGAAGACTCCCAATGTGCGGCCCATGTCCTGGAAGGACGACTTCATTCGACGTCCATCATGTATCCATAAAATGTCTCCTCGAACTTGAATGGAGTGGATATCAGTGATGTATTGCGATTTCAGCTCAGCTCTGAAAACAAAAGAATCGCTTGTAGAAACCCAAATCACCACCACTTCAGAATCCAAATCAAAAGAATCGCTTCCGTTTTGCTCTTCCCCTTCAGATCCCCCCTCAGTATATGCACCCCTAACCAATGTACCGACCGTCGACCGGTGCTCTCGCCTTGGTGGTCTCGGTCTTCCCGGTGCCCGCCGGCCCAGCCGGCGCACCGCCAAAGAACATCCCCAGCGCCTGAGGGCCCATGGGGCCCATGCGGCCCATGGGGCCCATGGGGATGGGGGTTAGATGGGGCAGTCAGAGTGCGGAACAAAGGGCCGAACAGACTAGTAGGTTGTGCCAGGACCCTCCTGTCGGGGTGTCTATTTATAGCCCCTTAGCCGTTAAGGGGTGTCCATTCACCACCCCTTGAAGGCCCTGGTGGTTCCTAGTAGGAATGCCAGGAGCTACCTTCCAGGAGCTACCTTCGTAGCTCCTTGCTACCGTTCGTAGCGATGCCCTTGGTTCCTAGCGAGCCTTGTTCCATTCGTATGTTCCTACTATCGGATGGATGTCTATTCCACAACCATGAGGCTGTAAGAGGTTCCCGAAACCTCGGGGTTTCAACTGACTTCTGCGGCGTGGCGTGGCGTGAAAAAGGCGACCGGTTCTGGGAAAGAGACTCGTCTACCCAGCGACCTGGGGTCTCCCCATTAAAGTACACACCCTGGTGGGTTCTGGTTCTGCAGAGCAAGAGATTCGTGTGTGTGAAAAAACTCTTGGAGATTTGTGTGGCACCAAAAGAAACACATCTGAGGAACGTCACCTCCCTTGTTCAAGACGAGTGGATTTGGTGGATTTGGAAGCAAAAAAATCAACATCACCGGACTGGAATCAACATTAGTGCTCAGTACTCACTACATAAATGCTCCAAGTCCTTTAGAGAAGAGAGGATGACCTCGATTTGGAGGAGGGTGTATGGGCTTTGAAGGCGGACGGAACAGACCTGGAGCGGCGGGACTGCTCCGAGCACAGTAGAAGAAGAAGCGCCGAGCGTCGAAAAGAGGAGCCATGAACAGGCAACAAGAGCCATGTGCGCAAAGCTTCTTTTCTGGCACATGCCCTCGGTCTATCTCCCGGGAAAAGGGGACTTTCTACATCTCTCCGTCTGCCTCTCTACCCCTCTGCCCCTCTCTCTCTCCCTCTCTCTCTCTCTCTCTCTCTCTCTCTCTCGTTCCGCGTGATCAAATGGGATCCGATTACCAGTACCAGGGGATGATGGTGTAGATTGTAGACCGACATCTCAAACATAATAGTGATCATCTTTGACAGCTAGCGACCTGCTCTACCGCGACACAGTGTGCAGCCCCCTCTAGATCGAGTACATTCGAGTACCTTGACCGCCAGGCCAGCCACCTTGCTCCGCACCGCCCGTCCCGCGTCCCGCGCGCGTCCCGTTCCTCGCCTGTGATTGGGTCACATAGCATCGATCGGTCAGGGCGGTGATCACCAGGCGTTCCTTGCAGCCCAAATACTCGTAGGAGTACACGAAGTCCACATCCTGAACACGAGTTCGGGGGGCGAACTTCCATCCGGACCGGTCCACGGTCGGAACGCGCGAGCCCGGAGGAGAGTTGTGCCATCGAAAGAAAGGATCTGAGAGAGCATTGTGCCCCTGAGGACTGGGAAGAAGGTCCCTAGAAAAATGGGAGTGGCCATGTTGACTGAACTCGGTCCTTTTGAAGTTTATCGGTTACCAAAATGTTCAAGTCCATGTTGGTCCCATGACAACACATGTTCATGTTAACCAGAGACTAGTCAAGTCCACGAGGACGTCCTTTTCTCGTTTTTCACCGCACGCGGAGACCGATGGCGAGGCACGGCGATGGAGACCACTGCGTGGTCGGTCTCTGCCTTCCAATACAGCCTCACACAGAATGAGCCAATACAGATTCTCTGCTTCGTTTCAACTTCGTTGCGTACGATGTGCTCAGGGCAAGCCTGACATAATCCTGATTACCAAAGAGAGGTATGGACATACATACTGGCATACTCTGCACACAAACGGAATCATGCCAAAAGATCCAAAAAACAGTGCCCCAAATTGTTGGTGACAGGTTTGGTCCCCGGTCCTTGTCTGCTTCAGCCACTCAAAGTCGTTCTCATCCTTCACTTTTCCCTCACGAGCCTCACACAGTTGCGGTCTGAATCTGTTGCAACACAAGTCCCGACCTCCACGAGGACAAGTCCTATCTCTCGCAGCCCGTGCCACGATGGTGCCATCTTCGTGGATATTTGGCGCCACGACATGGGAATTGAAATGACCAATCGGAGCTATGTGGGAGATGCATCGGAGCTATGTGGAGCTCGAAGTTTGGTTGGATCATCGTTCTCAGCTCACTGGAAACAGCTTCTCAGCCTCAGTTGAGAGACGGTCCCAGACAGTCGGACTCTTGCATGGCTTGCAAAACTCTGGAGAAAAAAACGATCCATGTAGTCGAAATGGTCGAATCAAGTGGTACTAACAACTGTAGTAGTACCCTACAAGTGGAGGGGCTGGGCTGGGCTCTTCTCTGCGGGTTCGCCTGCCTACTCGGGTCAGAAGAGCGAAAAAGTCGTCGAAAAAGGGTCGAAACCGGCGAACTGCGTCGCGAGGCGTCGCGAGGCTCGTGCCTTCTTCCACACCTCCAGGAACAAATCCTTTTGATGGACATGGACTGTGACCAAAGTCTCCTGAGCCGCGAAAGTCAACAATGAGACAAAGAAAAACAAACAAATGTCTGATGTCCTGATGTCCCAGAGATGGCTTGCAGACTTCGCTTCAACTTCTCACATTGCAAGGAAAAGATCAAAGCGCTGAGTCCCTGGCGAACTTGGTCCGTTCCATCTTGGAGGGCAGGTTCGTGAGACAAATAGCTGGCAGCGCAGCAAGTAGGTTGAGGGAGTGCAAGTGTTGGGAGAAACAACGTGATCATGGGTTGACATTGACCGTTGGCTATACAGTATCAACTGCAAGAATTGACCTCTTTCATTTGAGAGCATTTCAACCACGCATTCTACAGGTTTGAAGCTTAAGGTCTTTTCGCCCTCGCAAGACTGCAAGACGAAGCTACAAGTTGTGAATGTCTGTGAGCATGGATTGCTGTCTGCCTTTATATGAGCTAATTTCCGAATGTATTCATTAGCGTTTCGCACACGGAAGCAGTATCGTTTTCAAGGGTTTTGCATGGTTTGCATAGTATATATATATATTATATATATATATTTGCTAGCCCCCCCCCCGGGACCTACCTTTTATGTGTTCGACCAGATGTGGACCATTTGAAATGTGTTCTTTGTTAAGATGTTTGTTAGTATTCTTGGTAGGATGGAAAATTAGCATTTAGATAGTCTATTATTTGCTGGTGTTGTTTTGTTTGTTCTTGACCTTTCAGTTTTAGTTGATGTTTTTGACTCTCTTCATGTCTTTTAATTGTATATTTACCAACTAAACATTTACAAACAGGACATTCAATGTTTAAACTGTTGTATTGTTTCTTTTTCTCTTGTATCTGTTCCTTGTTCTGTTCATAGTATTGTTTCGTGTTATCTTTGATTTCTTCTTTGTGGTCTTCAGGATACTGTTTTTTCTTTTCAAGAATTGTATCTCTTTTTTGTTCTCTGTATTCTTTACATATGGCAAGCATGTGTTTTTTATTATCATCTGGTTTCCACCCAAGAGGTCTTCATTGATCACTGGTTCCTTTCTTATTGTGTCAATATATATATATATATGGCACCCCCACAATTCCTTCAACGATCTAAAACTTGTACCCAAAAATCCATGTCAAAATGTGCATAATTCACCGTAAATACCGCTGAAAAGTACAAAAGGGTAGGTTATTGGGGGGGGGGTACCATATATTTATTATATTTATATAAGTCTGTGACAAGTCGACGGTATCGTTTTGTGGACGTCCCGGGTGGTTTTCCATAGAAAACAAGAACTCAAACTTTGCAGAAGGTAAATGACCATGATGATGTTGATTGAATTCTTCCAACATCTTCCAACTCGGTTGACCTATCCTTCCTCCTGGGACGCCCTACACAATGATATAGAACCGTCCTTTCCTCGGGTTTGGGTCACCGCGAACTCTCCTCGGGCCTACGAGATCCGTCAGCATTTGCGAGAACTTCCTCGGCCGGACATCGCGGCCGTCCGGACCCTTCGGGTGTGCTTCGGCGCCACCGAACAGTGGAGGCGTCCGTCCGTGGCGTCCGTGGCGTCATAGAGAATAAGAAAAGCCAAACCTGTTTCCCTTTCCGAAGTATGCGTGTGTCTATACATATAACTATATTATATCTGCGTGTGTGACCCGCAGAAAGAAGAATCCGGCTCCCGCATCCCTTCTAAGAAGAGGTGGGCGCCGCTGGCGCGATTCTGTTTTCAATCCCGGTCTCTGGAGCCTTCTCGATGGGCTCCTGAAAGCTTGCCCGGGGCGGTACTGTAGCCGCTATAGCTGAATATGGGTCTGTATTTTAATAGGGAGATCCCCGAACCAATGGGTAAACGGTAAACTGGTCTATTTCCTTTCTTCCAGGAGGTCGAACTTGGAGGTCTCCCCATTTTGACACTTGAATTCTTAATCGGAAAGCTGGCAGCACCCTTTTGTTCGGCTTGCCCTCAGTTCAAGCCAGTGTGCTGTCGTCATCCTCCCAAAACAAAAAGCAATGCCACGAAATCCTGCCACGTTCGACCTCTTTCTCTTGCCCGACGGAATCGCCTGCCTCTGCCTCGCATCCCAAAAAGAAGAGGGCGCAGCCCAGCGGGTCACGCACCTGATGCCACCGGGCCGCTTGTTGGCTTGCCCCATGACCGCCTTGTCCTTGTCCCGGGCCATGCGCGTCAAGGCATCTTGGAAGTCGGTGGTCCAGATGAGCTGAATACCTGGAATCACATCGCGTGGCATCCTCCCCGCGTCGCGTGGCATCGCGTGGCATCAAGTGGGCCAGGGGGTCAGGTATAAGTCTTGAATGAAAAGTACGCGGCTACCATGAAAAGTCACCATCTTGGCCGATCGATCACGTGGGGTTCATCCGAAAAAATGAAATGCTAGCTGTAAAGATTCCATTCCCACTATGAGCGGGCTGGGGAAATGGACCGACTCCCGCCTTGGGTGGTTTAGTCGCCAAACTTCAAAAAACAATTACAACAATGGTTCTTGGTCTGGTAATGACCAGGCGGAGACCGCTGGTAGCGCGGGGCCTGAGCTACCCTACGCTCTCATGACAAGTCACCCAGCAAAGACACTTGCGCAATACACTTCTTACCGAAGTCGGACATCGATGTACCATTCAGCACCTGTCAAGATCAGCAGGTCAGCATGGCAACGCGCCACACTTGCATGTGTGTTTACATGTTACTGGCATGTGGCAACCCTTTGCTTCATCCAAGTGAACCACGAACTGCCTCAATTTCACTGTCTCCAGCTCTTGCTATGAGAGTGAAGTCTGCCCCTTCCAGCGACTCTTTCCATGTGTAACACCTGCCTGCCCACACTCTCGGGAGCAAATGTTGCATTCTCGCCGCACTGAGCGTTGCATCTCCGACTGCGGTGGGGCTGGGCGTCAAACGCGGTGTTTGGTGAAGAAAGCTGCCGGAACTTGACAGGTGGATGCATGAGGATCGGTGGTTGTGTTTTTCCTTTTTTCGATCTTGCTTTGAAATGCACCCTCATCGCGTGTAGCTAGCTTTTGGGTGGTGAAGGTGCTGTTTTGATTGTTCCAATAATATATTGCTGTTTTGTGTGTGGTGGCTGATCGAAAGTTCTGTTCCCCTCAAATTGCTAGGCGGCCCAGAGAAAACAATATCAGGATGAGGGAACCTTCAATATGATCGCCGGCTCCACTGCGCGGATCTTTCACAAAGGATTTGAAGAACACCCGAAGGTCATGTCTTTACAAAGGACCCATCAAGGACATCAACTCCCGTGTGAGAAAACAAGGCCATGATTGTCTTACTGAGGTCAGGTTGACACTGCGAGGCCTCCAAAGCCAGAAGCCAATCCTCGATGTTGCCTTGCGCTTGCACTGGCACCCTCAGCAGAGCTTGGACTTGGGCAAATCGACACCCAAGCACTTGGACGTCAACGGAAGCAGATTCCAAGATCTTGGACACTTGCCACATCAAATCGTTTATCTCTACCAGCTGCTTCCGGGCTAGGGGTCACCTAGCTGGACATCTCCACACTACGGAGTCACAGGTCACCTACTCCAGGACACCCCCACAGGAAGCGCTAGGCTAGGTCGATTCCTTCGATCTTTTCCCACACAAACCAGTTTTCCCGGGAAAAAAGGGGTCGGATCCCAACGGGATGCGCCAGGCTTCTTCTCGTCCAACGCGCCGGAACGCACGCGCCCGTTGCGCGCCCGTCCGATGGTTCGAGCGCGGACGCCACGGACGAACGACGAAGGTGGACGCTGCGCGCTCCACATGGTGGGTGGAAACGACCCACATCGAAGGCCCAAGGCGCTGCAAGGAGACTTCCTCTTGGACCGGGCCATGCGTCTCCATGATCTTCACCTAGTAGCGATGCCAGGAGCGCCACGTTCGTAGCGTCCCTGCTCCGTTCGTAGGGATGCCCGTTGTTGCTAGTAGCCTAAAAGCTCGCCATGCTGGGCGCACCTAGGCGCCTTTTGCTGCGGAATGAGCCAATCAGTTTTCCATCAGCTCGGGGGTCCCGGGGTTCTCACTCCAAAGAGCCCTTAGCATTGAGTGAATCTCTTCTCTCATGTTGGTGAGGCCTCATCTTGTGGAGACTCTGGGTTAGTTTTCCACTGGAAGAACCGCCCCAGCATGATCCGAAAGTCTGTCGCTGCAAACCAGGCACGATCTTTTTTCGGTCCACCTTGTCAAACTGGACCTCAGGATTTTTGCAGAATGGTTTCGTCAATGAACGCCAAGTGGTTATACATGTCGAATATATCACACCTGCCAGCTTCTTCAAAGTATAATGTATAACTTTCTTGGAGCCCCTAAGTGACCGTCTACGGGCCCGGCCTCAAACCAGGGGATCAAGTTCGGTCACGTTGGTTTGAAGCAGGTGGAAGCATGATATGAAGCAAAGCATCCAAGGTAGACCCTTCAAATAATATCACATGTCACATGCCGTACCAAAGAAAACGTCACCGCCATCCATGGTAGCATTACATCACATAATGCTCTTGACCGCCCTTGACTCGACCGTCGATGTTCGATATGTAAAAAACAAAAAACGACCAGCAAGCTGGCCCCCACACCAAGCTGAATAAAGCCATGGACGAGAAGTGCTTAGACTTCGACCAAACATACGCTCACCTATGGAATTCCAGGTAGGGGTTGGGCACCCCAGGATCGCCAAAGACATGAAAACCAAACCAAACGCTCACCAATTCGTTTGGAGTCGACATGAACGGCAGGTGTGGCCAGTCGACACCCACTGGGCTACAGACCCTGTTGATGGCATCAAAGAGCTTTTCGAAGTCCTGGTGCGTGGTTTCCGAGAAAAAAGCTCGCTTTTTTGGCAGATGAAGCATGCATGAAGCCGAACGAGCCAGCTGAAGCTGAGAAACACGGCTTCGGTGCTTGGTGCCATCGCTTCCGCTCGGTGGGGCTCTGCCAGTTCGGAGTGTGCGGCGTGGCGAAGACACGCCGCGAAACCCGTGTGTGGTCCCTATTGTCCACAGCAGAGTGTCATCAGCAGAGTGTCCACATATCTTATGTCTTCATAACATTTTCATGATGACGTATTGGTTGTTTGATGTTTTTGGAGTGGATCGCCATGCATTTCGCACTCCAGCCATTTCTCTGGGTGTGGGTCCTCTTGGATGCTCTCCGGATCACTTCCCTGTGATAAGATCTTCAGCAGCACGGGATCTGAGGTGAAGTAAAATCGCCTCGGCGGGCGCACGCCCGGGCAAGGAAGGGCGTGGAGCACAGCACGCCCAGCCGGACCACGGAGGTGTTGTTCGTTGGAACAACAACACGCAGCATGACAAGCATGGAGGTATAGGGACTAGGGGGACTAGTCCGGAAAACGCGGTCCTAACCAGAAACAAATGGTTGGAACCCAATATGGCTTGCTGTTTGCTTGAGATCCACACAGAACCAGTGGATTGGGACTTGGGAAACATCTAGAAACATCTAGAGCTGTGAACCAGGTTGGGACTGGGAAACTCCAGCTTCGAACCTCAAAGGTGCGGTGCAGGTCCACGATCGCCACGGTCGCCCCGGTCCCCGCACTAGGTCCGTACTGTCCGTACTCAGTACGTGCTGCCCCGGTGGCGGGAACTTGTTTCGCTTGCCCTCCAGGTAACTTTCCAGCGACTTTTGGCACTTTTCTAAACCCTCCGAAAGAACTGGCAGCATCTGCTTCAGCATGTCATTCCTGAGCAGTAGAAACATGACGCGTGGCTGCAGCAAGAACGATTTTCGACCATTGACCAACACACACAAAAAAAGAACGGATGAGGCCCTTCAACTCAAGTGTCAAAAGCTGTCCACTCTGGCTTTTTCCAAGTTTGCCCTTTTCCGCCAGCCAGATGGGCGGCTTGACAGCTTTGTCTATATGTGCCAAGTAAAGCTCCTTGTGAGACTCACAAATGTTTTTGTTGGACATTCTGGCTGTTCTCTGGTCAGTGACCCTTCCTCCACAAGACTCAGCAAGTTCATGTGACCGTTCTTCCTTCCAACAGTGTGCACCAAGTGCCTCTCGATTGGTCCGTGGTCCGGGACCTTGGTCCTGTGCGCCGGGACCTTGGGACCGGTCCGAGAGGCTGACAGCAAGGCACGACATACTTGGTGTCTGCAGACTTCCTCGGAACAGAAGGGACGAGGGAGAGTCAGGCTCGGGGTCGCGAGGAGGCGAGGCTCGGGGGTCGCGAGGAGGCGAGGTCAGGGCTGCGGACTGGGAAGCTCTCCTTAGGGGATTAGAAGCCCAGTCTTCCACTCAAAAAACCCCATCAAAGAGGTGAAGGCTTTTCAAAAAGAAAGGATAACATCCGAATCGGCTCCTTCCACCGATCGGTGAGCAACACCCACTGTGAAACCTGATCCGCCCACACCAACCGCCCACGGTCCGGAGCTCGGAGGCGACGAGGGCCGGCCGCGCCGCCAAGGCGCTGCATGATCTTCTGCCAATCCTTGTCGATCTGCTGAAACTTCTTCGCCTGGACGTCTTCCCCCCAGCGGAGCGCGCGGACTTACTTCTTCGCACGCCCCGCCGAGCGGAGCGAGCGGGCCCGCCGAGCTCGGAGACGACGTGTTTGGGAGGCGAGACCAGGAACGCCGGTGAGACGAGGAACGGGAGCTGGAGCGTTTTGGAGGTCGGTCGGTAGGAACATCGGACTCAACTTCCGGAACTGGACTCATGAACTACCTCCACCTGGGAGTCACAATCCACTGAGAAGCACGTGAGAGTATATCCCCAAGAAGAATTAACAAGACGAATGGATAAAAGACTTGCTCAAGCAGGTGCTGGTACTAATTACAAAAAGAGAAATACAGAGGGAACTTGCAACAAACAAGAAATGAATAGAAATGAGAAAGAACAGCAAAATGCAAAGTCAAAAATACCATTTGGAATAAACAGGAAACACCGAACACCGAACAGGGGGTCTCCCTAGTTGAGCTGCACAGACTTCCAGATCACGACCCCGGCGCCCAGGCAACACATACCCAGGTAAGACTTCTAGAGCGGGGAGAAACCGTCATGGAAAAACCGTGTTGGTGTTAGTTCGATTGTTGCAGCATCAAGGACCGCTTGGATTCACTATTTTGGGGTTCTGACTCTTACTTGATGCCAGATCCAGCTGCCTTTGTCATGCTGCTGTTGACATTTTGTAGGGGTATTAGCCACGTCGGGGTGTTCTTTTGACAGCTGTTTCCCAGGCAACAAGACATTCGTGTCCACCCCTTTTTCCACAGGTTCCAGTTCATTCCACGACACGAAGATCCACCGACGGTGTCGGGAGCTTCGGTTTTGAACTCCACATTGTTTGGGCTGGAGGGACTGGTGGGTGTCTGGTTTGAGTACTCTGAAGGTCTGCCTGTCAACGCCGCATGGGTCATAGGTTCCGGGAAACCAAACCGAACTCGAAGAACTGCGTCGGCATGGGCTGATCAGTCCATGAAAAACGCCAGAAGAACGACGACGGGTTGACCTCTTTGCAAAAGAGTCATTGATCATTGGAAGGGGGACAAAATCTCCACAATCCCAAGCCAGGGCGAGAAATAGATTCAATCAGCTGAACAAATCGCAACCAGTCAACGTCTCGTCCTCACCCCGTCCACGGTCGATGTCGGCCACCACGGAGGCCACCACGACCGCTCCTCCATGGGCATCTGCTTGGCGATATCACCGCCGGTGAAGACGGACTCCAGGGAAGTCCACATCTGCTGCACCTGGCGCACGCCGCGAACCCGCTCGATGCCAGGCAGCAGCGACCGGTGGCACTTCTGCATCCATGCAAAACAGCGCGGAAGGCGATCGGACTCAGTGTTGGACCGGGGCGAACTGGTTCTTCTGTTCGTACCGAACTAGTTTGACAGGACTGGGAGATACACGTTGACCAGTTCGGATCACCGACTAGGTCACGTGACTAGGTACGAATTCGATCTTTAGAACCTTTGAAACCTTTGAAAGGTGGAAGCCAACTGAAGATCACCGGCTTCGCCTTTAAGATCACCGTCCTTTTAGTTCAATCAAACTTGGTTCACCTTTAAAGTGAACGAACTGAAGAAGCGAACTCCGGAGGATCACCGGCTTCGCCTTTCTCGCACCGACCGCACCGGACCGCACCGGTTTGGTTCCAGTCACCCTCACCGGTGTGCGGGCACGCGGTGTATCCGAACCGAAAACGAGACCCAGGTTGGGGGAACCCTCGCCTGTTCATGTCCCTGAATGCCCAGCTGCTCGGGAGCTCGGGCGTGAACGGTTGAAAAGGGAGGAAACTGAACCGTGAAAAAGAAACTGAACGGTGCTCGTCCATGGTCCTAGCTTCAACCCCACGGCACATCATTAGACCATCGACAACCCGCATCAATCATAAACCTAAAAGTAGAGGCCCAAAATCCCTCACCAACTTAGCTATAGTTACATACGACCCGACTTCACAGGTGCTTCCGGCGTTTCCAAGTCAGGTGCCCAGGTTCACCACCTGTGGTCGGGTCTCCAAACAGCCGAACCTCGGGTTCTTGACCATCACCCCAGCTCGGTGCTCCTCGGGGTTCTTCGTTCGTTTTCTCCGTTCCCACGAGACCATCCGGAGGCCCAGTCGTTGGGACTGGAAGCTGCCCCCGTTCGAGTCAGCTGGAGCCAGGTCGCCAGCGAAACTCGGTCGCACGGCCGGGTTCCGCCGTGACATTCCACTGGCACCCGTCTCCAGGCACGTGGGCTTCGTCGACATGCACGTGTGAGGCTGGCATAAAACTGCTGCAGCACGAAGCCTTAAACTCCAGCTGCAGCTACGACCTGCTGAGCTCACAGATTGTCTTCACTTGTCACCATGACCTGCTGAGCTCAAGGGCTCAGATTCTCCCACTTCCCAGCAGGGCAGGCGACTCGAATTCAGCAGCCCCCGACTTTGGCGTGATCAGTCCAGGTTGCAGGTGACAAACACCTTCTCGCTAGGTCCTAGGTACTTACTCTTCCTGGAACAATCATGGTGGAAGTGAATGGCATGGCCCCCTTATGGCATGACCCGAACACGACACGTCGTCAGTACAGACTCGGTAATTACCACGCAGAGCGAACTCACCAGCTTAGCTTTAGTGCTCAGGTTCATGGTCGGACCCTCATACAGAGGGGTCGAACCCTCATATGGAGGGGTCTGGGGTCTCAAATCCCTGGGTCCTACCTAGGTTTTGAGGGACCAGTCGGGCTGTGAACGGAGCGTCTGGGTAGTAAAGAAATGAGACAAAGCTGAGGAGAGAAGTGGAGACACGAAGGAGACAGGCATCCTGGCGGCATCATGTCGTAAGAGTGTGTTTTTAATGCCTTCGAATTAGAGAGGTGAGGTGGTGTTTCCCTTTCGTAGTTATAACACCAAAAGTGGACCACAAGGTGTCTATAAATTCATGGGGGTCTGATAGGGAAATGATTTGAAATGAACTACGAGCGCTCCGAAAAGTACATAATGCATTCTGTAGAGACTGTAGATACGCAACTCTTTCCCAGGCCCTGTGCACATGTTTAGCTACAGAATGACAGGTTTTCTACTAAATGGATTCCAGTGCCTAAAAAAACCTTAAACTGTTACGACCAACCAATGCATTCGTTGAGGACCCTGCTGGCTACGCACAAAGCTGGCTTCTGACCACAAAACAAGCAGCCAAACCACCTGGGTGGACCCTCACGCTGGGTCACTGGGTCAGGGAACACTCCTTCATCATCCTTCATCCCAGGGTTTTGTTGACCAATTTCAGGGCCGTAGTGACATAAGCAACGCCTGCAGTTCACTCACTTGACGGGGTGCTATCCGTGCCCCTGAACCGTCGTCATCCACGGCCCCCGAACGGCTGGGACGAAGAAAACCACTCCAACGATGTGACTCTTTAGGGTTTAGGCTTTAGGGTTTAGGGTTCCCAAGATGTGACTCTTGGCACATGCAGTTCGGACCCCGTTCAAAACCATCCCACGGGTCCGTTCGTGGGCAAAGAGGGGGGGGGGGGCGTGGGGGCGAGAGCTTTCGGGGAGGACCAGCGTACAGACAACGCATGGGTTTACATCCAATTGAATATCATTGGGTCTATCCATGTCATCCAGGGCCCAGTGGATGATGATGGTTAGGTTGCAGGCCTTGTTCAAAAATAGATTTACTGTAAAATAGTGATTTGATGTGATTTGCTTGTTTACTGACGGTTACAGGTACAGGACAGACGGACAGACCCAATGAATATCTCTCAATGCAGCTGAATCTCCCACGACAACTGCTGACTTGAGTCCAATGCAGATGACCTAACTGTGAGCAGGGCTGCCCTGCCCCAGACTGATCCATCTAGTCTCGGCGCTGGCGTTGATAATTTTTATAACGCCTGGAGCTCCTGGAGTCGAGTACCGGACAATTCCAACCGCTTGCTGCAGAAATGCTGCGATCCACGAAGCTCAACGACTGCCGGTCAGTCGAGGATCTGGTGTCTCCAGGCTGCGCCGCGATTCGCACGAAGCACCGAGGGTGGTCGATGATCCGCACGGAGGGTGGTCGATGTGTCGAATCGACCATGAAACTGCGGAGCACGATCCATCAAAGTGGAACAGAAACAAGTTCCTAAGGTATGAAACAAGATGTCTACCATGTCTTCTTTCAGATCTTTCAGTCAGTGTGTCATTCGGGGCTTCCTTGCGGAACTTGGCAGTCACAAAGAAGGAAAATAATAGTTGAGCTACAATCAAAACCGTCACCCAAAAAGAATGACGAAAACAAAGCTGTTTGACACAAAGAGCCCTCACCCCTACTTTCAAAATTGGTCATCCTCTTCGGGTTTTGGTCGTGGCTCAGTTAAGAGGAAACGCACCATTTGCACGGCTTTGCACATGAAACGTCTTCATGCGATTGCGCAAAGGTGAGGAAGTCACATAATCATATGCTGTTCTTCCTTTGCTGTCCTTGGCCATGGGATCTGCGCCATATTGCACAAGCAGCAGAACAATTTCCACATTCTTATCTCTCACGGCCTTGTGCAAAGGTCGTTGATAGGAACTCACTAGACCCCAACACGACATCTTCTCCCCTCCAGTTGAATTCACATCACTTGGGTCGAAGTTGTGCTCCTCTAAGAAGTCCAGCAATTTCTGCCTCTGCTGCTCGTGTAGTTCTTTCTGCTTCTTGTGCTGCTTGCGAGATTCGTTCTCCTGTTGCTTCGCCTGCTTGATCCTCTTGTAGGTCTCCGCCACAAGAATGTCTCCTTTCAGCAAGCTGATGGGCTCCTCGCGAAGCTTGTAGCGGCCACCGATCCACTCAAAACTCTCTGGAGAAATGGTCATGGCGGCCAAGCTTGTGGCTTGTGGCAAACGTGCTACACGTTAGAACAGCTTGGAAAAAAATGCCTGCAGTCACACCGGCTGGGCTCTGAAACAAGGACTTCGAAGAAAGCGATCCACCGAGCCGACCGAGCCTGGGGTGTTGCCCACACCACTCCCTCATGCCCTCATGCCATGCAACAGAGAAAAATGGAGCCTGTCACCTCTTCCAGAAACAACCAGAAACCACCACACAAAGGGGAGACGTCCGTAAATCCCAAAGCGCTTTCTTCGCGTTCTGCGTCTCCAGATGAATCTGAAGAAAGGTGAGTCACCAAAGTGTATTGGACGTCATGACGTCATGTCTTTCTTTCAGGATTCTTAGGGTCCACCAAATGGGTATCGTATTTTCACCGGTTGAAACAGCTGAACCCGCAACGAACCCACCAGGGGGGGGGGCCAGCAACGCCACACACGCCTGACAACCATGTGTGCTGGCGAATCGCTGGGCACTCACGTCATGAGCTCATCCGCTCGCTGGCACCTTAAACCATCGCTCGATGGTGTCCCCTGTGTCGGACAGAGTGGACAGCAGGCCGTTGAGCTCTTCTTTGAAAGGGATGGAGTGGCGCTGTGCCTGAGCTGAGTGCAGCCGAAAAATGGTGTACACCGCTTGAACTCCATGATGTTCTTCCATGGTTCCCTATCAAATCTGAGAATGTGAAGCCATCAAACAGCAGCAAAAAGAACCCGACGAAACTGCACTTCGAAGCCACAAACAAACCAATTCTTTGTTGTACCTTCTCTTCTCTCTTGTTCAACTCAACCACTCTGGTCCAAAAAAGAACCGTTGAGTGTCCCGACATTCATGGTGTTCAGGTTCATCATGGTCTCCTCCAGGGCCTCTTGTGTCTCGCCCACCTTGGCGCCTGACAACACGCAGGGAAAATCGCGGCTCTTCCAAGTGCCGAAGTCGAACATCATCCCTTCCTCGGACGGAAGGCGCGGTCGGTGGACGCGCGGTCGGTGGACGGTTCCTGCGCTCCGCGGCACCGGTTCACCGCAAATAGGACCCGTCACCTAGGGTACCCAACTGGGCTGGTCTATTTGGGGTTCTTCAACCTGTGTTGGGGTGGAGATCTCCAAGGCTTGGCGTCACCCGTGGAGCGGATGATGGGTAGAAAAGAGGAAGATGTGGAAGTGACATGAGGGGAAGGGTGCCGAACGTCTGGAGAAAGGCAGCTTCTGCCGTTTCTGATGGAGAGAGGTCATTTTTCAGGTCCCAAAAGATATGTCACTTCTTGCACTTCTTTCACAGGGTTCGCACCCAAAGCTCTTCAGGCCCCAAATCTGCCGTCCTTTGGTCGGTCACGGGGGTGATCCTGAAGCGGAGTCTGACGGGTTTAACATGGAGACCGATTGGATTTTGAGCCAATCTGCCCATTGCGCAGAGATCTCCTTCAGCTTGCTCTCAATCACCTGCCGCGAGGCGAGTGGATGTCGCAAGACGTGGGTGGAGACCCCAAGGCTGACAGATATAGACTACAGAAACGACCAGGTTGACCATAGAAAATGATGAAAATGAACAGAATAGACTACACGGGGGACGTCAACCTACCAGGGTGTTTAAGGCTCCGGGTTTTGACCCACAGCCATATACAAGAGCTGCTTGCAATGCAGGAAGTGGCACGCGAGACACCATGACAGGAATGCTCGTTGCCCAAAAACACTGACGATTGCCGATGCTTCGTTTGTCAACTGTGCTATAGATGTCAGAACGTTGGATCCTGCAGAAGTACTTGTCACATTGAACAGAAGGGAGATTCGGATGTATCAGCAGAAAAGAATCCCTTCTAAGAAGCCCTAGGTTCCGTTCCCTTGGGGAAAGGTCGGTTAGACCAAAGAGATCGCAGCTTGAGAGATCGAACATCTCCCATCCTCATCCATCGTCCCGACCGTACATAGGACCCGTCACCCAGGGTCAACCTGTGTTGGTCAATTTGGGGTTCCGGAAACCTGTCGACCAGGTCTGTCCAGTCGACCGGGACCCTGCGACCCCAAACCACCCGTCCCGGAAACCGCGGTGTTCCCAACTCTCTCGGCCCCGACCAGCTGCTTGTCCGCGCCCTCACAGATGTCCGAGATCTCATCCGTGAACTCCTGGCCGGTGGCGTCCGGATCCCAAGGTGCGCGCCCCAAGCAACGTCAGGTCAGGTTCACCCGACCCACAAGCAACGACTGGTGTCGCATCCCAAACGCTTGGCTCAAAGAGTCGAAAATGGCAACCGCACACGGCGTTTGTTGAGTTGGTTTGCTTTCAACAGCCGCATACGCAAGCAGAAACATGATCGTTGCAATTCCAACGCCAACCAAAAACTTCTTGGACCAGGATCGCTTTGATGCAAGAACTGAGTCTGAACCTCTCTTTCACCCAAGCTTTTTTGAGTCTCCATCTCAGGTCTCCATCCTCTGAGAGGTGGAAAAAAGACACCCAAAGGATGCCTTTTCAAACGCATGAACAAAAACGACGGTCGATTCTGAAGTCGAGGTCTTTTCTCTCTTTACCCTAGAAGTCCAGTTCGACTACATTTTGACTGAAGTAAAGGACATTCCTTGACTCGTCGGCCCCGAGTAAGACCGATTCTTTTGATCGTCTTTTCTGGACTCCGGCTTTCTCGTCGCCCAGGTGCATTGAGTTGCGCGTCGATCAGCGACTGGAGTTTGAAGTTCTCCGAGTCGATGGGCAAGTCCTTCCCTGGTGCCGTTCCGGTGCCGTTCGCTACATTCGCTCCGACGCGCCGCCAGAGCTGAGCTCCACGAGCTCCGGGCCGGGGCTTCGATCGGTCCGAGGAGGAGAGGAGAGGAGTAGGAGTGGAGGACGACCAGTCAAAAGCGACTGTCTAGCATGGTCACCCGAATCTGCTGTCCTAAAAATGGCCCTGGCCCAAAACCTAGATGGCCACCACCCCGACGAGATGCTATTTTAGATGAGCCACAATGGCCCAGAAAAATGCCTAAAATATATTATAGGAGATGTTCAGAAAGCCACAGGTACGATCTCTCGAACCGGCCTGTGATGTCCATGACCTGCTGCCAGTGCCGGGGCATGATACTTGGCCTCAGCCAACAGACCAACGCAATGCCCGTTGGGCGGCTGACTTTGAATCTATTTGTGCCTCAGTCAGGGGAGCCGATAGATTAAGTGTTTGTCACTATATAGTCGGGAGAGAGCAGCTTCCATCTGGCACGCTTGAAATCAAATCTGCACTCTCTGAAATCATTCAGTTTCATGGTTTGTTCGTTCAACACCTCTTTAGTCTGACCGGATTAAGGGTCCAAACAAAGTCAGAAGCCTCAGGGCCATGTTCATCCGTTCCATCAATAATGGATCTCCAGGGAGCAGTACAGTATATTATACAGTACCATACAGTACCACTGTAAAAAGCGCAGACCTTCGAGCACCCCAGACGTCCCAGCTCCTCGCCCAGCAAGGCAGGCTGGACGAGGAGCGCAGAACGGCCGCTCGGTCCCCGCTCGGTCCCCGGACTTGCCCAACTCGAGCAACAAAGGCAGAACGCCTTGGAAATCCTCGAGTTCGGAAGGACGAATCCCGGTACACTCTGACGAAAACCATCACAGAGTGTAGGGGACTAACCCACTGTTGGTAGAGGAAAGTAGTCTTCCCAGAGACCCGGACGTCCACTTCCATGGGACGTGACGTGAGAGTGACTCCAAACGAACTCGTGTTGTTTTGGTAGGAATGCGAAAGGGAGAGGGAGGCACGCTTCGGAAAGCGTTTTCTGGGAACCTCGGTTTGTTTCTAACTCGACCAAGAGCTTGCAGGGTATTCATCATGAGTCGTCAAGAATTGTTGCATGGTATTCAAACACATCATGACCATTATTGCATACCTTCAGTGTATTCATCATCAGTCGACCAAGAGCTTGCAGGGTATGCGTTCTGTGTTTGTTTGCAAGTTCCCAAAACGGAGGTTTCTTGAAATCAGACTGCTGAAATGGCTGCTTGGACAAGCTGTGCCTTGGTCGGCCTTCTCAGGAAACCCAGCTCTTCGGCCCACCGGTCCTCGATCTCCTTCTTCAGCTCGTTGTAGGCCGGCCACTCGCGCAACTGCCGGGGCATCTTCTTGCAGCGTGCCGCGAAGCTATCGATCCTGAAGGTTCACTGGTCCCATCCGGGGAGGTGGGGAGGTTCGGCGGACCTTCAGGGGCTTTGGAGGGGCAGTGGACACGCATGGTGGTAGAGGTGGAAAGAGTCCGACGTCCAAAAGATGGTTTGGAAGGGGGAACCACTGTTTTACCTCTTTTGGGATTACCCTCTCCTGCAACCATTTTCTCAGCCAGGGGACGTCTTCTGCATGGTCTCCATGTTTTCACCCACATCACACCAGAGGTAGTCTCGCCACTCCTGAGCCACACAACACCAAGCTGGAAAGCACAAGTGGCCGCCATGGCGGACCTTTCAATGAAAGCTGTCTTTGGAATGGATTTGCAAGGCTCTTCTGCACGAGGAAAGACAAGCCTAGGGCATTTTACAGCAACTTTCGTCGGAAAATAGGACTAAAATGTACACAATGCTCAATCCACCCTCAACAGCTCCAGCAACTTTCCTCCTACCAAGAATCAGGCCCATTTCTTCTTTGGAATGAACACATATTCATGGAATGTGGTGGCTAAGGAAACTCAGAATCCAAATTCATGGTTTCTTGAAACACCTCATCCAACTATCCAACATTATCCAACTGTTACGGCCAACGCTACCAGAACCACCAAAAGGAGGCAGGCAGAACCACCCAAGAATTTGTGCCGCTCCTTGATGGTCTCCAGCACAGCCACATAGAGATCCTCAAAGCGAACGAGATGAGAATGAGCCTACTTGGCATGGAGCTATGGACCTACGAAGCCTTCGATCCGTTGAAGCCCGGTCTCACCGGTGCTCCACTGGTGCCAGGTAACGTTCTGGCGTGATGCCGAGCATAGCACGACTGGGTCGTGTTCGCTTCAAAAAGGCGACCTCTGGGTGTAGTTGAGACACAGCAGCTACAGTGGCTACAGCGAGTCCACACACCCCAGGCAGAAACCACCGGCCGCCGCCACGAAGATGGAAAAAAACCCACCGGCCGCCCAAAAGAAGGGCGGAAGGGCAGTGTGGGAGAAGCGGCGGAAGGGCGCGCTGAAGGAGCTTTGAAGGGAAGGATGATGCTACTCAGACTTGATTTGTGTGTGTGTCACACTCTGTATCTAAGAGTTTTCCTCGGTTTGTTCCAGCAGGGGGGCAGAGAGGACTTGCAAGGCTCTGCCCAACGAAGCTCTTTGCAAGATCCTAGGAAGCGGAAGCTGATCACTTCCATGCACCTGCAACCGGAACGTTTGACCAAGCTGTGACTCCACTTTCCACGTTTTGATTCATGGTCCTTCATGATACTTCCCCCAAACCGATTTCCCTCCACCGCTTTCAGCCACTGAGCCGCCGTGAGCTGCCGTTGTGGGTTCTGCAGATGCGCATAAACCACTTGTTCAAACATCTGCAATTTTTCGGACTTTCCACCTTGCCGTTTCTCACCTTCCTTCCACGTGGGAACTGCGTTAACTGAAAACCAATGTTAGAGTGTGACGGGGCGCTGAATTCATGCTGGTAATCGTGTAACAGATTTCTCCCCTTCCACCATTCCTTGGATTTTCTTAACAGACTTGGTTTCACTACTGAATTAACTGCTTCTACGCCGCCGGGCGTCACGGAGAATAAACCCCGACGCGTTTTCTACCCCAAACACCCCAACCCCTCCCACCCACTAATTAGGGTAACAGAGGGAAATGGTACTCGACACACTTGTGTGTCGGTGCCTTTCCCTCTGTTGTCCCTTTTCTAGTCTACTCTACCCGGGCGGTTTAAGACTAAAGTCCCGCTCCCTAACTATTGCACTTAATTCATTTCTGCTAAGTAATCAGTAACTCTAGAGTGCTAAGTATTCAGACACACACACATGTACACACACATGGACATACACCCCTCCCTGCCCCCCGCTTTCCTTCTTGCGTTTTTTGTCGTTTGTTGGGCTTTCTTTCAGGCTTTTTAGGTGGTCCTTAAGGCTCGTTTCCCTACCCCAGTCAAGGGCTAAGTATTCACCTTTTCTCTGCACCTATCTTTCTCTCCTGCCCTTTTAGCGCTGCTCTTTCTGCTTTTCTTTCTTTCTTTTCTAAAGCTTTTTAGGTACCTATTTAGGTTTTTATGCCAGAGCGCCGCAAAGCGGCTGAGTGTGTGTGTGTGTGTCACACTCTGTATCTAAGAGTTTTCCTCGGTTTGTTCCAGCAGGGGGGCAGAGAGGACTTGCAAGGCTCTGCCCAACGAAGCTCTTTGCAAGATCCTAGGAAGCGGAAGCTGATCACTTCCGTGCACCTGCAACCGGAACGTTTGACCAAGCTGTGACTCCACTTTCCACGTTTTGATTCATGGTCCTTCATGATACTTCCCCCAAACCGATTTCCCTCCACCGCTTTCAGCCACTGAGCCGCCGTGAGCTGCCGTTGTGGGTTCTGCAGATGCGCATAAACCACTTGTTCAAACATCTGCAATTTTTCGGACTTTCCACCTTGCCGTTTCTCACCTTCCTTCCACGTGGGAACTGCGTTCACTGAAAACCAATGTCACAGTGTGGTTGAGAAATGAGCATGAAGAACCGAGAAGGTTCTTGGTGCCTCCAATCTTTGAGCTCAATTATAAACGGAGCCTCGAGAAGAATAGTGCCAATGATGTACCATTGATGTGCCAATGATGTGTCAATGATGCCCTGATTCTTTGCCAGACTTGCAAATGTGTGGATGGTCACCCCCGTCATTTGCTCCGGCATCCAATTCCGGCATCCAAGAGTCGTAAAGCTGCGATAGATAGCCAAGCTCTTGCCTTGTGGTGTCCAGTGCAGGATAGCGTTGGTGAGGGACGCCGAAGAGGTCTTCACCAATGTAGTAGATTTCCTGGCTTTTTGTCCGCCATGAGTTTGACGAGTCGTGTGGCTTGACGAACGAACCCAGTTCAACGGGGTCTCAAAGACATGATCGGGAAAATCCCGATCATTAGACCTTTCTGCTAGCCCTAAGCACTCGGCCTTCCAAACAAAGGTCCATGGAAGAAAAGGGCTTGGTCAGGTACGCAAGCCAGCATCGCCCCGCCTGCTTTCGATCTCGGACCTCGAACTCCTCTTTGAATCCTGAAGACGTGATCCAATGAAAGGCACAGTGGGGCAGGAAGCTGCCTTTTGGTGCCTTTTGGGTTGTGAACTTTCACAATCTAGTTCCTTGGTGCAGGCTTCAGTCCCGCGCTAAAGTTCAGGCGACCAGGCTACCAGGTTGATAAGGCCGGAAAAGAGCGATAAAAGAACTCCTGTCGATCCTGAACACAGCACCAAGCAATCTTCTATGCCCTAAGGATCATTGGACCCTCCGAACTGGAGGGTCTTGACCCTGCAGAACGCAGGGGTTTGGACCCGAACCAAACCTTCACCTTTGAGGGTCCTTGATCCTTAATGTGGAATCTGGTGTCAATCTCCACCTGTGGAATCGGTGTAATCGTCACCAACGGCGTTCGGCGTTTCTCCGCGGAGCCGACCTACCCGTCGCTGGGAGCGCCCCGTGCGTTTCAATCGAAGTACCACGAGTCGAGGGCATAAAGGCCTATGGTTGGCCACTCCAGATGACAACAAGCAAGGAGACGTAGAACATCCATATCTGAAACTGTGTCCAGTGGAGTACCAGAAAATTCAGTCTTGACCCCCACAGAAATTCCCATGGTTTCCAACAAATGGATGTACCTGGAGTCGACCTGGACGTATCGCAAAGAAAATGGGGCCCCAGTCGTACCTGTGTGTTTGAATCGGGTCATGTGAAAATTAATACCCCACGTTCTAGAGTTCGAGTACCAACGTTTCGTCGGGTGAGTCAGGTCTATAGGCGCGGCGTATATATCCCTTGAAGTCCACTTCGACTATATAATCAAAATTCCTGAAACCTTCAGTCCAAATTATAGTCAACTAGTTGTATGGTCTGGACCGACTGCAGGTTTCAGGTCACCAGTCAGACCCGTCGGACCATTCTTTGGCATGGTCCAGTCGGACGTCCCACGGTCCATGGACCTGGTCCCCAAACACGACCAGACTTCAACCACCCCTGGCCTGGGCCGGTCGCCAGTCCGGAGCCGTGTCGGAGCTGAGTCCCGGTCCACGGCGTTGCGCGTTCTTCCGCCGAGGCGCGCTTCAGGCGCTCGACGGCCTCCCGCGGTGGAATGCCCTTCACCATGGGCCCGCTGCGCTCGTACTCGGCCCGGAAGCGCGCGACGTCCTGCGGACGGACGGCCGGGCGGGGCCGGGCGGGGCGCGCCTGGTGCAGCGTCAGCGAGGCACGGATCAGGATCATGATCAGATCTGTCTCAGGGTGCCTCATGATGTTCAGTTCATCTTGTTTGGGGTATGAAATTCACCATGCAATGGATGTTTCTGGGGATATTTCTGCAGATAGGCTCCAAACGGTTCCAAGTGGCCTTCCTCTCCGCATCTCTTCGCAGCTCTCCGGGCCGTTTCGTAGCCGTTCGGGCGTTTCGCACAAATCGCTGAAACTGGAAAAGGCAGTGTCAGCTGTCCTTCTTGAAGGAGTTCACGGTTTTGATGAGATCCTTCTTGTATTGGATCCTTTCGGTGGGCGGCTGGTTCGACAACTGCTTGGCCAACTGGTGCCAACTGGTGAGTTTCACTACGGCACAAGCGGGAATCCAGTGCAGCTTGTCATCAAAAACATCAGGATACTGCTTCACCTGTGGTGTGAGCTTCACGTGCCTTCAGCCGTGTGGGGGAGAAAAGAACTGCTGACCGTGCTGGTCTGTACTCTGTGCTGTCTGAGTCACTGCTTGTTGGAGAGCTCATGTTGGCGAGCTTCGCTCTCTTCCAACAAGTCCTGCGAAAGAGGCGTCACGGCTTTTCTCTCACCAAGGTCGTCGCTCCGAAGAAATCACATCCCCCAGGGCATCCAGGCAAACCACCCACGAGAGCTCGCTGGAGTCCCAGTGGTTCCAGGCAACGACTTACACCAGGGCGACCGAACGAAGGGCCCCTGGTTCCTTAGTACTCGTGGGAACTGCCTGGGATGCGTCCATGAGACATTCACTGCCCTTGACAGCAACTGCCCCGGATGTCGAGCAAAGTGCTCGGTTTAGGCTATTTCTATTAGGATGCCACAGAACCTGAACAAGTGCAAGCATTATGTATGTAGCTCGAAGCTCCGGCCGTTTCTGGGTCCTTCCAATTCTTCTTGAGCATGGAACGGGTATCTTGCTCTTCCTGGCCAAAGCTGCAAGAGAAAAGAGCGACAGCATCCTGTCACCAAACCCTGCACCTAGACGCCCCAGGGAGGGTGGCTGAGTTTGCACGGAAATGCCTTCAGAGACTTCTCAAAAAGGCCTATACCGGATCTGGGCCGTAAACGGCAAGGCAGCTAGACCCCAAAAACTGCCGGGTTTGCTTCAGGTGTTGTGTTTCGCATCCTCACAAAAAGGCTTGGTCCTTGTCCATGATATTGGGCAAATGCTCATCCAGGATCCGATACATGTGCTCAATTGGAATGAAGTCCAGCTCGATCTCGCTCTGCTTGGCATAGACTTCCTGGCAAAACCCATGACCATCCCTTGAAAGCATGACCTCACGGATTCAAGTCTCCAAGTTGGAGGATAGGGGTCCCCAGAACATCCACTCACTTAGGGAAAAAACACCCCGACATGTGACTCCTGGTATAAGTGTTTTATAGGTGTTTCTCCTGGAATGTGTATCGAATCTGCCACAGGAGCGACCCCATGTCGCTGACCCCCATGTCGCTTCACATCACGAGTGGCCAGGCGACATCGTCCAAAGTTATCACAACTGTGTCTCTTTAGTCAGACACGGGGGCCATGGAATTGGATCCACTTGGTTAATCTGGGGCTGAGTCTTAATGTCTTGAGTTACTAACCGGCTTATAGAGACCAGCCCACGCAGAAAAAAAAACAGAAAAAAAAACACATTGATAGTATTCACAGTCGTGCTGTCCAAACAGGGTGCTACTTTCCACTGTCCATCTTTCCATTCTTCCAGGTCTGCCCTTGGAATTCGGTGTCTACTCAAAATCAAACAAAAGTCCCCCAAAAACAGACTCCCAAAAACGGAGGTTTTTGAGCCACCAGGGCTGGAAGGTCCCGGCCCTCCTGCAAGGTCTGCATCACATAGGCCAAGGCGTCGATGTCGCCCGAACCCACCTGTGCCGTCGACGATCTCCCGGACAGTCTCCCGGGCGCCAGACATGAACGAAGCGGGACACCCGCGGCCCGTTACGGGCGTCGTGAAAGAACTGACTGGTGTTTGCGCGTGAGTCGTGCGGAAAGCTGTTCGTCGTGGCGAGCGGAGGCAGGTTAGATCGTCCATGATCCCAAAGTGTGTGTCTTCAACGAGTCTTCGGCGGTGAGAAGCGAGGAGTCTGATCTCTTCTGCTGTGCTCCTTCCTTTTTCCAGAAACGAAGGCGCACAGCTCCTTCGCAGAGCGCGCATGGCGCAGCCCGCGCCTCTCGCAAGAGCTTCTTCCTGGTCGACTTCACCTTAGCCAATGCTAAGCCTTCTTCTTTGTGTTTTCCATTTTCCTATAGATGAGATGCCAGGTTATCTGGGGATGGGTCAAAACCTGGAGCCCGACCCGTCCACCATGCAGCGAAAGACCTTTCAGGTACGTCAACCCACAACCATCGTTCTTTACGACTTGAAAGAGGGCCGCAGCCACCACTCAAGCAGTGATTTCGAAAATTATCCAGCTGTGTGCAGCCCAGGATGCCATCTCGCTGACAGCCTCCAGCTTGGCAAAGGCCTCTTTATGTAGCTCCTGATCTCGCTGCCGTCAGGCGGTCAGGCGATTCTTACGCCGATGTTTCAAGTGAACCGCACTTACTTATCGCTGCCCTGGAGAAAAATGAAAAAAGCCTGTCCAGCATGCCAAAATATAGCTGTGTCAAAACCTCCGCCACCAAACCACAATAGCATAGCTTGACGTCCCTTGATAGAGGAATCTGTTCAATTGACCCGGGTCAACGACGGTGCCCGGGTTTTGACCCATAGCCAAATCTAGCTATGAAGTATTTCATTGGACTTGTGTGTTCTGGAAAATGTGACATCGTTCCGCCAGTCCTTCGCAAAGCAGGACTTCCACTTGTCAGCCAGGCCTTTGAGGTCTTGTGCCAAGCTCCCGGTCTTCAGCATCAGAGCCGAGATCCTCGCACCCGGTCGTTGGTTCTGCTAGGTCAAGGGCCGGTCGTTCGCTGATTCAGCGTGCCCACGTAAGGAAGCAACCACTTGGTCTAGCTGCACATGAAAACATCATGGGATCTGGATCCAGCCAATTCTCGAGCTAGCTGCAGCTGGATTCAACGCATCGGTCATCTGGAAAGACAGAGGTCCGCTGAAATGGCCTACAATTGCAAAATACCACCAGATTTCATACTTGGGGTATTCGATTGTCCAAATATCTACCATACTCGTCCATATGCCATATTCTATGAGCTTCTTTGCCCCAAAAAAAATCCAGTACAACTCGGATCTGCCCCGGGAAGTTCGAAAGCTGAACCGTTTCGCTTTCCGCGGTGCCTTCCGAGTCCGCGTGTGCCTTCCTCTCCTTGCCGCCCTCCCACCCAGCATGGCTGCTCGCTGAGAGTCTGGTGTTGACCGGTGAGCTGCTCAACCTTGCTCTCCATAGCAACAAACTCCTTCAACTTGGACCTGCAACGGCTGCTCAACGGCTGCAGCTCCCGCTCACAGTGGCAGAAAGCACGGTCCAGCAGGGCGGTGCACTGACTGTATGCGTGCACACAGGGTGGTGAATATGTCAAGGTCCCGAAAGCGGACCTGCTTCAAATGAAGGTGTGGAAGAAGGGCGACACGAAGATCAAGAGTTGAGACTGATGCCGCAATCGAAGTCGAAAACCACGAAGGATACCGAGCACCATGGATTGGCGGCTCGATATGCTTCGCCAAGAGCATCCAGTAAATATGCGGAACGACCGTAGAAAAGCTCTCTGATTACCGGAAAAAAAAAAGGTAGTAATAACATCACGCGTTCTCTACAGCCGTGTGCAACTACACCGCTCTCCGGTCACCGGTCCATGTTCCACCCCGAGCTCGGAGTCCGACCGAGACACGAGGCACTCGCACCGGTCGGACCCTCGGGGCCCCGGCTCGAAATCGTCCAGGCTGGGCTCGGTGTTTTTGAATTCCTGGTACTTCCTCGCCGAGCTCCGCGGCGGATCGCCAGGGTACTGAAGGTCCCGCAGGGGCCACCGGATGGAGGGGACAGTGGAAAATGGTCCCTCTTAAACCGAGAAAATCATCTTCCAAGAGGGTCATTGTCCAATTTTATGCTTGTTGGAGGGAGTGTAACAATTTGTCTGAACGTGGCAAAAGAAAGAAGTACTTCGGCGTGACGTTGCCGCAGGTGTGTTGGTCGATTATTTGCTTTACAAAAACGGCTTGGAGGTTTGGGAATGGCGGGCAGATCGAGATCATAAAGCATCCAAGACTCTTGTCGATGTCCTCCTTCCAGGTCCATTCATACTCGCTGAAGGTGGTGAGGTAGCTGTTGCACATGTTCTTGGCCGACTGGATGCTACCAGTCAGGAGCAGCACCACCTGCATTGGAACGATCGAAATGACAAGCTTCTGACAACCCCAAGTTCTCCAGAAGGCAAACAGAACGAAAACTACTCACTAAGAACAACCCTAGAAGTCCAAAGACTATATTTTGACCGGCTGAAGTAAAGGAAGTTCCCTTTCAGGTCCCCGTTCGTCAGACCATTCTTTTTAGAGTCGACTGGACTTTTGGGGACAAAGTAGTAAGAACATCTAAGAACTAAGAAGATCCCTATCCCAGGGGTCACAAAGGGGTGGTGTTTGGTCCCTAAGTGAGTGGATAATGGGCACCCCTAGCCTCCAATAGGCACCCCTTTGTGACTCCTGGTCCTATCACACTACTATTTCCTGATCTGAATTTCTTTTAGTCAAACATCCTACGCAGCACTCGGTCTCTGCGTCTTCGTCATCCGGAGGGCTTTTGGCGGTCCGTCTCGACGTCGGTAGGGTGAAGCAGTGCACAGCACTTCATATGGGTGTCTTTTACCTTAGGGAGACCACCCAACGAGCTGCTGAGTCAGACTCTACCCACCGCTTGGGGATCTCCTGGATTTTCAGGAATACTGTGCAGGTGTCCTGCGCGCGCGCGCGCGCGCGCGGCACGGCGCGCTATAGGCGGCACACCTTGAGGATTTCTCGATCCTGCGCAATGCGGTCGTAGAATGTACCTCGCCGCAACATCAACGATCGGATTGCACAGCTGCCACGTCAAACTGCCCCAAATCATAGCGCCTGCGGGGAATGTGGTTCCATCCCGAACTCCCCCTGAAAACTGATCAGCTGCCTTGCGAGCCGGTGCCCTGCACGGGTGGAAGGTTCGCGTCCAAGATGAGCTGCACGTTCTTGGGGATGGTCACCTCATGTCACTGGGATGGTCACCGCATGTCACTGGGATGTCTTTGAAAGAACGGGTCTTCACCGACCCGACGACGTCGGCCTTCCGGGCATTCCGGGCATTGGTGGCCTGGGTTCGGATGCTTAGACCCAGTCTACCCAGCTTTGGGATATGCTGCAGCCACCCATGGATACCTGCTCACAACGTGCGTGCGCACGATGCGCTCACGAAGCGAACATGTGTTGAAAATAGTTCAGACAGCAGTCACCTCATTGAAATCAAAAGCTTCTTGGCTGGGTGTTCAAAGCGTCTTTCCTTCGGCGATGGGCCCTTAGATCAGTCCCGTACTCAAAAAGGAAATCTAGGGAGCCAGGTCACCCAGAGGGGCAGTTGTAGACTTTCTAGAGTCATTGTTCATCCGTTTGGCAGAGGTCAGCTGAGCAGTAGGCCAGCAGTAGCTGAAAAACAAGCCGACTTTGAAAGGCAGGCAGCTGTGGTGTCAATCTGCTGAAAATTGAAGGGAAGAAACAATGTTTGCTTCGACCAAATGAATTTCTGCTTAAAAACCAAGTCGCAGTATCCCAAGCTTCAATCATCTTCGAACATTTCAGAACTGCCACAGCTCCACCGTTGATGGCAGCCTCGCGAAACGATTGGCAGGCAGAAGCTCTGCCAGACAGATGGTGCAGTGGATTGACCCGAGACATCTCATGGTTTCCAGGTGCAAAACTCTTTGAGGCCAGCCGGTTGACAGTATTCATCAAGACTCATGACTCGTACCCAAAAAAACAACCACGAGCCCCTAGATTCTAGGGGCCGCATGGGCCAAAACTTCAAATCAACAAACGCACCTAATCATCTACAGTAGTGTAGACTCTTGACTCTTGATGAATAAAACCTATGAAGAGGTTAGAGGTTCTACAATGCCGGTGTTACATGATTCTACTCATCTGTCGAGTCTACATCCTCTTCCCTCGTCCTGCCGCTCTCCTCATCCCCCAGCGCTCTCACACCGCCCCTCTCCCTCTCGCCTCCCTCTCAGAACCGCCTCTCCTCGATCTCTCCTCCCTCTGCTCGCCCTGCCCTTCGGTCTCCCCGCCTGAATCTCTTCCACCGAAGGGTCCAAGCGCACCCCGATGCCATCCAATTGAAGGTCGACCTGGCGCAGCAGGTCGGCAGTCGAGTCGGGTCGGCCGGCGCGGGTCGGAGGTCGAGTCGGTCGAGTCGGGCGAGTCGGGTCGGTTTCGCTCCCAACAAACGGCCAGCAGGTAGCACCAGCAGGTAGGACCACAAGAGAAGTGATGGGGGGGGTGGTGGGCAATGTATGTGGGAGAAATCGCAACCAGCACTTGAGAAAACCCTCATGCGCTATTGAGTTCCAGTGCTTGTTGAGGTGTTACAATCAAAATGGGAGGGTTATTCGTTAAGAGTCTACATTATGTCACTGCAAACTGCCAAGAGCCACCTGTGGATTCAACTCTGTGACCCTATGCAGCAAGGATTCTTTGGTCCATGTACCTTCATTTTGGTTTGGGTGGTCCTCAACTAACACAACTCCGTTGAAATGTATGTGAAAAAAGGACCCTCTCTCATTCCCATGCAAATCCCAACATTCTAAAATCAATTGCAATACAATACCACCCTGCATCAGCCTCAAAGAAGGCTGGAGGCGGCGGCTTGCCTTCCCTGTAGTTGGAAGACAGCCTGAGCTTCATTGCCTGGCGAAGCAAATGAGACACAGCTGGACAGACCCAACAACATCTCAACACTGATCAGTGAGTTATCGAACGCAACATCTTTCATCAGCAACATCTCCACTTAAAGACCCGACCCGACCCACCACATCGTCCCTCAACGATCTTCAAGTCGAAGTCCTTGGGTTTCCACGTCCAGAAGCTTCGCGCGCCGGTCCACGGACCCCAACGACCTTCAGAGAGCTCTTGGTGGCGTTCAAGAGGGCTTGGTACATCGACCAATTATAATGGGCCTTCACCTTGATGATTTCACCTAGGCGCGGTGTCATGCTGCGGCACGCCACTGTCATGGCACTGTCATCGCTGTCAGAAGGAAACAGCCCAAAAAAGGCCCGGCGCTGGTTCAAAAAAAGACCTTAGTTCATCAGGGGCCTATGAGTTCATCCGAGTTTTCGTGTCCAATACCCAAAGGGCTGGAGAAAGGAACCAGCACTTGGGTGCCAGGTTCACACTCCTCGCTCACACCATCAAGCTTTCGGGCTCAAGGCACTTTCAGTCACCGCTGGCACATGGGGTTCCAGCTCAAAGCCGACGATCATACCCAGCATGTCCTGAGAACGGGGCAAGCTCAACGAACTGAGAGGAAGTACTTCAACGCACCCACCCACGCACAATCACGCATGCAGAATCACATTCACTCACTGACTCAATGTCACTAAAAAGCCCGTCACTCTTGAGGAAGAGTACCGTGATCCCATTCCCATGTCTTGCGTTCTCGTGTCGTTCACAGCGTTCTCAATCTCCACATTCTTGGCCACCAAAAAGTCGGTGGTGGCGCGCACGTGTCGCTCCTGGCGGCTCTTTCACCGGAGCGAGCGACTCCCGAATCGTTTGGGGGGCCGACACGAGGACGACAGGACGACAGGTTCCCAAGTTGCATCAAGTTTGTAGATTACCCAAGAGAGGTGAAGGAAGGCTTTGAAGGAAGGCGGATGGATGCGCTGCCACGCACTGAGGCGGCAAACTGAGGCTTTCCGAGTGGGAACGAGGCAGCAGTTTGCGGCAAAGGAAGCAAAAGCAACAAAGCCAAGAAAACCAACTACACTCTGACTCACTAACATGGACGTGGAAAAACGCCTGTTTGTAGAGGACAGTAGTCTTCCAGGGCCCCATTGTCCACTTCCATGTTAGAGAGTCAGAGGGTAGAATCAGGATTGTCGGACAACAACTTTGCCCACTGCTTTGATATTGGTCAAGATCAGAAAGGCATCTCCTACCCGTGGACCACGATCCGCCACCGTGGACCGTTTCGGTGTCCGCCTGCATCTCCACGAACTCTTCCAAGGTCACGAGCTCTTGCTCCTGGGCCGGTGATACCTAGATCTTCCAGCTATGCAGAATGTCTGCCTTTTTTTCATCCATGGCTGCAGCTGAGCTTTCAAATAGTCTAATCCCATCTGATCTAAACTCTAACATCACTCCTCTTGATTGATAAACCCTGCTCATATGAAGAGGCTTTGAAATCCAAATTTGGGGGGGGGTATTAATCAAGCTTCCACAGTGATCTCTCTATTCTATCTCCATCTCTCCTTTAAATTGGTGAAAAAAGAAAATAATGAACCCTTGTCACCTTGTCACTGGAACATGGTGACAAATATGTGTATGTATATATATATATGTGCGTGATGCGGTAAACACGAGTACACAGAGATAGAGAGAGAGAGAGTAAAATAACAGAATAAGAAAACACTGCCAATAAATAAGACATAAATAAATAGATAAATTTAAATATATATATATATAATATAAGTAAATAAACAAATAAACTAAACATAAAACTCGCACATCTGGTGACAAGAGAGAGAGAGAGAGGAGAGAGAGAGAGCGCTAGAGCAAGCTATTCTAGAGAGCTGGAGCTTCTGTCTATGTGACAGGTCCTCTGGAAGGTTCACCAGGAGCACGTTCGACACGATCTTCAGATTCGCATCAATGCCTTGGGCAGGACAAACTGCACGCGCCGACACCACGCCGACACGCCGCTGCACTAACGCTCCGTGGATCCACGGAGAGGGGTGCGGGTGACTGGTGGTGGACTGGTGGGAGGCCTCGAGAGAGACTCTTGACTCCTTTGGGAAAGAAAATGGTTACAAAAAATCCTTCCTTACGAGTCGCACCAATCAGTCTTGAGAGTGTGACTCAATCTCGAGCATGTCGCGAGGGTGTTTACCCCCCAAAAAAAAGGCGAATCCGGGAGAAACCACCAGGTCTTTGGTCCATCCGGGAGAAGCACGGCAGTCCGGTGCAGTTCCCCAAACACCCCAACCGGCATGGTCACCCCACCACGGCTTGATAACGGTGGTGTTTTGCTCGGTGCTTTCCCAAGGCACGGCTCTCCATGAGGTCGTTCACCGCCAAAACCAATTGCTCCAGCCTGGTGGCCGCGCACGCTGAAGAGCCCGCCGCGGGGGGGCTTCTTCCGCCCGCGGAGTCTTCTCCGGAAAGCCAGATCAGCGCCCGAATCGGAAGCCAATGTTGACTGTTGATGAGGATATATATACCGAAACACTCCATGTATGATATATATATATATATATATTACATTGACCCCTTTTCAACCACCCCAATGTATGTCAATCTGCCAGTCGCAAGCATGTTGTGTCTGGGATATTGTAGTCTCAGTGTGCTGTTGATGGATATGCAAATGTATATAACTCCGACTGCTGTCTTTTGTCCACTGTTCCACAAGATCAGTAATGCCTGTCCCCTCCGCAGGAAGAAGTCACATTCAAGGCGAGCCTTTGATGTGGTGCGCTGGGTGCGTGTGCTGAGCGGTTCCATCATCCATGGTATATGATTTGGACATATCGTTTATGAGTTATCCCATGAGTCTATTATGTACTAATCATGGATTATGAGTTTTTATTATCTATCTCCTGGTTTATGGGTTACATTGAGTCTATCCCATTACCAGGGGCCAGTGGATGATGGTTGGGTTAGGAATAGCAGGCCGGCTTCTCCTAAAATAGCCGACGAGTTCTACAGGTAAGTTCGGACACCCCCAAGCCGGTTTATGAGAAAAACAACGACCGCATATGGTCAAACATCTCCAGGTTGCTTCGGGGTTCTTCTATTCGTTTGGCCCATCAATTCGTTACTCCAATTTAAAAAACGGGATGCCCCGGTCGGCCGGTTTCGTGGTGTGGATTTCATGAGATGAAACATACCAGTGGGAGAATTGTCCATTTCAAGTTATACGAACTTCGGAAGCCTCCACTTGCCCAACAGCTTAAATTCCAAGGGTGTGAACGCTGAGTCTGACAGGAACTTTGTCGGAGTCGGTGCAGGAAAATCCTCCCAGCCTGTCGAGCTCTTTCCAGACCTCATCCAGGTAAGCCTCGATGTTCATAGAGGTCCAAGTAAGAATCACCAATCCAGGCCTCACATGCGGGACCAACCAGTAACCGAGACTCGTGCGGGCACCAACAGCAAGCCAAAAGGATGGAAAAAAACATATGGGAGTTCTGAGCCGAGAGATTGAATTCTTGGATTTTCCAGAGCTTGAAAACCCCTTCTGACTCCAAAATAACGCGAGCATGCACACGGGGCGGGGTCCGCATGGAATATCAACTTGAGGCCAAGGGGGGGG